TGCTATATCATCGCCGGAATCTAATATTTCATCGTCGGAGTTATGCTTTACTGTTGTCACCAGCAACCATTGTCGCGTGTCGATTTAGTTGTCGCCGGAGCCTTTTGTCGGATCTTTGTTGTCAGAATCTTCATTAGAGCTTTTCCCTAGTAGCAAGATGTGGAAGAAGACACGGATCTGTTTTTCGGAAAGACCGGAGAGGTGAGAAAAAAATAAAAAGTCTATTAATATTTTATATATTTTATATTAAAATTTAATAAGATATTTATGGGTAAAGTAAACATTTCACATATTTTAAGACTTTGTTTGGATACAAAATCTGACGGGGTGTCATTGTTCGAAAAGAGACTAACTTTCATCTGATTGTTAATATGGCAATCTTCAAGGGGTGTGAGTGAAATTAACTCAAGAAACTAACTTACATGGACCTTCCTTCTGTTATAGTTAACGCTGACAGTTTTTGTTGATGTCTTCTATTAAATAAATATAAATTCTCATAATACCCTTCGTTGCAGTCAAAGACATTTTAACCTTAAAAGGTAAGAGAATTACCAAAATACCTCATTCCTACCAATATAACCATTGTTACATAGACATGCTCAAAAGACCTCGAAGTAATGAGCTTTAGTATATACCAAAACCGAAACAGCTTACTCAACCGAGCGCAGAGCTTGAAGTCTATGGAGACCATTCAAACCGAAAAGCCACGGGGTCAAATCGGTGTCACTGGTGAGCTTCATTCAACCATTGTTTCTGGTGAAATATAGCCCCAACTTCGGGGATTTGAACTGTAGCAGGCTTCGTTTTGTTTTGTATACATGTCTTTTTGGCAGGTTGTTTTTAATTGATATTGCAAGGGAAAAATTCATCTCTGGAAATTTCAAATTACTAAAGTCAATAAAATCATTATTAAAATAGTGTCGAGTATTAAGAAAGGGGGATTCAGTCACAAAACTACTTATTTCCATGGAAATCACTCTAATGTTTCAAACAAGAGTGAAGTTTTTTTTTTCACAAGAAAAGGTTCGTATATTTACGACAACGGGCAACCGTCAAGACAGTTCACCGTAATTTATCCTAAATAAAATATTAACTTTGAAAAAGTATCAATTTTTTTGTTTCCTCACATCCTAAACAATATATTTCAAAAAATACAAAATCCTAAGTTTTTGTAACGACTCAATCCCGGGTCCGAAATGGGTCTTTACCCGAACCCTAGGACATGCAAGGGTACTAGGGTTATTTTATAATAAATTTGGAAAGTATGAATTTTTAAGGGAATATGTGGGACATGCATTGTCTCCCTGAGAAGTTAACTTACTCTTCTAAGTTTTGAATATTCAAATTTGAAAATTTAAACTCCAAGGACATATATGGAAAGATGTAAAATATATTATTTTAAAAAAAAAAAGTGAACAATTATTTTGGAGCAGACCAAAAAGGAAAACATGACATTTTTTTGGGACAAATGAAGTAATATTTTAAGACCCAACAAGGGCAAAATAGTCTTTTAAATCAATTATAATGGTTTAAAACCCAAAAGGATAAACCATTCATTTACCAAGGACTTTCAATGACTAGGATGAAGTTCGGGAGTAATATAAGTCCAACATGCTGTTAGAACACAATAATTGCATTTTTTTTTTATGAGTCACATAGTAAATACTAGTAGTTATCTTTTTCATTTTTTTCACCTTTTTTTCTCTCCTCCCCTTTTTACTCTCTCTCTCTCTCTCTCTCTCTCTTCCCTCTCCTCCCTGTTTCTTTTCTTTTCTTTTCTTTTCTTTTTTCGCTGCTTTCTCTCACCTAGCTGGTTCTTTTCTTTTTTTCTTGCATTCTCTCTCCTGCTAGTCCTTTTCTTTTTTTCTTTTCTTCTTTTTTCTTTTTTTTTTTCTTTTCCCGCGATAACTCTCTCTCTTCCCTCTTCCTTCAAATTTTATTTTATTGTATAAAATAAATGGGCAACAATTAATTAAAACTCTTGCTCAAAACTCATTTTTTTAAATATATGTAATTAATATTGTTAAGTATGGTGACTTTTTCCAAAATAAATGAAAAAAAAAATTGTAACTCTTGAAATCAAAAAATTAATTAATATTGTTGATTAAGTTGTATAGTAGCTTTTCCCAAAGGAAAAAAGGAAAAAGAAATTTGTAATGCTTGCAATCAAAAAATTAATGTAAGTATTATTATTATTTTTAGCCTTGGATGGTAGGAAAGTAAAAATTTTGCAAAAGTATAAATAAATAAATAAATAAGGAGGGTTGTAATGGGTTAACACGTTTTGACCCGTTCATTTGACCCCTTATCCATTTATGATCCACTATTGATGGGTTAAGAATGAATTACTGACCTATTTATACCTAACCCATTCCAAACATACCCAATTGCCACCCTTAACTCAAACTTAACCCCATGCATATGATGAATGTATATAAGATACTCATGCTCCAATTTATTGAGAAATCAATCATTTAACTATTTACATGAAATAAGCATATTCTTAAATAGTAATTCATGGAATCATCTCAAGGGAGCATACACCAATAACCACAAGAGAAGTACATTGTAAATAGTCACACTCAACAACATACTTTTTCATCATTAACCAACATGAAAGTTCATTTACACAATTTAACAAATACTTAGCATGCTAGTAGTCCAGAAGGCTAATTTCTTACTATCATAAACACGATTCTTACAAATTTCTTCATTTCTTTTCCACCTTTATTCTTCGTTCCCCCTTTCTTGCCATGGAGACTGTATTTCCAGAAGGGATTTCCAGTAAGTAGTAAATTTATATTTTAAACAAAAAAAAAATTATGCCTTGGGCAAGTTGAACCGATTAACTAATACATATGGAATATTCATCTCTAAGCTGGCAAAAACTGAATAGGTCTGAGAATATTCATCAACCCAAACATTAAAACTCGAATATCTAATTAGATTATATGCGGCATTTTAATTATAATCCTGGAAACCTATAACTCACAAAAATTAGGACTTAAATCTCTTAATTCACAAAATCTCAGTCCATAGTGATACAAGTCTATGCCACCCGAGTTTGAATGAATTCTCCTTGTCTATTTATAGGCATTTTTAGTAGCTTCTATAACTGTACCACCTGCAATTTTTTTCTACAATTCTATAACTTTTTGCACTCTACAATTATTTACATAACTCTCCAACATTATAGAATGTTTCAACTCTCTCTATAATACTCTTACCATTCTCAAAGACTCAAAAATTTTAATATACTCTAGATCTGTGTCTCCTCAGCACATACTGAGGTGGAAATTCCACAAATTTATAGAAAATTTTAAATACAATCCATCAAGAATGCAACAATTTTATTAACACATGAGTCATAACATCAAGAACAAATCAGTGATGAATATTATTGAATTCACTAATATGGATTTGCAATGTCAATATTAAAGATACAACATTTGTAATTTAAAACAATGTCAGTCAATTATGATGTATGTATAATTGATGACATGTAAAATTTAACTAATATATATAATCTCAAGAGTAAAAATTAAGGAAAAAATAGCAAAGGTAAGAAAGTGTTGGTTTGATTGTGGAGACATATGTAAACACATTGACCTGATAGTCTGTGGTGCAAGTATTGACAAAATTAGTTAGCTGCAAAATATAATCTAATCAGCTCGCAGACAGTCTGTCTACCCACGGCCCAAGATTTAGATTCTGGGACTTTTTTTATTTATTGGGTCAGTCCAATAGAGTCTCCAAAAAATGGGTCCCATATTTTGGGTCGTGGAATGGGTCGCCAAAAACGGCGACCCTGTTAGCGATTGCAGGCTGCGGACGTGCGGGCCTGCCCATTTTTTTGTTTTTTAACTTTTGTGCCCAGCAACACTGTAGCCCAGAATACATCTAAGGGCGTGTTTGACTGTTAAAAAAATTTCGAAATCAGTGTTTTTGCATTTTTTGGCCTTTTTTTTTTCCTCAACATAATTGAACTAAAGGCTTTTTTGAGCCAAAAAAGTTTTTAAAAATTGAAAAAAAGTGATTTGTTTCCTTTTCAAAAATTTCAATGTTCCTATTGACATTATAGCCGTTTTAGGTACTGTTTGGTTGACCCAAATAGTACTTTAACGGCTATATTAGCTAACCAAACAACTTTTTTTAAAAAAAATTTCCCTAACAAATTGAAATTTATTTTAAAATATGATTTTTTTATTAAAAAAAAAGGTGTCTTTGTTTTCACCTCTATAAATTAATAAATCAAATGATATTAGATATTATATTGTTGACAATATTTCATACATATTGGCTAAATAATTTTATCCAGAAACAATTTAATTATTTATTTCAAAATAAAACATTACACAATAAATATTTCATTACATAAACTTCATAACAATTTAAAAATAAATAAATGCAACATAAATTAAACATTTTCTTCACCAAAACGGTTTCACAAATATTCAATTACATCCTTCCTCAACCGCGTATTTGTCTCTTTGTTACGAATTTGAACTTGGCAAGAGTAGTTGTGTGTTGCTGAGACCAATGGATTTTGAATTAAAGTGGGAATCAAGAATGTCTCCTTCGGTGGTGAAGTTCATCTTTCAACATTGACATGGTGCTCATCTTCAATGATCATGTTGTAAAGGATGATGCACATTTTCATTACAAGGCACAAGTCCCCTTTATCCCAAAAACGCACTGATCCTTGCGTTATTGACCACTTGATCTGCAAGACCCCAAAAGCTCGTTCCACGTCTTTCCTGCAGGCCCCCTGTCTCTGAGCAATAAGTTTTTCTTTTGCTGTAGTTGGGTGTGGGATGGTCTGCATCAAAGTTGCCCACTTAGGGTATATACTATCAGATAGGTAATATCCCATTCTATGATAATGGCCATTCACAATGAAATTAACCGGAGGAATTTGGGCAGTGACGATATTGTTGAATATCGGAGAATGATCCAGCACATTTATCATTATGTGAACCCGGCATTTCAAAGAATGCATGTTAGATCCACAAATCTTCTGAGGCAACCGCCTCCAATATGAGCGTAGGCGTATGATAGCTTCCGATGTGTGTGCCATGCCATGACACCGAACAATTCTTCCACTCCCAATGCGTATAGTCGATAGAAACAAGCATATAGTCGATAGAAACAAGCATACTCGAGAATCCTCTCTCCTCCCCTTCTCGAAGTAATCGTGCTATGTCAACTTCGTTGGGTGGTCGCATGTATTCTTCCCCATACACACCAACAACAGGCTTACAAAATGTCATCCTAATGGCAGTGCTCTCGCCGATTTTAATATACTCATCACAATGATCGGCTGCACAACCATATGTGAGTATACGTATTGCAATTGTCATCTTCTATATAGAAAACAACCCCAAACGACCTGTTGTATCCCTTTTTTGGATGAAGTAGTCATCATAAGATTTGACATCATTCAGAATACGAAGAAATAGTTCTCGTCGCATCATGAATCATCTGTGAAAGTACTCTGGTGGATATGTGCAATTCTCGCCAAAGTAGTCTTTCATTAGTTAACGGTGGCTTCCCACTCGATCACGATAAATGTACCGCCTCTTACGCGGTTTAAAGACTTGCTCTACTATCTCTGGGTTTATTGAATTCAAAATCGAACTAAAGACGTCTTGATTTTATTGAATCAACGTGTCAATAAGGTTATCTGATGAAGAGGATGATGAAGAAGATGAATTAGAGACTGACAAAGGAAAAAAGCGTGACGAGGAGGAAGCCATTGGAATTTTGAGATTGAAGGAGATGTGAAATGATACTTTGTTAGAATGATAAATATGAATGTAATGATGATGAGATGAACAAATAATTGTTTATATAAGATAAAAAATATAACCGTTAGAAAAAATTAATTTATTAAAAATTTAAAAAATATTAAAATATTAATATTTTTAGAAAGCGAAAATGCACAATTAGGCTAAAATTTGGAGACTCTAAAATGTTAGAGTCGGCTATGAAAAAGCTAACGTGGCTATGAAAAATTCTAACATGTCATTAAAAAATGCTAATGTTACAAAATCGTAAAGCCTATTTTGAAGACTCCATTAGAGATGCTCTAATGGTCGAATTGATTATCTACATTTTTATATGGGGAGATAGATGGACAGAAATTTGACGTGAGAATTTACCAATTTCGTTTTTACAGGTATTATGCTGTCTATATTTTTTTCACCAGTATTCTGCTATTGACTATTGACTATTGACTATTTACTTTAATCCTTTTCCTTCTTTTCCAAGAACACGAACACAGATCCATTGGCAGCTGAATGGTCAAAACTTCTTTAAAATGACAGCCGCATTGGAGCTCTTAAGGTGGATTACATGCAAGAAAAAATTTTAAAAATTTAAAATTCAAATTTATATTTATTTATCTCAACAATTAGGATTTCAAAGTACAACATTCCCCGTACCCACAAGATTCACCGAAAAGTCGCACTTCTGTTCCCAGATGCCGGAAATGCCTGACGCCTTCTACCCTGCGGAAAATCTCCAGCCCCTTCAGCTTTCTGAACCCTACCTGTAACTGAACTCTTCTTCTTCCTATCTCCTGCCTCATGCACCTCACTTTTACTTCTATCTTCCCCGAAATTAATCTGATTCCTTGCCGCTTCGTAATCAAATGGCTTCAATTGCAAAAAGCCATCTGGTTGTTGGGGCTTCTCAACTAGTCTGGCTTTTGCAGTTTGATTCATTGACTGGAAGCACTTCTGAAAGCTGGAGGATAGATCAGAAAGGGACATAGTCTCTTCATTATCATCAATTTCAAGAGACGACCCTAGAGTGTTGTCTTCCCTGTGTTCTAACTGTTCATTAGTCGTTTGTGATTCAATCTTTACTGGGTCATTAACATTTGCATCACCTTCCAATCTTATAATGTCTTCTGCATTGGAGCTAGCGGATGGTACAGCCACGGGTTCACAATCAGAAATTTCTAGTGTTCTTGTGGCCTCTTTTACAACCGGTTGCAATTGATCATCCCTTCCAGAAAATGAATGGAAGGGAAGGTTCACAGAAGACTTGATCTGCTCCAACTTGATCTCTTCCTTTTCCTAAGAGTCAAAAGACAAATAAATTGTTTTCTTTAGCGAAAAAATCTTGTTGCACTGAGTAATTCTAGCAAATTGGCTGCAAAAATCCGGTGAGTTTTCATAGAGCTGATCCAACTGCCAGTGAGTGACCAAAATTTTGACAACTTTCAAGATCGATAATGATAAGATCAAACTGCCAGTTGGTATGGCCAAGAACTCAGTTCAAAGACGGAAAAAAAAAATTAAAAAATAATAAAATAATAAAAAAAAATCAATGATTGCATAAAACTCACTTTTTTATTAGGATCAAACTTCCTCTTCAATGATGAATTACCCAAAAGCGACCCAAAAGCACGACTTGGCCTCTTTAGGACCTGAACAGTTGCTCCAGTAACCTTCAGAGATATAGATATTAGCTTTATTTCATTTCCCCAAGGGAAACCAAGACAATAAAATTTCAAAGGACCATTAACTCACTGATTGTGACACGCTAATATTGGCATTTGTATCCCTATGCTGCACAGAAATATTGATACCGTCTCTTGGAAGCCCACCACTACAGCTCTCTGTTTCAGTCCTGACATTCCCATTTTCTACGGAATGCTCGGCAAAGCCTCCCTGTTCACTTCTGCCAACTCCAGTACTGTTTTGGAGCTCCATAGACTCCTCTGTCGGTGGGTGACCAAACATACCGTTGTGTGCTGTGTTGCTGCCACTAGTTCTATCCATTCCTTCTGCATTTTTCAATCTTTCAGAAGCTTCAGAAGGAGGCAAGCCATCTGGTCCATCATAAACCACTAAGTTCTCTTCAGATGCCTGCATATTATAAAAACTATGTCATAAAAAAATGTTAATTATAATAAATATGAATCATCTTGAACTAAAGATAATTAATAAAATAAATACAAAGAATCTGAAGTACACAAGATATGACCCTACTACAAACTCAGAAACCAAGTGACGTGCAAGGACAGTTTACCAGTTGGTGATGACAAAAAATTGAAGAATCATTAACTGTTAGTTGATGAGAAGTTCAATATTTAAAGATTGTAAGCCTTTCAGACCGACCTAGTTTACATGATTTGTGAACTCACAGTTGTTAAATAGAAAACATAAACATGCTACATGACTGGTGGTATTTTCCCCACCTAACATGGTGAGGAAAGTAGAAAATACCCATATCATCGACTCTGAAATTTAAACACAATAGTAGGCCCAAACAACAGCAAATATGCCTTCAAAGATGCAAAGTTTGTAACCATTCTTAATTCAAGTGCCAGAAATTATTCAAAAGGTGAAGAGTATGAAATTCAATTCTCTTCCTTCCATTCAAATATCTATATACTCTGCATCCTTTAGCTCCTACAACTTTCTTAGAAAGACAAGAAGCACATCAGAAGGTTTTTTTATGCTATTCATTGCATATTGAGATGACCTATAAAGTGTAACAAAAAAGAAAAGGATAAAAACAGAAAACGGCACATATAAGATGACCAAGCCTGTTTTGGTTCAGTGCTAAGAATAGAACTTCTAGATAATGAAGCCAATAATCAAACCAATTCAATTTTCAGGCTGGACACTGAGGAACTAAGAAAATATATAATTCTCTATTGGTCCTTTTTTTGGTCTGCATAGAATGGGGACAAGGTTTTGAACTAGTAACTTGGAAAATAATAAATAAAAATAGAAAATTGTAGGATTTGTGTCTATTTTACCCATCTCTTACTTATCTGCATAAGATCGAAACAAATATTCAACTTTCATCTACTTGAACTATTTACCTTAAAAAATATATAAGAATTATCAGTCAATTTTAACAGCCTCATACTGCAATTTAGTAATCCATGCAAATTGAACAAGAAAATATGTAACATCCATAAAGCGGTATCAACCCTAACTCGTAAGTATGAGTCTTACAGTTTCCTTGCGCCCCTCCTTTAAATGTTCAGCAGCAGGCTCAAATGCAGCAGCATTTTGAATAGAATGCTTAATGATGCCAACAACAGAACCAAGATTACGCTCAACGTGTGGGTGCTTTGATTTCAACATTCGCCGCAACTTGCTGGGAGTGACAGGCATGTATTTGGCTTTTACCAAAAAAAAAAAAGAAAAAAAAGGAAGAATAAGAGCATTAACAAAAGTCAATGTCTCGTTTAAAGTACAATAAGAACAGGAAATACAATCACGTGACAAATTTGTGTAGAAACAAAAGAAACAAGATCACCAATTAAGTTTCCACATACCGATTTCAAGAAGAGTTTTGTTTGGCAATATATAACCAGTACTTTCATCCTCTGCACGGGCAACGACATCTCTCCACTCACATAGCCCCTGCAAAACATTCAAGACCAACATAGGAGGCAATTATACAGAGAGGGAAAAGGAAAAAGTAAAATACAAAGAATGATTGCTAATTAGTTCAAGTGTCAACTACAAAGACAATTATTTATACACAATGATTGGATCTATTCATGTACTGATCCAGCAATCCTTCCAGAGCAGAATAAAAGACCGGTCAATTTTTGGATGAAAATCCACATCGTGATAGAGAGAAAAATAAATAAATTAAATTGAAGTTATTCCTTTAGCCCAATTCTTGATTAGAAAATTTATGAAAAGGGAAGATGATACAAAAGAGGAAAACAAGAAAATGACTTACTGCAACAATCGCAAGCTGCTGAGCATCGAGATCAGCACCCGGCAACCTGTCAATATTGCAAAAGGTATGCATACAACTTATTTTCAGTTAAGTGGAAAAAGAAAGGCAAAAGCAAGGACAGAAAAACTAAAAGAGAAAAGGAGCACAATTAATACACATGATGTTTGGCAATTCATGCAATTAAGCACCTCACAAACAGAGACACCAAGCAACATACCCGTATATGTAGAGATATGAACTATCCGTCAAAATCTCTTTCTCATAAAGTTGCATACATATATCATAACTCCGCTTGTAGACCTGTAACCAAAGCTCCATTGATGAGTACAAATAATAATAGAAAATAATCAAACCCCAAGATACCACCAAATCTAATTTAAACCAAATAAAATGAATTTGTGCGTGTGTTCACACATTGAGTGCAAATATGGAACTTTGATAACAGTAACAAAAAAAAAAAACTGTCAAAAGCCATAAGGTTGATAAGTGCATGCCTTTAGTCTAGGAGCTCAAGTGTGGTCCCGCTATGAATGCTAGCCATACGAGAAGCAACATGTTCTTGGGCCAAAGGGGCTATTGGCAGTTAAGATGTGTGTACCTTACAAGGGATAGGCTTGAGCTCAGCCATGCTGAAAGGGTTCTTTGGCACGGACATTATGACATAAGGCAAAAAATATGCTAGGATGCCTCAAAAAGTTCATAATGGACAGTCTACACTGTGGTGTATCATTTGCAAGAATATAAGGGGAAGAAAGATGTGCCTTGGATGTCATCTAAATTGCAGCATACATGTACCTCAAAGCCATTAAGTTACAATTTGGTCCTCCATATTCACCCTGACCACCATGTTCAAAGAAATTCCCATATTGATTTACTTCATCCTATGCACACCAAAAATTGCAAAGACAGTCCTCGAAATAATGCAGACTTCCCATGTCCTACGAGGCCACACCCATAAGCTCCTCTAAAAACAATTTAGCGGAAAACTATAAATTTTATTTCACACTACTTAAAAATGAAAACGCAGAAAACTCGTAACTCCTAGGATATCATACTCCACTATAATATCGCACGATAAAGATTACTTAATGTGCAGATGAGTACTGAATACACCAAAAGATTGTTCTCGCACTTGAGGAACGAGCATATACCACATAATTAGACACCCAGATCTTATGATTTGAAGGTGGATTTCCTCTAAATTATAATATGTATGAATACCACTCAACCACAACAATATCATCATTTTATACTCTACCAGATCCACCCTAATCTCCATTTCTTAAATCTTGGCTTTCCTGCAAAAAAGGCCACATGATCACCTAAGGGTCAATTGAAAAAATGCAACCTACAAGCCTATGTAAAAAAATAGGCATCGCCCATGATATAACAAGCCTCAAGACTTAAAGTGAGTGATACACCGATTCAGCATTGAGTTCAGTAGATATTATCAACCTACTGAGGACAAGGTCATCAACAATCCAAGTTTTGTTCACTACTGCTGCCCATACAAAGAAGACCACAATGAAATATTTCAAAAGGACCCAACAGCAGATGAAACATTCTATTCTATCACAGGTAAGTAAAAAACATTTTACCATGAGAACCTGGAAACTTTGAGCATCCATCTCCTTCAGTCACTTTCAATATGACCATACAACAAACTTACAACTACTAACATATTCTCGGAATACACTGTTATCTTGTCCGTAGATTCCACCGAAAGGTTACTATACATTCACACTCCAATCTTACAAGAGAAACCCAATGAAGTTATAGTCTGATGCAAAGTCATAAACATCCCAAAAAAATATGGAGAAGGCGCGGGGGGAATGCAAGAGTCGCTCGTCATTGCGGCATCTAGGGAGGAATCTTAATCTTACCTCTGCATGCAGAGAGGTTGTTTCCTGTTTCGAACCCATGACCTCATCCATTCCCCTTCCAAAACACTATTCAAACCTAAATTTTGGATGGTGCATCATCTTATACACCGACAATTCATAACCCACAGCCAAAAGGAGACCCTCGATTCATTGGTTAGCCTTCTACCTCTATGACCAAATATATCACCTATTTAGAGTACAATGGCTTTCCTCCATAATAGCCACTTACACAATAATGCCTTCTAAAAGAACCAGAGGGTTTTGAACTCGAGATTGAAAACCTGTTTCAATCACATGTCCGGGATAGAACAAGTGATAGATAAATTTCACCTTCTCTCCATCCTAGGGGAAGAAAATGTAGTGACCTTCCACTTTTTAAATATATATATACATTTTTTATAGGTACACTTTTTTAATATACGACCCATAGATCCTAGTCATTGCTGTTAGACACAGACGAACAAGTATCCAACACTTAATTTATCTCACCAATGGACCAGTGGCCTAACGGTATCAGACCCCTACTTCCCAAAGGAAGGTCTTGGGTTCAAGCCTCAGTGGAGGCATGTGTGTGTGAATACTAACTAAGAAAAAAAAAAAAAAAATTACCTCTAATGAACTTACTTTCCGAAGCACTCCATTTTTTAGATATATTCTTCTATTTTCTTTCACTCCATATTACAAATCTAAGTATTAGAAAGTTAAGAATATCACCTCATATTAGAGATTTAAGTATCTTGCAGTGCACGATATAAAGAGATACATAAATACCAAAGAACACTTAGAGTAAGTTACATTCTAAGACATGATCTATACAATCCGGCAGTTTCAACACAGAATTTTCAAAAGAGACACAGATAATGATGACAAAGATGACAACAGCGACAACAAACCATGATGATGAAACTATTTAATATCAAGTTAAAATAGCTCAATTCTCTTCTACATCAAATGAAGATCTACGGAACCCACTATAAGCAGCTCCAGTGGATGTCATATGGATAGCACCAACGGAAACCCAAGAAGAAAATAAATTTTAAGCAATGACAAAGAAAAGTAAGGTAACATAAACTGCAAATTATAGAAATTCACATTAGCAGAAATAATCCACTAATCAGAAATGTAAAAGCAGTAAGTTAAGAACAGTCATAATGCAGATAAGCAAGTTTTCAAGAGGAGAAATGCATTTTGACTTCCAAATACATGGATTAAAAGCACAAAAGATACATGGCTTATAAGGACCATACCTCTTCCAGCAAAGCATCAGAATTTTCAGACTCAACAGATGATGAGAGCAAACTGATTCTCATTAAATCATAAATATACAACAGATAGTGTGTGTCTTCTCTCGCATATCTGTGAGCATTAAAATAAATAAATACATAAACAAATCTGAAGCTATTGGACGTTGAGCAACACTTGGCAGCATAGTAATTTGAAACAAGTAGATATAATCATGAGCAACATAATGCCTTCAACAAACGTGTACGAAGTGTATCCAAATAGGAGTTAAGTGCAAAGGAAGAAAGGGGGGTGGCAAATGAAGTTCTGAAATTTAATTTCTAGGGTTAACTCTTGTGTAGTCCTAACTCTAGAAGTCTCACACAGAATAATATTAATTATACAATATTTAAGAAAGTTTTGACATCTAAATTTTAGGGTTGAGGCCCATATCTATTGCAAAGAAGTTAAGAAAGAGGGAAGAAAGGGTTCAGTGAATGAGGTTGAAGACAATACTTAAGCTGCACGGAGCACTCGAACCAACCATCTGGTTTCAAGTAACATGTCAGACTATATCACTTCAAACAACCTAGTAATTAATAGTTAATTGAATATGCTTGAAAAACTAAGTACGAAAAGTAATTTGTTATATATTTGGTTATTTCTTCTACCTAATTTATTTCGTGAATAAATTAGGAATCACATTTCCAATCAAGCATACAGTTTGTGCAAGTTGGAAAATTCCCCTTCTAGGTGTCAGTAATTTCAACATAGCAATTGAGGTTGAGAACCATTGATCAATGCAAAAATTATAGCACATTTTAAGATCATTCGCACAATCAAACGCATAATTTTCACTGTTTTGTTACGACTGCGGGTTAATTGATCATTGGCGAGCAGTATCAACTCCATCATGCATGTCCTAAAGGACATCAATATTTTAATTCATACTGAAGAACCGTGTAATAAGCTTTTCTAAATTAACACCACAAAGAGGAGTTTCCTCTTCCCTTTGGAACTATCCATTATGGCAATTTCTAACCAAATTATTGATTGTCCGGGTTAACTGTAAAGCTTCATATAAGGTATGAATCCAATTAATGAAGAAGCTTCATACAAGGAGTTTTGATCAAAACTTTTGGAACCATACGTGAACCAAATATACTTGAAGTGTGATAATCACTTGCCAAGAACTCTAAAAACTGAAATATTCTTGGTTTCTAACCAAAACGTACTTCAAACTTTCAATCCATCACAGGAAAAGAATAAAAATGTGGCACAGAAATAATCAAATTACAGAAGGCAATGGGATAATATAAGAGATGTTAATCTACGTATCAAAGAATCAAGACGATTGGATTATATTGTAGTTTATTAGTTGACGTTTTTATTTTGTAGAATATTAGTAAATTATTCTGATTTATTGATGGAGATCAGTGGTAACAGCCTTTAAAGGTGTATAAAAAGTCGTGGAAAGGAGTGTTCCAAGACCCAAACCTTGATTTTCCATATGCTATACGATGTGGGGCCACAAGGAGTCTTAAATAAGTGCAGGTTTGGGTCAGGTTGCATCATTTATGAGTTTGGTGGGAAAAATGATGCAATTAACCTGGGATTTATTTACCTTTTTTATGTTATTAAGTCATCACTTGAGAATTTGGAGAGTTGGGGGTGTTAATGATTACCTCCATTATAATATAAGTCCAAAAGTCATGAGTGTCGAGGAGTCATGAGTTGAAATCCTGTGAAGGAATGGGATGTAATCTTGGTTGAAGCAGTAATGAATGAATAAAAAAATTTTTTATGGACTACCACTGTGAGTGATTCACAAATTATGTAGGTGTGATTCTTTAGGAGTGATGCCTGCAGTTATTGGTGTGGCGCCTACAGTAATTGGTGTAGGCTGTTGTTATTTCATATCCTTTCTCCTTGTTTATAGACATCTCTACTATCAAATCTCAAATTCCAGCCCTGATTCTTTGGATTTTCAGCCACTGAACTCTTAACTATTAGCTATTTGAAGTTCTACATCATTTATTTTCTTATGCTAAGTAGTATTCATGGATTTAAATGTCAAGCTTGATACTTACAGGGTAGTATACTGGTTAGCATGATCCAAAAAATAATCAATTGCATTTCGGATTTATGCCCATACAAGAACTTGTAATGGAGAGATAAGGATGACAGTGTTAATTAATTGCTTTAAAACATTTTGTCTTCTTTTCCTTGTAGATATAAAGACTCCCCAGTGTGTATTAAAGCCTCTACAAGTTCAAAATTTACCTTCTTCCTTCACTTCCCACGTTATAAATCAACCAGAAAAAGAGAAAACAATGATGATTGAAATAATCAAATATTTCCATTGTGTAATCCAAGGAAATCAATATACAGTGGTGCTTTAAACTTTTAGATTAGTGCTAATATCTCTCTTTTTGCAGAACACGCAAATATTAGCACGTCTATATATCAAGAAATAAAGATACCCCAATTTATGATCCTCATTTCTAATTGAATGCCTTTCTCCAATAAAGGTTTACCCACACCTTACTCAAAGAAGTTCAAATCAGAGAAAATATAAATAAATAAAAGATATAAAAAAGATTAAAAGAAGGGAAAGAATGCTTGAAAGCAGAAAATAAAGACTGAGGTTCCAACAGTCCATGTACCTGAGCATCTCATCAGGAAGAGGGCGTAACCTCCAATCTGCATTCTGGTATCTGCAGAGAGTTTGCTTGTCAATCATACTTAAATTTTCTTTTTCGCCCGCGGGGGGGCGGGGCTAAACAATGAACAGCACATATTGCGTACATATAGAACCTACTCTTTGTTAGCGGTAACTCCACAAAAGTGCTGCAGAAGATACTCCAGACTATTTCTCTCCAGTTTCAACATCCTTGAGGCCTATGGAATATCAAAAAAAAAAAGTTAACTCCATCCAACCTAAAAAAAATAAAATATCACAGCATTTATTTTACGAGTAATTAAAAAAATAATAATAAATGTAAAGCAACCAGAAGGGATTCCTACATATATGCTTCCACTGCCGATCTGGCAAATTATATTACAACATACAGGAAAAATATGTTCCATTGAGAACATAAATTCAACAAAATGAAAATTCTTCAAGAACCACTGGATCCATAATACTTGATATATAATGAAAAAGTTTCACCTTTTCAGTCAAATAAATAAATAGAAAAATGAAACCCAAATATATAATTGTAAAGAAATTCCAAAGCACAGATCAAAGTACTCGATATTATGTCACTAATGATATAAACCTTATGCAGTTTTATTCATTATTCCTTGCTATTTCTACAACACTTGAGAGTAATTTGTGGTACAAAATCTTAGAAGACAACAGGGAAGAGACGTGTGAATGCCTTGACTTGTAACAGTGCTGGCACTATATCTTTTTGGGTAAGGACTGGAGGCACTATGTTAGTCATGTGAAAAAATATACAATAATTATAACAAGTCAAAAATTCAGCCACTAGATAGAACACCACCCAAAAAGATGGCACCAGAAATCAGTGGGATCAGAAATGTAATTTCAACACTTCTAGGACATGTTCTAGAGACGTCAAGCCACAAGTAATATAGTGTTTCAGGATCATAGCGATAAACAATTGCATCTCTTGCAAATTTTTACAAATTAATACTCACGTTTTGAAGCATAAACACAACATTTCACAAGGTATTTTGATGGGGTTAGAAGAAGCATAGATTCTAAGGAGGACAGGAAGAAAAACAGCAGTCAGAAACCACATTTTGAAGCATAATATGTCCCAACATGCAAAAAATATATATATAAATAAAATAAATAAAAATCTTAAACATTTCCCGTGGACTTCATTGGATATTGAAGTATTTGAATCAACATATTGAGCTAATTTTGCTAATACCGATATTATGATAAAGAATAAAAATTTTGGTGGAATTAATCCTGTAATTCCCATGCTGACATGGCCACATATTATTACCCACATATGGTGAACCAATCAGGTTGACTCACCTGGAAGAGAAGATGACACGACTTTGTGGAGATAGATCTAGGTAGATGACTTAGTATTGGGGGGAGATGAAAGAAGATTTCCAGTCATCTCAGACATGGGAATGGGATGTGTCAGACACTTTTAGGCGGACATGTAGTTAAAAACCATATCTAATCATTCAATTATATTATATTATTAATTTTAAATAAGTTACATGCCTATGAACACTATATTAGATAAAAACATTACTTCACTCTAGAAAATAAAATAAAATGAATATTTGGCAGTGTCCATGTGTCCTGATTAGAGATCTGACACGTCCGATGCATGGATATACATACCCGTGTCCAACACACACACACACATACCCGAGTCCAAGTAACACATATATATATATACATAATTCCCAAAAAAAATCTGCCCGTCTAAGAAACAATGTGTTCCATAAAATGGTTAGGACCGAAACCCAGGGAAACAAATGGAAAAAGAAAAGGGGACAAAACTGTTTCCACGTGATCTCTTATCTCTTCTTCCTAGCATAATCACAAGAAAATTTGATTCTCTAAAAGATGCCATGTGCCAGATCTATGTGAATCATCCACACTCAAAAAAGAAAAGGAAAGAAAACCTGCTTCTAAATAATTGCTATGATTCCCGTATTGGTTTACTCCAGTTCCACATACAATGAACTTGGAACACAATCAAAATACCAGTACAAAATTATTTATTGCAACTCTAACCCTTTTTTTTTTTCCCAGAAAGTAACTCCAACCCAATTTTGTATTCATATTCTAACATCAGTTGGATGGTTATGGAATATGCTGATAAAGAAGAATGAAATTAAAGTGCAAATGTTGAGAAGGATGCGTAGTAAAATAAGAAAGGATAAATTTAGAATGAAAGCGTCCATAAGACTGAAAGTGGCAGCAATTGGAAATAGAAATGAAAGAAAATCTACTGATGTAGTGTGACAACATACAACGAAGACCAAATAACTTACACCAGTTAAAAAAAGAGTGAATGACCGCAGCTAGAGGAACGAAACTACCAAAATTAACATGAATCATGGGAGAGAAGGAAACTACATGATAGTATGTAGTTCAAGCAAATCTATGGCCTAAGAAAAAACAGAATTGCAAATAAAACCAACCCCAAATGATAGGACTGAGCTGATTTGAGTGTGTTTATCCCAACAGCTATAAATTGCAATTGCAATGCAACTCTATCCAACCCAAAAAGATGATTATGAAAGAATAAGGAAAGAGGCAGAAAGAATAGTTAAACCACAAGAAATAATAGTATGATAATTATTTCAGTCAAAACAGCCAAGAAACTAGTGAGTGTTGAACTGTTGCCAATACAATCTACTTGTTCTGAAAACGTACAAAAATTTGTTAGGCAGAGGAAGATGCAAATGAAAACTTGGGGGTAGAGGGGGAGAGAGACTCCATCCAACATAGAGAAGTTATACAGACATAACCAAGATTGACTGACACACTTAATCTGGTTCAGTCTGACTGGCCAGAAAACACATACATGGCCGGAAATCAAAATAAAGGATAAGTTACTCAGAGACCATACAATTCTTGCTCATAATAGCATAAATATGAAAATAAGTCTCAAGTGCAGTTCACAGTTCAAAAGAGTAGTGGTCTCAAAAGAAAACCTGCCCGGTGTCAAACAAATTGCAGATATATATGCCAAAGTCCCTTTGAAGCCATACTATATCCCGATCTGCTCCATGCATGACCTAATTAAGTAAAGTATCATCAAAATGAAATGAATCTGCCACCATGTCAAAAATGCACAACATCCAAGTAATTACCTTTTTCTTGGTAGGGTCCTTGAAGACTTCCCTTAAATAAGGACCAATGTGAATGCGAAGCTTTAGCGTGTCTACAACAAAATCCTCAGTTCTAGTAGATATTTGCATCAGGCAAGTCAATCCTTGAAAGGATCGATACTGATTATGTTCCAAATCGACCTAATCAATAGCAACACCAATTCAAAATAAATAAATAAGAAGAAGAAGAGGAAATTATGTGTACATAACTCCAAAAAAATATAGCACTAACACAAAATGTAATTTTAAACAAACTTTAGAACAATCAAAAGCCACTCGTCCTCCAAAGACATTGTATTCTTATTCAGAAGTCGAAAGGCATGCAAACTACATTCCAAAGAACTTTTTGAAGCCACTATAAACAGTCCATATAAGTGATAATAAAAATGCATCACGATTGGACATCTAAGAACAGAACAAGTGCTCAATAGCAATCAAAAGGAACACGAAGAAGACATACTTTGAAAAATAATCATTTTCCCTCTTCTCTCTCTCTCTCTCTACAGATCCTTGGACTCCTGACCTAAGGTTGACCACACAGGCCACCTCTCAAGCCAAAGAGGCACGAAGAGGACAGGTAAAGTTAATCATTTTCCAATATCCATATATTTGGCAATCTAAGCATACTGAACACAACTATCTCAAAATATTCACCAAAATAATAAATAAGTGGAGAATGGTTTCTTTGTCCAACTCCTCCATACCCTTGAACCATCTCCACGAAGCCCTTTGATATGCATCAAAGTTTGAATGCAATAAATAAACCTCTACATTATAAAATAAAACCTCTGTTTAGCCATCACATGATCCAAGAGAACCCAATAGAAATGAGTGTAGGGTAATCCAAAATCAATCCTCAAAAACTAATTCACCATGTGACTTGCGACATTCTTACTAACATCAGACACCCAACAATGTAAAATATCATTAATGAATCTTGATACTTTCACACCAAACATATAGAGATATACGTTTATGTGTGTGCATGGAGTTAGAGCGAGACTGTGTCCACAGATTTTCAGGTTTTCCCTTCATAAACTTCAAGAAATCATGCCATTTTCAGCTTTGAGATGAGTCTGCTGATTATAGAAGGGAGTGTTAAACTTAACAAAAAATTACAAGAAATGTAACTGGTCATCATTCGGATAAGTTGTAACAGTCCTTCCCAACCAATCTTTATATTTTCTTTTACGGGAAGAAAAAAGAAAAGAAACATTACACACTAAAATTCATACAAAAATCCCTGACAATAAAAAAATTCATACTAAAACTCGCATAATTAGCAACAAATATTTTTTTGAAGTATTGCATTTAAATAATTGGGAAAAATAATCCATTAAAAGAACACCACAGTCAACATTTACCGCAAATTCATTCACGCCACGCAACTTGGCAGCTAACTCCTTCAAGTCTTTGACATCTTCCACAAGCTTGAATGGGGTGGACTCCACCGGAGGTGGTTTTACAGGCTCAAAATCCCCAACATCTTTATCAACAAAATCCAGAACAGATAATTTCTCCTGCAATATATATACATATATCAACACAACAAATTTCCATTAATATTTGCAATCAATAAAAAAGAAAATGAATGGCACCAGATGAGCAGTTTGAGCAAGCACGAACAATGTTAATTGCAAGCCAAAACATATAATCAGAAAAGCATCGTCATTTGAACATGAATAATCTAAATTATGGAATAGTCATTCATCATACACATTTGCATTATGTGCCTTATAAACTCTACAAGGCAGTGAGGCACATAATGCAAATAGAGATGACATTGTGATATTGGGAGTCCTCACAATTTATCATGCATAATCAACTAGATGATATTGAGAAAAGCTATAGGCAAAGAAGAATTCTCACAAATAATAAGTAAATCATAGAGGCAAAAAGGAAAAACGAAATTGAGGCGATAAGTAATTTATTCTTTGCCTTGCTATAACTTCTTCAAAGGGGAATGGGGAAGAGAGAGGGAGGGAGGGGAAGAAGGGGGTTTGGGGGGGGAGGATTCAAATCCAAGGTGTCACCAATGTAAACAAGTTGGAGAGTCTATAATGGTCATCAAGATGTGATCGATTAAAAATAGACAAGCACTGCCATTTTGCTGCTGGCAAGAGCAAGAGCTACTAGTTAGGCCTCTGTGGCTGGAGTGAAGCATCTACCATGCTCAACAAGATGCTTTCCTAAATTCCCTGTTGATTCAAATTGCCAAAAGCAAATTTGGGGATTAAGTATATACAAGTGTCTGTGTTTCAAAGTACTGACACAGAACTCAAGTATATGTATGGCCATGACTTCTGTTACTTTCAATTCTCCGATGAGGTTAGCTATGTCATTCTAAGAGTTCATATATTCCAACTGCTAAAGAGGCTATTTCATTTTAGAGTTTCAAATTTAAACATTTTTCTTTCTCTGATGAATTGTACTCTAAACAGGGGACATAATAAGCCTTGTAGAAAATATAATTAGTACTTAGGAAAAAAAAATTATATGTAGAATTCTATGCACATACAAGCTTACTTAAACATAATATGCATATATGAATAACATCACTGCAAAGACCGGGTGAATATTAATTGCAAAACATAGCTTCAAACAAACCATCTCTGGATCTAAATTCTACTCCCCAACAAGAATGTAAAAAATACATTTAATAAAAAAAGAAATCGGACTGCGTGAACATAGAATCATTAGTGGATTCAATCAACTCACATCAAAGGAATTATATTCTCTCACACGCATGTGAGCGCACACTGATATATAACCTATAATCAACAATTCGATCAAGATCACGAAGAAAAGAAACTAACCAGGGGATGTATTAACCTGGAACCATCATCACTCCTCTGCAGCCAAACGTGTTCAAACGGCTGATTGGAATTATTAACCAATATCTTGAACTCGTCTTGTGGCCGAGGGATTGTCGGTATATGAAATGGCACCTTTGGCTTCGTCCCCGTCGTCTTTTTATCCCTAGAAGCCACCTTCACCGCTGAAGAACTCGATTCTTCAACCAGAGATTTCTCCACCACCTGACTTGCCCCCTTCTTCTTCTTCCCATAAACCAACTGAAACCCACTTTCAGAATCCACCGAACTCGTCATTCTCACACCGGTTTCCTCTTCTTTCTTCTGCATTCGCTGATACTCGTCCACGGACACATCAAACCTCTCCATAAACTCGTCGTTAACATTCACCAGCCAATCATATGCTTCTTCCAGATCTTCAGGGAATGTCATATCTTTCTCCCAAACGTGCGCCGAAGACCCGATTGTTTCAAGCATCGATTGCGATTTCTCAGCTATTTCTTTTATCGGAACTTTGAATTCATCGAAGTTGTAGTAGAAATGGAAGTCTTTATCGGAAGGTATACCCCTCGAAGAACCCGAAAGCTTCGCGATTGAAGACGATAAAGGCCCTTTTGTAAGACCCTGTAACGTCTCGGCCTTTTGCTTCAGGGACTGGCCTTGAGACGGATCGATCTCCATAACTTCGCTGCTCGTTCCGATCAAGAAGATGTTGTTGTGTTTCGATTCACAATTAACATTGAACTCGCAAGAGCTGTTTGAATCGTGTTTCTTGGGTTGTGAGGGTTTAGGGTTAGGGTTTTAGAGACCGTTGAAGAGGCCTAGAATGTCTGTAGTTCTATTTGTACATTTCAAGAAAGAGAGAAAGGGCATGAGTTTCGTACAAATAGTTAAAACAAATTAATAAATGTAATGAGGTGTCTGATTATGTATCACGTGTCAGGCGTGACACTGCACGTGTCAATATGAACCTGCAAAATGTAATAAAGGCATGAGTTTTGGGAATATCTCCATGTTCTACCGCAATCCAAACATGAAAGAAGTACAATTTTTTTTTTTTTTTTTTTAAAGGGTAAACATGAAATTTTATTTTGTTGAATTGGTGTTTAAAGTTTATAGTAAATTTATTCTTTTATAATTCTACTGAAGTTACTCTTTTCATAGAGCGAGCAAGCGAAAAAGAGTTGCTCGTTTGCATAAATAGTACAATTAAAACAGAAAAAACATTTTGGACACCACAAGGTGATTGGAACTTGCAACATTAGATCAAAGGCACTTGTTGTGCAATTATTGTTTTGCTTCACATATAATGATAGTATAATGTTGTTGGATAACTTGGATCTTTTGTTCACCCAATTGATATATTCTAAACATAGAGGTTTTTCATCAATTCCTTAACTGTTTTGCTTATTTACCTTTCAAAAATAAAATAAAAAACTGTTTTGCTTAAAGTGTACATTATTTGGTTCTTTTGATAGAGAGCACCTTCCTTATAAATATAATACTCCGTGATTTATGTTCTCTAATATTTTATCTCAAAGCCGAATTCACACCTTAAAAAACGTAAGACATCAATTGTGTAATTGCGTTATGATTTTTTACCCAATTTAATATAAACAAAATGATGAATTGGAAATGATGGAGGGAAAAAACGATAATATTTTAAAGGATTCATGTCTAATATAATAACCTTGCCATTATGAAATAAAAAATAAAAAATTGTGTTGTGTAATACATATCTCAAAGAGAATGAGAAAGGTTCTTGCCAATATATATATATATATATATATATATATCTTATGAAAGTGTATTTTATTTTTTTGTAATAATAATATATACTTTTCAAATAACTACTAACACCTTTTTTAAAAGTCACCTTTTATTATTTATATACAATTAAATCATTTAATTTATTTTAATAAATAAATGTGACTTTTCAAATAACTATTAACACCCATTCTAAAATTATCCTTTTAACTGCACTAACACCTCTTCTAAAAGTCACCTTTTAAGTGTAAACACATGTTTGTTTAACCATATAAAATATATATAATAACTACTAACACCTCTCGTAAAAGTCACCTTTTATTATTTATATATAATTAAATCATTTAATTTATTTTAATAAATAAATGTGACTTTTCAAATGACTACTAACACCTTTTCTAAAATTTACATTTTAACTACACTAACACCTCTTCTAAAAGTCATATTTTAACTTCAAACACTTGTTTGTTCAACCATATAAAATATATATATATGTATATATATATATATATATATTATATATATATATCTAACTTTCATATCACCCAATATCTCACTCCTCTCTATTTCTTTCCATCTCTCTTTGAAAATAATTTCTTCACAAAAAGTTTGTTACAGGTTTCTTCTTTCACAAACAATTTCAACGGTTTTGAGAGGAGACTCGTTTTTTGGTTCATGTACATCAAATTACACACTACAAGAAAAGTGTGCTTTTACGACCAGTATTTACGAGGTTTATTTATTTTACCTCGTAAAAACTGCATTTGACGAGGATCATAAGGTGTTCCTTGTAGTTGTCACATGCTTTCACGGGGTTGGAAGCAGAGTCCTCGTAAAAGAATGCTTTCACGAGGTGTTAAAAGTGCTCGTTAATATATGCATATATTAACGAGGCGATTCTCAACTTTAACGGGATATTAGTGGCTCGTTAATAAAGGTCAACTTTAACGGGATGTAAGCGCCTCGTGAATGAAGGTCAACTTTAACGGGATGTAAGCGCCTCGTTAATGAAAGTTAACTTTAACGGGATACAAACGCCTCGTTAATGAAAGTTAACTTTAACGGGATACAAGCGCCTCGTTAATGAAAGGGGCCACGGTTTAAAATTTCCCTCCCCTCCACTTTTTTCCTTCCTACCTTTTTTTTTTCGTTCCCCCCATTTTTTCCCTCCGCTGATTTATATACATTTTACTATTTGGGCCCTAAACTATGTCGTTTTTTTTGGGGCCAATTAACACGTATTGTAAAACACTTTCCTATTTCATTTCCCATTTCATTTAGCCCTAACGCTCTCTCTCTCCTTCAGCCACTCTCTCTCTTTCCATCACTGATCAGCCCGATCTTTGAATCCATTTGGTTTTCTATCGCAACTCTCACATTCCATCACCGGTCATCACAGCTCTCTCTCCTTCCATCAGTTTTGTTGTATTCAGCTTTCTGAAAAAACCCTAGTCTCTCTCTCTATCTCTATCTCTCTGTGTCTCACGCCGAGGCACCACCGCCATCAACCCACATCCTCACACCATCACCAAGCCCTCGCTCTCTGTTCGAACCCCATTGCCGCAAGCTTTTCCGGCCGAACCTCTTGGCCGCCGCTGCTGCTCTCTCTTCTCTTCTCGGTCTCGCTTTCTCTGGCCGATTCTAGGTCAAGGAGAAACCACATCTCGCCACCGGCCACCACAGTTCCAATTCCGGTCGTCTTCTCCAGCCAAAAATTTCAGGCCGAGTCTCTCTCTTTCTCGTTTTTCTCATTTTTCTCTCGGGTAAGCTTTCTTCAACCTGAAATTTGATTTTTAGACTTTGATTTTGGAATGGGAATTTAGAATTTCCTACATATATCTGTGGTTGTGTTTATTAGGGCTGTGGATGTATAAGTCTGTGATGTGAAAAAGGAGGATGGGCTATGGTAATGGAGAATGGACTAAAAAAAAAAATTATGTGAAGGGCTTGTCCCTGATTTTTGAAATTGAGGTAGATGATGAATTGAATTGGAAATTCTAAATTGAATTGAATTGAATTGTAACTTCTTGGGCCTTTAAATTTCAGATTATATATATATGGCCTTGTGTTGTATCAAAAATTCTGGATTGTACTTGAATTCATAAAAACTGTGAGATGATTTTGATATAAATACATCTCTGTGACTATGCTTTTGAACTGAAATGGGGCTGTGAAATTTAAACTGAAATGATGTATATATCTTATTGCCATGTTGAAAATTCTATGAAGCTTGAGACTATGTTTTGATATATACCCATACATTGTTTTGTGTTGAATGATCATTGGGGCTGAGGTTTTGAAACTGCTTGATATACATGTGTCCATTTATGTGTTTACAAAGCTTTTGGAAAATTGTGAATGCGCTACAGTATTTCGAATTTTCTAGTTAGAGCTATAATTGTGACTGAGATGGGTTATCTTGATTTTTCTGTTAAAACTCATGTATAAGAGAATTGATGAAGCTTTATATTTCAATTCGTCAATTACTCATCCTTAAATAAAATTTCTCACTATTGTTGGTGAAAGCTGCCAACTTTAAAGATATATATATTTCAAGAATTGTAAACTTTCAGAGAGTAAATAGGAATTGAAAGAGAATAGCATGACTAGATACCAAAGTGAGATTATAGTCTACATACCTTCAGGCCTTTTGGTTTCAACATTCGATCTCTCTTTATTTTCACTTTCTGGTTTTGGTGAAAGTGCAGCTCCTTCCATGGTCTGCTCAACTACATAAGTTGCAGTTTTTTTTTTTATTATTATTATTTGTCACAACTTCCTAAAATAAATTTCTCACTAATATATGTTGGTGAAAGCTGCCAATCTTAAAGTTATAATATGCTAAACTAAAAATAACAGGAAAAGAAAATACTGTATTTCAAGAAGTGAATACTTTTAGGGTGTAAATAGGAATGGAAAGAGAATAACATGGCTAGAAAACGAAGTGAGGTGAAAATCTACATACCTGTACTCTATCATGCATTTTGAATATTTAATCTTGTTGTGTTTAGCATTTTATAATTGAATTTTTTTTTTTCTTTTCATTTCAAGTACTTAAAACTTAGCATACTGATATTAAGACTTGTGTGATGCAGTTACCTACTTGGATTTTGTACCATAGACAACGAGGTGGAGGACGTGTCTTAAAAATTGAAAGTCAAGTTGTGCCGATGATTAAAGAACAATGTGAAGAATTACTTGTTGATGTGTTTTTGACAAACATTGGAATTTATTTTGCAATTTGGTACATTGAATCATGATGAATTGTCTTTTGATATTTTAATGGTGTATGGATTATTAAATTTTTTGATATGTTTAATGGTATATGAATTGTTGAATTGTAAAATTGTCTTTTGAAGTACTGTGTAGTTAAAATTGTGACCAATATACAAGTTATATGTGGATGATTGGGTAACATTAATTAAATGTGCTTTTATTAAATATAAATAAATAATTATGTTATTTACATGGTCTTCACAGCTTGTGAATAAAAGTCTTTACATTATTTACGTGGAGAGAATCTCTCCGTAAATGAATTATTAACGAATGGCTAGTGACATTGTAAATTAATTATTAATGAGTGGCTAGTGACATCGTAAATTAATTATTAACGAGTGGCTAGTGACACCGTAAATTAATTATTAACGAGTGGCTTTTTCCATTGTAAATTAGTTATTAACGAGACGCCTGGTGTCTGGTACTTTACTATTTTACGAGCACTGCAAGTCCCCGTAAAAAGTTAAGAGCATTTACAAGGGCATAATAGACGAGGGTGTCATTTGCGTTTTCACGAGGTGTTTGGGCACTCGTAAAAGACCTTTTTTTTTTTCTTGTAATGACAACTCAAAACCCTTTCAATTTTTTTTTTTTAAAGGTATGTTTTAATTTGAATTGAAAAACAATTTATATATTTTATCTTTCTATATAATCATATATATTTATATTGTTTCATACATAATTAGTACACAAGGAGTTATTATATTTTATATGATCTCCTAATAGTTCAGTGATATTCTTTTATTACGATGTAAAAGAAATATGCATAAATATTAAATTTGCTCTATTTTGAAAAATTACATGAATAAAATATATGAAATATTGTATTTTATATGCAATATATGTGTACAAGTATATATAAATAACTGACGCGTATAATCATTGATTGAAATGTGAGTTAATTATCATATAATTATTTCACGAATGAATCATTATATAGACAATACATAATTAGTACATGAGGGCTAAATGATAGACTAGATGATAGGGTTAAATGAACGACTTTGGGATTAAGTTTCTTAATTAATAGTATATACATTATTATTATTTTGAAAAGAGTTAAGTGCATTAAACCTCCATCAACTTTTTTTTCTTTCCCAATAAACATCGTAAATTGAGTGAAAGACACCTAACCCCTTAAACTATTTCAATTGTTGCAAATCATTAGTGGACCGTTTGAAATCTAACGTCCAAAGAAGCACATGACTGATTAGACTAATAAATCAGTTGTCTATTTAAAACTAACACATCTTCAAAATCACGTATTCTTATTTAAAAAAAAAAAAACAGGAACAAAAACAAATGACTTTAAAAAACATGCAACTTTTTGGTCAAATTAAACCAGTTTTCTATATAAAAACTAATACATCAATTGTTGACAAGTTACCTATTTAACAACTAATACTTGTTTGGAACGAGATAAACCAAAAAATAGTAATAATAATAACTTCAAAGTTTAGTTTTTAAGTTATTTATTATTGATTGTTTACGTAACTTATAAAATAAAAACTAAATTACTCAATGAATTACAATCTTAACAACAAACACAACTTTTAAAAGTCACCTCCTTTAGAAAATGAACACGTGCAATGTACGTAGAGAAAAATCTATATTGGATAAATAATTGGTATTTTATATATTATTTTATCTCAGAATAAAATAAAATTGACTTTAATTTTGAATCTTCCAAACCAAAAAATTAATTTAGATTTACGGAATAGATGTTAATTCAAATTAATATGATTTATATGAGGGTCTTAATCATCTTTCTGTTTCATTATTAAAATATTAGAAGTGTTTTGCATTAAGGAGATTACTTTTAAAAAGTGTGTTTGTTGTTAAGATTGTAACTCATTAGGTAGTTTTGTTTTTCTTTTATAAGTTACGTAAACAATCAATAATAAATAACTTAAAAAATAAAATTTTGAAGTGATAAAGAGTCATTATATGATTATTGATACAAGAATATTAGGATTTCAACAAAGTTTTGCATAAAGGAACTTTGAAAATGATGAAAAGTGTTGAAATGATTGACTTAGTGATTTTTAATCCTTATTTATCTTTGAGATTAATGGTCAATTACTTAGCACTTTTTTCTGCAAGTTACCGTCAATTATTTTTAATTTCATTTTAGATTTTTCTTTCTCCATTTGATTCACATGTGCTATTTTACTATCTCAAAATATGATTAAGTTATACTTACTTGCATTGCATGTGGTTCTCTCTAGTGTGTGTGTGTGTGTGTATATATATATATATATATATATATATCCTTACCATTAACATATGACCTGCTTAAATTTGATCATTAATTCAAAATATATAACTATACATGTCCCTACGTGAGGATGGAATTAATGCTTTAAATTTAGAATTAGAAAAAAAAATTAGTTAAAATTTTAAACTATATATTTTTTTCAATTATAATTTCAAAGCACATGCAGCATTTCAACGATTGTAACCTACGAGATTTATTGTGAAGCAGGTTTCTTGCAAGATGGTTCAAAACCATTTGACCACATAAATAAGAATCAATGTGCATCGTTTACAAGAAACAAGTGAAACCATAATGCCAACACTCATCTCCCTCACAGATGAAACAGGCACTCACTACTGCTAAAAATATATATATATATATATAGCATCACAGTATCAGAATGTTTATAGGATCAGATCAGACTCTCATACAAAGTATGTCTGAGCTCATACACCGTATCACCTCTTGAACTCTCTTTAATTCTCCAACCATAGTAACTACTTGCCCTAATTATGTAGGACTATCGGGTACCTTGTCCACAGTTTCAACAGGAACAACTGGAATTGAGTCCCACCATTCTCTTAACCGCCGATTCCCCTGTTCATTTTCAATATACTTCCCCAGCTTTGAAGTCATTATGAAACAATACACCGCGAGAGCCAAAAGGATGAACTTGAATGGAACCACAGCCAACAAGATTGCTAAGCCAGTCATTGACATCATCACCATATTGGCATGCTGTGATCAAGAACAAACAGTTGTGAAATATTTAACCAATTGTGGCAGAGCATGAGAGAGCTTTTTTTCATCTTAAGCAAAAGCCTGAAAAAGGTACGCTATATTCAACAAGAGTAATGTGTACTTTAACAAATAAAAGTCCGGCAAAATTCATGATGATCTCCGTTGGTTGCAAATTGGAACATTTTGCCCGTGTGTGGTTGCTCCTGTCAACTCTTTGGCAGTTCAATTACACTTTATTATGTTTTGCTCAATTGTTTCTACTACAAAATATTAGTGAGAGGTGTCAGTTAGTTAAGTGAAGTACCTTGGGTGCCCTCGAGATCAATATCGAATAGATTTTCAGTATCGTAATGTTCGCTATCTGCATCATGTCCTGTACAGTCCTTAATCCATGTTGTGCCGATACTATACTCTCCATTGTCGTCTTGTTCGAACCAGTGCACACAACTACCTTGTTCCACTTGTCATGCATCCTTCTTCGTCTTGCCTGAACCATCTTAAACACCACCCAGAGTAAGAAAACTGCCAATGCCTTGCCAACCCATTCCCTACATCACCAGCACAATGTTAATTATGCTCTAGAATTTGTGCATGAATTTGGCAATCAGCAGAGATAGGTAAGCAAATAAGTTTTTCTTCGAGTAGTGAGACAAAGTAAGAACAGATACAGCAAACAAACTTACTTGTAAAAAACTAACACAGTTGTGGCAACTGCAATGAGGGTGGTTGATGGTCTTTCCCATGTAAAGACTTCTTTAAACCAAGGTAATACATCTTTAAGTGGTCTTAGAAGTTCCTACAAAAAAAAAAGAAAAAGAAACAAAACAAAAAAAGAAAAGAAAAGGATTTAAGTGGAAAAAAGAAAAAGAAGTTATTGAATAAGAAGGGTGATGCCATGCAGCCTTAGAGCACAAGGCTCCCCCTATTGTGGGGTCTGGAGAGGGTCAAATGTACATAGCCTTACCTCCATATGGAGAGGCTGTTTTCGGTTTTTAATCCGTGACTTCTAGGTTACAATGGAGCAACCTTACCATTGCGCCAAGGCCACCCTATGTCCTCAAAGTTCATACAAACTCATTATGGCATGCCACATCACAGTAACAATGGCATGCCATCATTTTGCTTAGAATTAAGATAGTTTGAATTGATTATTTGTTAAATACTCCAGTAATATTGATAATAAAGCACTCGAGAACTCTAGTGTTTTTTTCCTTTTTCTTTCTTTTCTGGGAACGAGTATCATGATCAGATTCACCTTAGTACACCATTGGTGAATTGAGAATGAAAAATGAAAGACAGTACCATAAAATGGACCTTTTGGCCCAGGAACACGTTTTGTGTCAGCATCTTACCATAAGAACAGCGGCACTCTCACCAATTCCATCCTCTCTCAGCCTCTCGGCAGTAGCTCTGGCAACACCAAATTCTTTTGCTTCCTCTCTGGATTGATTAATAGCACTCTCCAGTGACGAGAGATTGTCAACTTGGCCTCCCACAGGTTTACTTTCCTCGTCCACTTCTTTTACTTCAATATTTGAAGCACATTGTTGGAGACTATTCAGAGACCTTAAAATTGAGCTAGCACTGCATGGATGTCCACTATTAACCTTCTTTAAACTCTCAGCAAGTTCCTCCAATACGTAATCCCCCTTTGGCAACTCATCAAACAAGGCAAAGATCAAGAAATTTTTTGGAATAGGCGGCGATATTCTAAGCATTTCTCTAGCGGCATGGAGCCTTACAATCCCCAGTATAGTCCTTGCATGCATCTCCCATGCTTGTATCTGAGATTTCACCTCAAACTTGGATAAGAATTTGTGCAATAATATAACCTCCTTGATAAGAGCAAGCCAATGATCACGTCTTGTAGAGCTTGTCATCTCCGGGAACTCCAATACAACAGGCTCTTGCCTAGAAAATTGAGCAAAAAGAGTCAATTATAAGCAAGACAGTTGCAAAAAAATGCTAAAGACAACCCATTCTTGATGTAGGTTTGTAGCAAATAGTTTGTCTAGACAAGGATGCCGACCAGGGCATGTTCTATTTAACTATTTATCACTCTTTAAGATTCAACGCTGCAAGTGCTAATCCAATAATTGCACCAAGCAACTGGAAGATGCCTTCACCTATCTGTTGAATTGTGCTCTTTTTACTCCTGTCCCAAAATAAGTGCTCCTCTTTCCATTATTGGGATGTTCCAAAATGCAATTAGTGTACTACTTTAATTTTGATGTAAAAAATTGAAACTTTCCTAGCGTATACTTGGATTTAAAAATCTTTTCCTAGTTAACAATGTGCATATTAAATTTAATCAAGAAGGCAAAGTTTTGAAAATTTTCAAAGAAATCTCCATAAAAAGTTGAAATCCACATAAGGAACAAATATTTTGGAATGCAAAAAGGTTGTTTCCTAGCACCACTGTAGCAATAATGGTTACCTCTCACCATGCACTGGCCTCTCACTTATTAAAGCATGCTAATTCATACTTTTGGTTCATAGGTAACCTACTTGTTGGTTTTTAGGATGGTTAGCGACATGTATATATATCCTGCACATTATCTGGGCAACATCAATGTAAGACCCCAATAAGTGAAAAGCCAATTGATGTCAAGCACAGACGCCCTTTGCCCTATAATGATGATGATGATGGGATGCCAATGACAATGATTATGATTCCACATGTAATTAGTACTATCCTCATATAGCAACAACAACAATAGCAATGATAATAATTCTACATATGAGCAAGTATTCTTACAACTCAGAGGACTCGTAGACTATAGCTTTGTCGAAAAGGGGAGCACCAAAAGGTCCCGTGGCTGCTGGTTTCACACTCTGCTCAATGTTCTTTGAAAGATCAAGCTTAAGTGCATCGTCATAAGATATGACTCCCGAAGCCTCAAAGTAGATGGCGTAATTGGTCAGTGTAAGCCTACCTAAAAATACCACCTTTACAATGAGGATAATCCCAAGGGTCAATCATTCGAAAGGATAGAAGTATGAAGAACTTCAATTTTTCATGAAGCTGAAGAGCATGTAGTTCAGTTGATAGTAGTAAAGACGAACCAGGCCAATTTGTTCCTCCAATATGACGCACTACTCTCTGTGTGCTTGCAGTTCCCTCCACGTGCAGTATAAACTCATCATCCGCGAACTCAACACCTTTTGGAGTTGCTTGCTTTTGCAGATGTTTTATGCATCTGTTCAGATATTAATAATAATAATAATAAACAATAATAAAATAAAAGGAAGAACTAATCAAAGAGCTCGTTCAAAATCATGCACAAAAGATGCAGTCTGATTTGTTTCTACGAGGCAATGATTGAGATGGCCAGGCAGATTTATTTCACTTGTATCAAAATATTGCCATTGACACGTTTGACACTGCCATGACATATCATTTCTAGGGGATAAGTAGGGAATTATATATTTATCTTTTTGCAATACTGGATCAAGTTATAAATTCAACACATGAGATAAAAGGGAAAAAAAAAAGAGGACAGGATGCCACAACTCATTGGTGAAGAGAAAGAGAGAGGGAAGGGGTCTCGAGTCTCTTTTGAGATACTATTGATGCTACCGCCATCTATTTGTCCAACCAACCAGCTGACTGCTCCAACTTCCAAAACAAAGGCTTGGATGAGAACTCTAGCATACCATTCAGCTTTAAATGGATCAATTCAACTGAATCCTTGTCCGACCACTTCCAAAATTGTGTCTGAAGTGCCCAAAACAATATTTTAGTCATTTTTCAGCTGCTAGGCTTTCACCACCTCTTTGACCTGAAACTAATTCTTTTTCCTTTGTAGATATCCCTACTTCATCCATTCAATAATTCATACCCTTTTCTACAGCATTATAATTGGTAAGAACGATTTTTTCAAAGATGGAAGTAAAAGTAAGACTAGATGAATTACTTGTCAATTTCTTTCAAGAATTTATCATAAGCAGGGAAATGGAGCCTGTAAGCTGTAGCTGCAGTAAGAGCTTCGAAAGTAAATCTTCCATTGACAACATCTGCAATTAATGGAACCAGTATTCCCAACCACACAAATGCATCTTCTCCAACACCTGGCTCGTGATCAACCTACCAACATAACATTACTTGTTACTGCACAAAAAATAAGTAAATAAAATAAAATAAAATGAGAATTAATGTGGAAGTCTTACAATCGATATCGAAAGCAGCAACAACATTATTTTGTGTCAGTTTTATCTTTTTTAAATTTACTAGTCTTTATGACATCACACTCAATAAATCCTAAAGGCTGATGTTCAGCTAGAGCATTGCCCAGATGGTTGGAAGAAATGGGAACTTACAAGGAGTGGCATGATATCTGAATAGAAAAGAGGGATCTCGTCTTGTTCTTGAGTTGCATTTGTAGGTGTCTTCTTCCTCTCCTCTTTCTCCTTTGCCACACTCTCCTGCAGATCAAAATAAGATATATATAGAAAATGATAATTTTAGAATCAAAGTAAAACATAAATAAAATTCAAAAAAGGACAACTCCAAATTATAGTGAAAAAGCAAGTACCTTATCACCATTCCTATGTCTTATTTAACAATAATGAAAGTCTTTTGTAGAAATGATACTAAATTACAACAAACTCCAAAAGAAACTACTACTTTCCCTGATTGTATAGCAGCTTGGGAATCCTATATGCGCCCCATTAAGTTATCCCAAATCAGGTGTGTAGAACAATCTCTCCTACATTGTACACCGTATGGGCCTCAAAATTTCCTAATATTACTGATATTAAGGCAAGTACAATCAAATAGACAAGTTGTTAGCTCTTCTGCAAAAGCAATTGAAGCCTAACGGAATCGTATTTGACAAATCACAAGCATTTATTTCCTCTTCCTTCCTCTCTCTTGCCAGCTTGTTCCTTCTACAAAGCTAATTCTCTAATTCTATGCAAGAGTAAAGTGTAGCACTGGATTAGTTGATATGTTTGTTATGAAGTGAATGCCTGCACAAACCTATGCCAAATACTATACATTTGTAGAGGAGAAAGCCAAATTTGGAAAAATAAGTTCCATCTAATTTTGATTTTCCATTGGTCCTATTTTATGATTTTCCAATGACAGAAAATAGCAAGGAAAAATGAGAAGAAAATAACAATCCGATGTTTCTTAACCATGGCATGCACCCAACAGTGAGAGAATTGCTTGAGCATGCCATCTACAATGAACTTCAATGGCAACAACAACATCAACAAAATTATTCAATACTTCATTTCTTACTCAAGTTACACTAGAATTCCCAGAAAAATATTTAAGCTTACCAAAAAAGGCCTTTAGTGCCTTTAGCAACCCTCTTGTCCCTTACTACTAAAGCTTCAGTATTATTTGAACTACCCAACGAGGAATTACGGCCATATCATGTTTTCTAATCATTTCCGCAACAGCTGCATCTTACTTTGTTACATCTTAAAGTCTTTACTAGCCTATTATAGGTTGGCAATATCCCGTGAATGCCTTGTTTCATTATTCAATCATCATGAGATTTTCGATTAGGTTCTCCCAATGCATCTTCCACCAAAGCTAGCGTCTTTTTTCTCTCAACAAGTTGTAAGCTTCTTACACAAACAAGTCATGATTCATGACCTGCTAAATAAAAAGATGGTATAACAGCAATCCATCAAACACCTTGCACTCAATCAAGTTCAGTGCAAAGCAACCCGGTTACTGTAATCAAGATGCCAAAAAGACAAAGGATCTTGTGCAACAATAAACTACAAAAGTGGGAAATTATAAAAAGTTAACCTGCAAATTTGTTCAACAGAGAACTATGTAGTTTGGCAGCTGCCCTATTTATATTCACAGGCAATCATACAAGACATTCCACCATGAAAATTTGATAAATTCATAACAAAGAAGAACCCTTTCTAAATATAGAAACACCCTACTACTGATCTGTAAACAATTTTGTCACCACTTCCATCATGATCTCGCAACAATTCATTTACTACCGATCTTATGTTCGCAGGAACAGTTAGAAAGAACCAAGAAATCAAGAGCTGGTACTCTAACCTGTGAAAGTGTAAAACAAGTGATGCTATCCAAAGCCTATCCCATCCCTCATTCCCACTCTGAACCTCTCTAGGGCAGCTAATGCACAAAAAAAAAAAAAAAAAAAAAATTAAAAATAAATAAATAAATAATTTGTTGAATCAAGTCAAAAGGTACTCTCATATATTAGTATTTAGTGTACGGTAACTAATATACTTGATCCATGCAATCTCAATGTCGGCCGATACGGCGAACTATGGCTCTAACAAGTGGTATGACAATCTACTACACTTTTCATGATCCGTCCTACACACATCTACTTCAATAAGTAATTTAAGAGACTATATTTCCCTAATTGCAAAAGATGAAAATTCACCCAAGGCATCCTAAGTATACCCATTCTTATTATGCTCCAAATATTTTATTTATTTATTTATTATTATTTTCATTTCGAAAGTTCAAGCAAGCGTGCACATGCACAATATTGACCTTAGAAGGATGGAACACTCAAACTTCCAACTTTCTAGGATCATATCATCCCGCTTAATGCCCATTGATAATGTGGACCCATATATTGTTATTACAAAATGTGTCTAATGTTTACGGTACATATACTCATATAGCTGCATTGTTACTCTTTATTGGATATGGGAATCCTATCACATAAATTTATTATCAACCTTAGTGGATTACCTGAATTTAGTTAAATCCTTGATTATGAGGCTAAAAAATGAACCCACTTTATAAATTATTTAAAAAACAACCCACCTTCAGAATTTATTGATCGACTTCCATTCAAATACAGTAGACATGGTTCTGGTGCTGTTTAATTGCGTGAAAAATAAAAATAAAAATAAAAATAAAAATTGTGACACTGACAGTGCATCAAAAGCAAACTCTAATTAAGCACCCATTTTTAACACACTAAAACATGGAAATAATAATAATACTAATAAGGGACAATTGTGCACCTGGTATGAGTGTTCATCATCAGAACTGGGCGTCTCCCAAGCGAGCATCATATCAAAGGTGAAACGACTAAAAGACCCATCATCAATGGTTTCGTTGATGCTACAACACATGTCATTAAGAGCCTTTGCGCAGCAATAATCCACCAATTTCCTCGAGTATTCACCATTTTTGGGTTTCCTTTCTCTCTCAAATTCCTCCACCAATGCATCAACACATGTATCTAGCTTCCTATCAAAATTTAAAAATACATTTTCTAAGACAAATTAATTTTGTTATGGTTAGTAAAACCTTTATAAATTACCAAAATTATATATACACGCGATTCATATCGAGATCATGAAAAACAACATAACATGCTATGTGCACACATATAAATATATATATATATATATATATATATTAATTACTGGGCACATCTCTGAAGAACGTCGTTAGCAAGGGTTGACAGATTTTTATTCTTATTCATCATAATCGCGTGATATGATTGAGAGAGTTGTGAGCAGAGTGGATGAGAGCTCCTTTTTGTACGAGGAATGCATCGGATGTGTTGCTCGCAAAGACTGCCACGTGGAGGCCATGCAACACTTTGGTGCATGCCCACGGATCGAGGTATTCCCGTTGGAGGCTGGCTGGGCTTTTTTTATATAAGCCGGCATAATTTGTTGCCGTTAAGTTTTTCACGGCGTCAAAACTTTAATATTCCAACATTTCATTAATGTAAAAAAAAAAAAAAATTCAAACTTTTAATTTTTATATTTATTTATATTTTCTTAGTGTACTCACACAAATATGTCTTTACTAAAGTTGGAACCCATAACCATTTTTTGAATAGTAAGAATCTACTATTGCTCGGGCACAGACCTGTTAATTTTTAAATTATTTTTAGCACAGTAATATGAATTATATGATTTTGAAAACATGCAAATTCTCAGTACAGGAGGTGATCCTAAGTCTTTATTAGAGAGTCTTCGAAATTGGGAGCAATTCCCCACCCATCACAGATCTGGTGCCGTGTATAAAAAAAATCTAGTCAATAATTGTAATTATGGTACGGTGTATAGAAAAGCTTGAAAGTTGTAGTTCCTAATTTCCTATATAAAAATGCAATTTTTTCTCACCATATACTGTTAGACAGTAATGATTTTATTAATCTATGTTTGTTATATAGACTCTTTAAAAACTGTTAAGTATTGACGTTTTCTTTAATTTTAGTGATGGCAAAGTCAAAATTTTGTAAATATGTAATAAAAAAAAATGCAAAATTAGTTGTAATAATAGCAAAAAGAAAAAAATTCAGTGGAATCAATTGCCCCACCCGTCACATATCCTGGTCAAGCAGTGAAGCTTTGTTTGGATGCTTAAGAGAGAAAAGAAAAAAAAAAAAATAGCATTAGTTATGAGAAATGATATATAGCAATTAATCTCTATTTATGTTTGGATTAAAATATAAAAAAAAAAGAAGAAGAAGAAGATAGTATTCCAGTTTGGATATGATAAAGGGAAGAAAAGAAGAGAAATAATAACAATCAAATTACTATCACATCCTTTAAAATAGATGAAATATGAGTGGAATAATAATTTTCTCTCTTTAATTGTTGAGGGTAGTTTTGAAATTATGAAAATCCTCCTTAAACACCATCCTTTCTCTCCTTATCTTTTCAATTTTTGAGAGATAGAAAATGAGGGATAAGGAGGGATAATAGCTTCCTATCCTTTCTTTTCTCTCATTTCAACCAACCCAAACACAATTTGTACTATCATTTCTTTTATTTTCCTCCAAATCTCTCAATCCAATCATACCCTTATTGCTCAAAAATTGATACAGGATACATGTGCGACATTTTTTTATTGAACATGTACTTTAAAGCACATTTAATTATTCAGTTATATTTTATTACTTCTTCTATTTTAAATAGAGTGTCATATTTGAGGAATAATGATTGTTGTGAGTTACAGTTCTCCAAATATGACAATTTTTTTTTACTTTAAAATAAATTAAATTCTATATTTAATATTTTATTACATAAAAATATTATTTTACTGTAAAAAAATAAAATAAATATTCGTGACACAAGTGCCCCAAGTCCATGTAATCTAAATTTTAATTTACGTCCATAATCGTAAAATGTTGCATATGCATATTAACATGATTGATAACATCTTTTATCATTACATCTTTGCCCTTATTTCATAGATGGTCGGTCAAATGATTTTTTATTTTATTTTATATATTTAAATTTTGTAAGCTAGGATCTCTTGTTGATTGAGTTTGTCAATTAATCAATTAATTATGCAAGTGTTAAAAAAAATTTAATTATGCGAGTGATATACGGTATATATTTATATTTTATCATATTATTTTTCCTTCACTTAAACAGAAACTCGCTTTATTCAATCACATTCAATCAATTTTCCTCACTTTTAAAGTACGAGTGGTCCTAGAACGATGAGACCATGTGAGTGTTGCTGTCAACGAATCGGCCAAAGATCCAAGCTCCAAGTATAAAAATTTACTTGTTTTCTCTCTCTCATTGATATTTTGACACTGCATCTCCTTTCCTCTTGCTTTGACTTGCCTAAATGCAACATTAAAATTCACACGAGCATAAAAATTTACTCCACTTTACAAAAAAAATTATCTTGCTATTTTTGTGTATATATATATATATGTATACTTCGTAATGGCGTTTAGGGACAATATTCAAACAAAAACCAAACCACAAATTTTTTTTTTTATTATTATTTTTTTTTTCTGGCTTAAGGATTGCTCGGCAACTTCCAAACATTCATTAAGCATAAGATAATTTTTGTTACGGATTTTGCACAAATATTATACTACTAAAAACATAATACATTGAATTTCATTCCTATAAATTCCTCCCAAAATTCATTATAGTGTATAGTAATGAGAGCATTAGCATTACATTTAAACAGAAAGGGTTGAGCCAAGGATTCAATTTCTAATATTGTTGACGGAAAAAATAAATAAATTGTTCCATTCTAAAAATTTTTAATATATAAATCAAATCATAGTTTTTGTTAAAAGCATATGTGTAGAGCGTGAAATACACAATGATGCTGATATTCAATCTATCTTTGTTTGTTAGTATTTGACACTCAACAGCCCATAAATACTGTAAATTTGCAAGGAGATATTAAGATGCCTAATAACTTTCATGGTCAAAAATATAAGAAAGAGAAGGACAAAATAGGTTTCAATCGTGGGGTTGGTAACGAAAGGCACATCAAGTCCCTTGGCATAAAAAGTCCAACTAAACTCATTAAGTCCCTTTTTTGGTGGTGGGGGGTTGGTGTAGTTATGGTGGAACCCTAGCCCATATGATAATCGATTTTTTTTAATATTTTTTTAAACTTACTGATGCACAACACTATTAGTTTAACTTAAAGTTCGATTTAATGAATTGCACAATGATTATTCCAAAGTTGCAAGCTTACAAATAACAACATTGTACCTCGATTTAGTTTGTAATTAGATGAAGCTAATATAGCTTAATAACAATTTTATTTCAATAGGTAAGAACCCTAACATAATTAAAAATAAAAAAATAAAATAAAAAGTCAAATCACAAGCATCAAAATCTTCTTCAATGCATTAACGATGTTTTGGATTTTAATAAAGACGCAACACCTTAAATTAAGTAAATAAAACTTATCATATTTAACATGATATCACAAACCAAATAAACACACGCAAGACATTTACTTGAAGGGCTTCAACACTTATATACTCCATTATACTATAAATGTAACTCTGTAAAATATATTTAAACAGTTGTTATTTTATTAATTTAAACTGAGTCATGTGAGACCCTGATGGGAGGGAACATTATTCGCTTGGATCAACTTGTCCGCTGTCTCCACCTTCCGAACCGATAAAAACATGCTGCCCATTTCCTATTTAATCAGACGACCCACATCGGTCACTGAAATGCACCATATCGTGCCCGTTCATCTCGTCGACACAAGCAGTGATTAAAAAAGTAAGCGGTTTGACTACACTGAGAGATTAAACCAAACCAAATCAAATTACAAAACAGCCCACATTCATAACCAAAGATTTTCTTAATCTCCTACTCTCCGAATTAGGATTAGCCCAAACAGAGATAGGGCACCTCTCTCTTTGTTCTCACCCTCCAAATTCTTAGGTCAACTGTATTTTTACTTCTATTTTTGTTTTTCAATTTTAAAACTCATAATCTAAATAAAATAAGGTATTTCTAACTTCATTGACCTGAATATCCCCTAAATTTAGAATAAGGTATTTCTAAACTGAGTCTCAACGCCTAGTATTTTTATATATTATTATAATGGAGTGATTATGTTAATAACAACTCTCAAAAAATAATTTAACTTCTGTTATTAATCACCTAATTGCGAGTTGCGACCATTATATTATATATATATTTTTATTATAATATTAATTATTATAAGGATACATCATACCTGAAACGCTTATTATCATTCATTGTCATTATAATAAATTTTTAATTTTTGGTAATTGGTGTAAAAAGATATGAGACAGGAGGGAGATTAAAAATAATATGAGGCGATTAAAAATGATTTTAAAATATTAAATATAGTAGATAAATAAGTATGTAATAGAAAAGTTAAAAAAGGCATAGTATTGAGAGAAGGATGATGATGTATAAAAAAAGGGATACCATTGTATATTCTCATATCGTATTTTGTTTTTGCGTGTGCGTATATAATTGTATATAGTGTCCCCATCTCACCTACTCACTCACCAGCCAGAAGGGCGTTTTAGGAAGTTTGATAACTATATAGAGATACTTAAAAAGTAATCCCCCAACTACAGTGTTTAGTTGTGCTCGGGCCTCGAGGCCGCCGGGCCCACTACCTGTTACCAACCAACTTTCACCAACTTTTTTTCGTTTTTTCTCCAGAATTTTATTTAATTTTTAAAGAAAAATTATCCCAAAGCTTGGGTGTTACTGTCAAGCGCTTATAATGCGCGTGAGAATAGCCTGAGAGGATCTGAGATTCTGAGCCCACACGTTTGTCACTAATCAGTAATCACTATATGCGTACAACTAAAATGGAAAAATAACTCTTTTTATTTTACTCCTTTTTCTTTTAAAAACATAAAAATGAAAGAATAATATTTGACTACTGATCGATGAATAAGAAATTTATACTTACCACGTATGTGATGCAAATTAACTAAGTGTTTTTATGTTTAAAATAATAAAATCAAATAATTTGATAATTATTCGGATTAAACCTAAATAAATTCAAATTAAATTCGGACTACATGACAAAACTAAGAAACAAAGACCATGTATTTTTCCAAAACTGTTTAATTCTTACAACATACATGCATTTTGATTGGCCATGATGGACAATGAATCAATGATTGATTAAATTTGCAATAATGAAATTTAAGACACCAGTAGAAATTAACCAAGAGAACATACTTAGTTACCTCAACACTTCTTGAATGTTTCTTCGTTGCTCCTTTGCATCTACTTTTCTTCTTCTTCTATTTCTCCAGAGACATGAGTTTCTCTCTAAAAATATGAGCGCAAGAGAGGGAGGAGGAATGAACGAATGAGATTAGGCTTCCATAGGATAGAAACGTGAGAAAGAGAGGAGGAGGAGAGAATTAGAATTTGATTCGAATTCTTATAGGTTTAACCAAGATAGCTATCAATTATTTATTATTTTTATTATTTTAAATATAAAGACACTTGTTAGTTTAGTCTTGCGCCACATACGTGGTGGGTATAGACTTCCTACTCACTGGTGAGTAGACAAGTATTGCCCAACATGAAATATCACTTGTCACCTTTATTAGTAGGGGAGGAAGAAAAAAAAAAAAAATCAATCATGTATGCTCTTTAACTAATTTCCTCCAAACAGATGTGCTAAAATTTTAATTGACAAAAAAAGAATTTAAGAAAAAAAAAACTTTATTTCAAATTCACGTTATATTTGATACATTAGGGTATTTTAATAAATATTTTTAACTACATTATTTCAATTGTATAGAGTTATTTTTTGTTCTTGAGATTTTTTTTTGTTTAAAATAAATTTAAGGTGACAAATTAAAAGATAATAGAAATAATTTATTTATTATTATTCATTGTATTTTAACATGTTGTGAGTAGTTTATTACTAGAGTGAATTTGAAATTATTTGTTATATATATGTTTTAGGAGTATTAATTTTGGCAATCGTTATATATATATATATATTTCTAAACAGGAATTAGTTACAAATAAAATTATTGGAAGTAGAGAGCGAAGTTTGCATTTTTACAAAAGACGGTAATTTAGTATAAAGATGTTCGCTATTTATAAAATACGTAATTATTTTAAAATATTTCTCACAAGTAAGAGGTTTTTGTATTATGAAAATTTTATAGGACTTGGCTGGTAATTAAACTTTATAATTAAAGCATGTAATGAGAGTAAAATGCGCAATAAATGAATGATTGAAGTATATAGTGAAAGTCAAAGATGCAATAAATTAAAGGGACAACGAAAGTTAAAAATTATACTCTGTCTGCCCAACAATGAGCGTATGAAGATTTACATTGTTTATTTGACAAGGCTTTCAAAATTTAAGGCTAACTAGGAAAATTTTTAATCCACCATTTATGCTTCTATTTGTAAATGCAAACTCCAAACTCTTTGCATTCATTTCTTGTATATGAAAAGAGTCAGAAAATTTTGTATCTGTAATCAACTTTTGAGATGTAATGTAAATTTATCTGCTTTTAAATATAGTGATTTGTCTTTTTTACTCTTTTATTCGGGAAGGCAACATAAATAACATTCGACAGATAGCTCAAATATATATATATATATATTGTTTTTTGTATCATCATTATCATTCTTATGCTTATTCCATATAAATTAATAGGTAACATAAATTATTTTTTTCATCATTTTCTATTATATGTCATATCTTCTACTAGATTGAATTTTTAAAATTATTTATTGTTATTTCAATACATTTATAGGTTGGCGTCGAATATGCATTGGCCTAGTCTCTAACTAATTCTTTGATTATAAAAAACCTATCTTCCCTAATTATTCCTAATATTAACGTCGGCATTTTCATTACATAGATTGTTGTTCATGTTTTGTTTTTAGAACCTAACATTCCACCCCATATAACATAGCCGGTCTAATTAGGAAAATGATATAGATGATGAATTCTATTATTCATGATCTGTATCATATGGCTGCTTATATGACAGGCACACACCAATCTAGATTTTTTATTTATAACGATGTAAGTAGTCACGTGTACATCAATAAATCAATTACTACTTCGAACCACAAAAGTAAAATCAATCTTTTATGAAGACAAATTAACGGATGGTGAAAGAAAACATGGAAGACTTGTACAAATATGAACTTTTGTAAATATGATTCTTTATTATTAGGTAAAGGTGCGAAATAATCCTTTGAACTTTCAATAAATGAGTAAAATATTTTTTGAATTAAAAAAGTGAGTAACTCACTCATAGTAGAAAGTGAGCAACTCACCAATAGGATCCATGGAACATGATTCTTTCCCAATCGTCATCTTCACAAAAATGTATCAATCTCTCCATAAACTCCAATACAGGAATGTGCAATAGAATTTTTTCGTCGCTGTAATAAGTTGATTTGTCTCCGCGGGGTTTCTCTTTTTTCGTCGTTGTAAACTGACCTGAGAGTGAGATAGCAGAGAGGAACGAAGGGGCTCAAAATGGGTTTCTTTTGGTGATAAACAAAAGCCAAAGGTCTATGTATAAAAACAGAGGGTATAATGGTCATCATGAGGGTAGTTTTGGAATTAAAATTTTAGATTCAGTCACGTGCAAAATCATGTGACCGAAAAGTAGTTCCGGCGGAGGGGTGAAATGCTCACTTTTGAAAGTACATTTGCTCACTTTTTTTTTTTTTTAGTTCAAAGAAGTTATTTTGCTAATTTGATGAGAGTTTAGTGGGGTATTTCGCACTTTTGCCCTTTATTAAAGTTGCAACCATGGACGGTGGATATTTTTCCCTTTATTTGTTTCTTTCTGGATTTTATAATTAGTATTATATCTATGTACATTTCAAATCTCTTTTTAGAATATCTTTAACATATATTTTAGAGTAAAGTATAAAAAAATTCTTGAATTATGTAGGAATTTGCAAATAAATCTTTTCAAATATATTTTGTTCATTAAATTTAGGGGTGGTTACGGATTGGATCGGATTAGTCATAATCCAATTCGCTCACAATGGATTGGAAAATTTTGAATCTACCACTAATCCGTTAGTCTACGTATCAGATCGGATCTATGAAATGACGGATCGCGGACTGAATTTTCCAAATTAGGTTTTGATTTGGTGAAGCAGACGACAGCAGCAGATCAGATTTGTATGTTTATAAAAGTCCTTCAAGGATTCTCCAGGCTTCAAGAAACAATACATGAAAAGGCAATCAATTCAAAGACGGATAAGAAAGATTTTTTTTTTTTTTTTTTTACAAAAAAAAAAAACAAAAAAAAAAAAACACCTAAAACAACATTCAAGTGCAAAATTCAAACAATGTAAACTGTTGTCCGCAAGTGCAAGCAAATTTCAATTCCTCGTGCAAGACCAGAGACCTTATGATGTAAAGATATTTACATACAATTCATGAATTGGAAATTAATATTTTTTTAATCCAATTCATATCTACAAAGAATAAAAGGAGGACCATAGGTGTTCTCCGAGAATCAAAAAGACCAAGACTTGCTCTGATTTGCTCTATCCGGGCCCGTTTTGATTAACAGATTAGAAGAACTGAAGAAGAGTAGTGAGGCGGCCGCTTTCTCTTTGGCTTTTTTCAGTCTTTGCTCTTCTTTAGCAAGGTTTAGGTTTTATGAAATGAAAAGTCGGTGGTATGTATAATACTTACAAAAAAAAAAAAAGAAAATAAAAAAGTAAGGTATGTCATTTTATATATATATATTAAAAACGGAAAAAGTAAAGATATAAGATATTACTATAAATTAATATTATATATATATATTACGGATTACTCAAGGATGGGCCACGAATCGTATTCACGAATCGGATCGGATTTTTGACAGCTTAATTTGTGTTCCGGTCCGTGAACTTCGGATTTTTGACAGCTTAATTTGTGATCCGGTCCGTGAACTATGGATTTAATTTTTTTGAATCCACCACCGATCCGTGAGTCTGATAATTCAATTTGATCCAATCAGATCGGATCGGATTCGCGAATTATTTGCCCACCTCTAATAAAATTTCCTGAACTATCACATCTAGTAGCAAAATGGGCCCTCGACTATATTTTATTAAATAACAATAACACTCCTTATTGAATTACACTTATTCTATTTTTTTTTTATTGAAATAATTTCTGAAAAAATTTCATACTACTCCATTTTAGTGCTATATTCTCAATTTCGTAGTATAACACTTTTCGATTCAAAAGTAATATTTTGTGACATGTAAAAGTGTCAAATGAGTGTTTACGGCGATGTGTTATGAATGTTCGTTCCTCCATGTCCGAATGTCCCATGCATCAGACAGAATTCTCATTCTATGTACTTTGTCTATGCATCATATATATATATATATACACACACCATACATATACATCAATTCTGCTCAACAATCATTTTGTATGTGGCACCTCACCTCCACATATATTTACCGAATACCGACTAATACACTCATTTATATAAAAAAAGAAAAAAAGAATAACACACCTCACCCCCACGCTATACAGTCGCGCGTTGGCCAATGATACTCCCACAATAATCAACAAACCATTGGGAAACGAGCATTTCCTCCCAGATCTAGCCACCAATTCTATAAATAACCACGTACATTGCATCTCCAACCTGTGTCGTTCTCTTCTCTCTACACACCCTCTCTCTCTCTCTAACTAAGAACCAGTCTCAGACCCCTCCGGTTCTACCTCTTCCTAGAGGTACGCTCACATTCCACGTTTCTAGCATAACTACTTGCTTCTATTGCTAAAAACCTAAATCTCTGTTTATCACTCTGTTTTTCTTCTTAATCTCTCCTCATTTTTCGATCTTTAATTCTTGTTGCTTAACTTGTGCTTGAAGATTGATTATACGCAAGAGATGACTTCGTATGGCTCTTGGCTCTTGCTTGATTCGATTCTAAAGATATATGATCTCGTGTTTTCCTGTTATAGTTTCTTGGATTTTCTTCACAAATCATATATGGATGTACTTATATGGTAGATCTAGTGGTGTCTTATGTTGTAATTTGTAGATCTGGTTTTAGATATTTACTCTTTAATAGATCTGATTCGGAAGGACCTTTGGAGTGGTTATGGATTCATTTAATTCTGTCGGTGTTGTGCGTCTCTTCCAAATTCCTCACACTTGCTCTGTTTTGCTTTTTAGATATGGATTCATATAATTCTGTCGGTGTTATGTGCATCGTCTACATTATGCACAATTGCTCTGTTTTGCTTTTTAGATCTGTATCTCATTTGTGTAGATCTAATCTTTAGTTACTTGTCTTTATTAGCTAAAGTTATTCACACGCACATATTAAAAACATTTATTAATCAGAAACTTATATACGTTATCTGCTTTTAATTATAGTGATCCTCTTGCTTTAATCAATCATACGCATTTTGGAAATCATTTCAATTTTTTTTGAGAAGCATAATTTATCTTTGCCTTTTTGCTCTAAAATGGCAATTATTTAAAACATGTTGAAAAAGTGCAGATGTGGCAGTGACATTTTTGATAATTAGTTTTATAAAATGAAAGGATGAAAACTCCTCATCCTGTCTCATAATGTGTGTAGGATAATACGTAGGTCTTCACTCAACAATTAGTTACTGAATAAAGACAGAGTGATTTTGTTTGATTTGGTGAACCAGAACAATGGCCTCTCACATTGTTGGATATCCTCGCATGGGGCCAAAGAGAGAGCTCAAGTTTGCTTTGGAATATGGCTAAAGTTATTCATATATGTATATATATATATGTATTTAAAAACATTTATTAATCATAAACTTATTATATATGTTCTCTACTTTTAATTATAGTAATCCTCTTATTTCAATCAATCATGCACATTTTGGAAATCATTTCAATGTTTTTGAGAAGCATAATTTATCTCTGCATTTTGCTCTAAAATGGCAATTATGTAAACCATGTTGAAAAAGTGCAAATCTGGCTGCTGTTGTGGTGAAAACTCTTCATCTTGTCTCATAACGTGTATAGAACCTACTTTCCTGTGTGATTTTCTATTATGATGCCTAATATTGTCTGATTTTAGTTATTTTTTATTCCATGTATGTTTATATATATAAATACACGTGTCTTGATTGTTAAATCAACAATTAGTTATCGAATAAAGGCAAATCCTTTTGTTTGATTTGGTGAGCCAGAACAATGGCCTCTCACATTGTTGGATATCCTCGTATGGGGCCAAAGAGAGAGCTCAAGTTTGCTCTGGAATCCTTCTGGGATGGGAAGAGCACTGCCGAGGATTTGCAAAAGGTGTCGGCTGATCTCAGGTCTTCCATCTGGAAGCAGATGTCTGATGCTGGCATCAAGTACATTCCTAGCAATACATTCTCTTACTATGATCAGGTGCTTGACACAACCGCAATGCTTGGGGCTGTTCCCCCCAGATATGGTTGGACTGGTGGTGAGATTGGATTTGACACTTACTTTTCAATGGCCAGAGGTAATGCCTCTGTACCTGCTATGGAAATGACGAAGTGGTTTGACACCAACTAGTAAGTGATTAATCAATCCTCAAGACATAATCATTACTGTGATACTGACTGTTGTATACTGATGAGTTATGGTCTGTACATTGATGCAGCCATTTCATTGTCCCTGAATTGGGACCTGAAGTGAAGTTTTCTTATGCTTCTCACAAGGCCGTAATTGAATACAAGGAGGCTAAGTCGGTAAGTTCTTTGGAACAGTTCTCCTTCCTTTTACTTTTGCATATCCGTTTCAACTAAGCAGTTTGCTAATTTATAAAATTTTGTGGAGTCCATTTATGGAGATTAGCAGCATAAAGGGTTGAAATGCTAAGAGGAATAGATGGTAATTTAGAATTTAGTGGCATATATTTGTCAGAGACAAAGTTGGAAAAGTTATACTACTTGAAAAATTGAATTTGTGTGATCTATGTAAGTTTTAGATTTTATAATGTACGTGATATGTCTTAATCTTCAATTCAATTTCAAACCTTGGACCTGTAAATATGCCACTGAAACATCTTGCTACATTCTTCCTCTAGTCAATTTCTTATTCACCAGGAGAAAAAAATAGTTCATATGTGGATTACATGATCCTTGTCGCCATCTATCCAATACTTCTAACTGTTCTCTATTCCTCTATGTTTGCACTGTGGGATGTGTTTTTGGTTCCTTGGGTGGACGGATGAGCTTTCGTTGCTGTTCAATCTGGTGTCATTTTTCTTTGTTGATCTCCTAATTTAATTTGGTTGGAGTGGCACTATTTGGAAGGAATATGAGAGAAAATCGATTAAAATGGTTTGGTCGGTTAGGAAAAATGAGGTCCTTGACTCCTAGTTAATGGTAACGTTTGGGGAAGGGGAAGACCAAAACTAATGTGGGTTGAGATAGTTTGGAAAGAAACGATAGCATGTAGTTTTTATGAGGCTATGATGTTATATAGAGCGGAATGGCAAAAGAAAATCCATGTTGCTAGTCTAATATGGTTGGGAAAAAGGCTTTGTTGAGTTTAGTTGAATATTTTTGCTAATTGCTATAATTTTTCTCATTGCTAATTGCTGTCAACTTTAGTAGCTCTAAACTGGTATAGTGTCTCTTTGCTAATTTGATTGGCCACTTCCATGCAGCTTGGAGTAGACACTGTTCCAGTTCTTGTTGGACCTGTCTCCTACTTGTTGCTTTCTAAGCCTGCAAAGGGTGTTGAGAAGAATTTTCCTCTTCTTTCCCTTCTAGAAAAAATCCTTCCCATCTACAAGTAAGAATTGTACTTTTGGTTCTGCATATATTTTGTGACCACTCCAAATTTGTTATAACAAAAAGTCCTTCCGCAGGGAAGTTGTAGCTGAGTTAAAGGCAGCTGGTGCATCCTGGATTCAGTTTGATGAACCCACACTTGTGAAGGATCTCGAGTCTCATCAATTGCAAGCATTCACTGGTGCCTACTCTGAGCTAGAGTCATCTCTATCTGGCTTGAATGTTATCATCGAGACCTACTTTGCTGATGTTCCTGCCGAGGCATACAAAACTCTCACTGCTCTGAAGGGTGTCTGTGGTTTTGGTTTTGATTTAATTCGTGGACCAAAGACTCTTGATTTGATCAAGAGCGGATTTCCGTCTGGGAAATACCTCTTTGCTGGAGTGGTTGATGGAAGGAACGTCTGGGCAAATGATCTTGCTGCATCTCTCAGCACCCTGCAGTCTCTTGAGGGCATTGTGGGAAAAGGTATCATTGTTCACTTCATTTTTTTCATGGTTTTCTATATTTAATCACCGTAGACAATTTTATCTATTTATAATTCTGTCATGTAGACAAGCTTGTGGTCTCTACATCCTGCTCGCTTCTCCACACTGCTGTTGATCTGGTTAACGAGACTAAGCTGGACAAAGAACTCAAATCATGGCTTGCATTTGCTGCTCAAAAAGTTGTTGAAGTGAATGCCCTGGCAAAAGCATTGGCTGGTCAAAAAGATCAGGTATTTGACTTTTTAAGCATCCATTGCTCTACATACATACTGTAAATATACGGGCAATTTGTTCCATTGTGTACTCAATCAAGATTGAAGATGGCAGTAATTTGTGCCTTTTAACGACATGATTGGCTGCATACTCATTGATGATATGGGTTCATTTTCAGGCATTCTTCTCTGAAAATGCTGCCGCTCTGGCCTCAAGAAAATGCTCTCCAAGGGTGACTAACGAGGCTGTTCAGAAGGCTGTAAGTGATTCTCTCAGTTTCCATTCTTCAGCCTTGTCAATTGGCTGCACTGCTGTCATTATTTTCGACTCAACAAAAACTTGCTCCCTTTGGCTTTTCAGGCTGCTGCTTTGAAGGGTTCTGACCACCGCCGTGCTACAAATGTTAGTGCCAGACTTGATACTCAGCAGAAGAAGCTTAATCTTCCAATCTTGCCAACAACCACCATTGGGTCTTTCCCTCAAACAATCGAGCTCAGAAGAGTTCGCCGTGAATATAAGGCTAAAAAGTGAGTGGTTTCAGCCAATTTTCCTTGTGTTATTCCATATACCATCCATTTCTCTGCACCATGTTCTGAAAATGCTACTGTCTTTAGGATTTCTGAGGCTGACTATGTTAAGGCCATAAAGGAGGAGATCAACAAGGTTGTCAAGCTACAGGAGGAGCTTGATATAGATGTCCTGGTTCATGGAGAACCCGAGGTTAGTTATGATTTATGCAGGGGCTAGTGAATAAAAGCAATAAGATACATCTCCTTTTGTCTTAAGGTTCAAATAAAATAATAATTTATGCATTATAAGTGCTTGAAGGATTCGTCTTCTGACTATTCAGTGGATTGTTCTTGTTGTAGAGGAATGATATGGTTGAGTATTTCGGAGAGCAGTTGTCTGGCTTTGCGTTCACTGTCAATGGGTGGGTTCAATCTTATGGATCTCGTTGTGTGAAACCACCCATCATTTATGGTGATGTGAGCCGCCCCAAGGCAATGACCGTCTTCTGGTCCTCAATGGCTCAGAGCATGACTGCCCGACCAATGAAGGGAATGCTTACTGGCCCTGTGACAATTCTTAACTGGTCTTTCGTCAGGAATGATCAGCCCAGGTACTGAAAGAACCCTGCAAAGGATGAGAAAATTTACAGAAAAGAAACTGGTCTCTTATTATTTAATATTATGTTATTAATCACTTTTAACATATTTGCCCATTTCCAGATTTGAAACTTGCTATCAGATTGCTTTGGCCATTAAGGATGAAGTAGAAGATCTTGAGAAAGCTGGCATCAATGTCATCCAAATTGATGAGGCTGCTTTGAGAGAAGGCTTGCCTCTTAGAAAATCAGAGGAATCTTTCTACTTGGACTGGGCTGTCCACTCCTTCAGGATCACTAACTGTGGCGTTCAAGACACCACACAGGTATTGCCCTCCACCCCATAATTTGTGCCTTGACTTGGGTTATTTGCTTTTTATTTCCTCAGTTCTCTTTTGGTTTTTTGATGGGCTCATCTCCTGCAAACTGACAGATTCACACGCACATGTGCTACTCTAACTTCAATGACATTATCCACTCAATCATCGACATGGATGCCGATGTGATTACCATTGAGAACTCTCGATCTGATGAGAAGCTCCTCTCAGTCTTCCGGGAGGGAGTGAAATACGGTGCTGGAATCGGGCCCGGTGTCTATGACATCCACTCCCCTAGAATACCATCAACAGAAGAAATTGCAGACAGAATTAACAAGATGCTTGCAGTGCTCGAAACCAACATCTTGTGGGTCAACCCTGACTGCGGGCTCAAGACTCGTAAGTACACCGAAGTGAAGCCAGCCCTCCTAAACATGGTTGCCGCTGCCAAGCTACTCCGCACCCAGCTTGCTAGCGCTAAGTGAGGTGTTTTGGAGCAAGTGATTGGAGTTAAAATCCTTCCAACTTATTATTTTCTTGATATTGACTGAGCAGAAGGAAAAGCCTCTATTGATTTAATAACTGTGCTTGGTGATGAAAATAGGCGTAGTCGGCCCTTTGGGCATTTTGTTTGATTTGTTTCTTTTTTAATATTCTGTTCTTTTGGGGTTCTTTTTGCCTTCAATTCATTTGTAAGGCACCATATTTTAATTAGGGCACGTTGGGAAGGAAATTTATGAAATGTCACCGCGGGTGTATGCGTTAATTTGTGTATTAATGTGTTGTATTACACTATCCCTTTATGATATGAAGAATGTGATTTTTATCCAAATAAATTTGGTCTTGAGCTTTGAACATTGATGTTTCTTTGATACACTTGGATTAAAAGTTTCAAGATATAGTTTAAAAGACTAAAATGAAACCAACACCGCTAATGATCCACTTTTGTCAATTCGAGTCATCAACCAGTGAGCAAAAATGGCTCCTAAAAGTACAAATATGGACCAACCAAACGTTGCATACATTTTATGTTGAACATGCACATTTAATGAGAATTTGATAAATGGTTGGTAGGCAGGCAGAGCCTTCAGGAGATGGCGATACAAGTTCTGAAGACGTGCCCCACTTAATTTTCTTTCAGTACTTACTGTACATAACGAGGCAGATGTGAGAAGTAGAAAAATATCGATGTGAGAAGTAGAAAAATATCACTACTTAATTTTCTTTCAGTACTTACTGTACATAACGAGTCAGATGTGAGAAGTAGAAAAATATCGATGTGAGAAGTAGAAAAATATCACTACTCTACTGCATTTGTGTGTTCTTTGTCGTCTTCTAGGAATAAAATATTCAGTGTCCACTGTGCACGGGCAAATCTCAACCGTTCTACACGCACTGGCACGTGGCTCAGATTAGTCACGTGCACACTGAATATTACTCGTGGAGGAATTCTTTATCTGGAAAAGTCCAAGTGGCTTTCACATGAGGTGCTGTATCACATGTTTAAAATACCAATGTACTAAAGTTATTTACAAAAGTGATGGGGGATGCGAGAGCTACAAACGTGCCTAGACGCTGATATATTATAAAATCAGTAACAAATCATTGTAAATTTTACAATAATCAGCTACCATTAATACATCGATTGGATATTATCAATTAGCTCAAATGACATGCGTGATACATAATGGTCTGATCAACTTAAACTTTAAAATATGAAACAAATAAATCATGACCTTGTCTGAAACCCAACATATGAAACATGTTTGACAGAAGGGTTGCTCAAGCTAGACTCGTCCAAACAAAAAATATAGTTGGGCGGGCACCTTCGAACAAACATGCTTGCAGAAATGGTAAGATAATGAGCACGAGAATACAGGATTTCCGTGAATCGATCATACCCATGGATTAGTTATACATCAATTATTCCCCTTATCAATACACTGGATAAGCAGGTGATAGCCTTTAATCTAACCAACTAGACTGTTAGCACATGCAGTCTGAAAGCCAAGTACACACCAACCAGTTGGTCTCTCAACTCTGAACGATCCAAAATGCGTATATTTCATTAGAAACTACCAATACCATAAACGAATATATTTTTGACCTCCATAGTATTTTTTAAAGATAATACCAAAGAGGAAGCTGAACAAGTAAGCACATCAGCACATGAATATCTACAATTACATGATTTAAATAAAAAAATTTGGATCACAAGTTACAGCACTGACTAGAATGTAACTATTAAACTCACATAACCACTCTTTTAAGATTATTGAGGGCTTTCTTTGCAACCTTGAACTTCTTTTCAAGGGATTCTTCACCACTCACAACATACTTTTTGATGAAAAACTCGATTCCACTTCTAAGTGATTCATACTCAGGAGTGACAGCTATACGCGTGAATATGTTCCAAATGAGACTATCAGAATGCTCAAAGATGGCCTCAAATAGCATGCGGAAATGCATAATTCTTTTGGGACTTAGCTGCATGGTGTCACCTAGTTCAATGACCTTCAAGAAAGAAATAGACAGGGTAAAAGAAGACACCATCTCTGCAACAAATTTTGATAGGTGCATTGATCTGATCAGCTGCATTGACTCTAGCTCTTTGAAGTGGTCCCATAGGCAATACTGTGAAATAAGATCAGCGAAAAAGAAAATAAAAATTTAAGCTAACAAGAAGAAAAAGCTCTCAGGAAATGCAAATTGACATCAATATATTAGCATTACGACACACACTTTGCCACATTTTATCAAAGCATAAAGGTTCAGCCACATGTTTGCCAATTCTACCCGAATTGTAAGATTTTACAAGCAGCATTTCATAAATAATTTTAATATAAAGCTGTAGGCATGCACATATAAGGTGTTTACTTCAGGAACTTTTTAGCATTGATTTTAAGTTGAGAGCTTCCAGGCTCAACTTAAGAATTGGCAATATTGCTCAACATAAATTGTTAATCCACTACAACAAAATTTATGGAAGTACCGCATCGGAATTAGGCACCTTATATGCAATATGTACACAGCTTATGTCAAAACTGTTTATGAAATGATGCAAGCACCTTCTCAAGTCATACAATTCAGATGAGAGCCCAGGAAAAACTCATTGTTATGTTTTAGATATGGTATGAGATCATATTCAAAACTTTGACCTTTCCTTTTCATTACGATTTTAATATCCCCTGTACTCTTCATTGTGATATACTTTTATTACAAGCTTACAAATTACACTGCATAAGATACCAAATAAAACTCTTCCGAAAAAAATTTAATCCTAAAATCGGAAGTAATACCTGTAAAGTGAACTTATGGTTTTTGTCATGGCTGCATAATTTAGTAGCCAGAACAGAGTAATACTTATTATACACTTTCTCTTGTAAACAGCACTCTACCAGAACTCGCATGATCTCTCTATCCTACAAACATAACATAAAGAATTAATACAAATCACGAAGAAAGATAATTGGCAAAGAGTTAAATTAAGCAAATAAGGATACCTACCTGTTTGCCTTGCAAATCCAACCTTAGAATTTTCTCAAATGCATCAATGTAGTCCTCCGCACTCATTATTACACAAAAGATTGCCTTTCTGGCATCTGTGTTCATCCTTTGTGCAGCAGCAAGCTGCAGCATTTTCTGGGCTTCAAGGGTCTCCCTGTCAATGGTGCTGGCAACCTCTTCAACATCGTCTGTCATGGAAGTAGTATCCCCAGATAACCACCATTGGCCCTTCTTGTCAGGATTTAGAAGCTTACTCCATTTGAGTCCTCGAATTAAAACATCTACCACTCTTAACTGCAAATAAAGGATTAACACAAAAAAATAGGATAAGCACACATGCCTGCGCGTGAGCATGCACAGATCCACACACCAAACACAATAACCAAATGCTAATACACAAGATCATATTACCCAATTCTAAACTTGCAATTGACTCAGAAATAATAAGGAACTACCTCGGATGCTACTTCTCAATCGTACACCTTAAAATACCCAATGTTGACCTTGTTATTCTTATAAAATGGCCATCCTCACATTCTCACTCCCGGCTGTGGTAACCTAGATTAAACCTAATAATATTCCTTCAGTTCCGTCAAAAAAAAAAAAAAAAATCCTTGGGTCAACAATATATTGCTTATTCTTCTTTTTCCTTCTATTCTCTTGATTCTTCCACTAACTATAGTTATAAAATTAATCTCGTTGTCTTAAGGTATTCCATTAACATTTAGCCAAGCAAGCTGAAAAATATAGCGGAGGAAGACACAAAGTGATAGCACCATGAAACTCAAGCTGATTTGATACCTGCTGTGGCCTGGTAGCACCAAAGGAACTAGGGAGTAGGGAAAGATGTAGCACAATTACAACAAGATTACAGGGAATTTCTGAACCAAGACAGGAAGGAAGGGAGAGGAGGGGGTGTGTGTGAACTATGTTAAAAAAAAAAAAACACAGCAGTAATAATATTCTATAATGATAACATGTCATATATGATAAAACAAGAAACTTTGCTTAATTCAACTATAAATTTTGTAGTCGCGATATATGGTCATCAATAGTAATATATTGTCCATAACAAGAGGAAGCACAACCGATATATGCGCAAAGCGTACAGGAGCAGAAGAACTAAAAGCTTTAATCAATTCCCCTACAAAACTACGAGAGTGAATAAAAGAATATGATAATCCTCAGATAACAAAAAATCAGAAGTGCTCAATATAATATTCTTAAACTTATGAACAAACAACTCCACACGGCTACATGAGACACAAAAGCACAACCTGCAATGTCAAATGACCTCTTTTGGAAACATAACCACCAATCAACAGCCAAGCCTCTCCATCACTAAATGAGGCATGACCCAACAGTCACCAAAAAGAATATACAAAATATATTACGTACACCTAACCACTGTTTAATGGAGAAAGAGATGACCTATATCATCCCGGTAATCTTGCAAGTACAGCACCAAATATGTAGAGTCAATATCTATAGCCAATATTGACTCTACATATTTTACAATAAAAAAAACAAAATTATGTTTTTCGATATAGTATCATATATTGTCCATATTTTATTATATATACGGTAAAAGAGGGAAAAAAATATACGATGAAAACAGTACAACTGTTAAATCCTTTTTCTAAGGATCAATTGCTATATCAGATTCTTTAAACGGAGTAAATGATGAAACAGAACATGGTGAGATGGACAGACAGAAAAAAAAAAAAAAAAAATAGATAACAACTGCCATCACAAAGACGAAAGCTAATTTAAAATTAATTAGATAGATGAAACTAAATTTAAATTATAGATATTTTAGTTTGAAACAAGATGTTGGACAATTAGCTCCTCCAAAACTCGTCCCGTTTCTTTTAAAAAAATGAAGTACCTAAGAGGGAATCAATTCACCCCCAATGTGAATAGGGTTTTTAATGAATGACGGGTTTGATAAACAAAATTTGTTACCAGGATTTATTAGGGTTTAAAGGCTGCAGAAGCTCGGACATAGAAGTTGAGAGAAAATATCAAATAAGGGTTCTAAAATCAACTGGACTTATAACCTAGCTCTTTCATTCAAAAAAAGACCTCAAACAATTTATATTTTTTGTAAGACAAATATAATCCTCCAGTTATGTGTGTCCCTAATGTTTCTGCCAACTATCCTGTGGCATCCCACACATATCCCAAATTAAATGATAAAATTTTCTACTGTTCAGTCATGTTTAATACTCTATCTAACATGGAGACAGCTCCTCTAGAGGAGTGTCCATGCTCCATAGATAGTACGCCATAGGCTGTGATTCCTTTTAACAAAGCACAAATCACGTAACACGTGGAATATTATAAGCCCAGGGTAGGTCAGAGATGCGACAGGAAAAGGTGGGTACGTGGCATCTCATCTGCCTGGAGTGGGTTAAGAATGCAACAAGATGAGGTGGAGTTCATGGGTCAATCCATTGTAACAAAATTCATAAATAAATTAATAAACAGAATAGCTAATAAAAATCAATTTGGAAGACCTTCTGCAGCCATTTCTTTATCCGTGTATGCTGTTCAGTATCATCTTTTGGCCTTTTCTTGTTGTTCTTGATATCAAATATGGTTTCAAGCATGAACTCCATCTGCAAGGATGGCCGAGTAAGAAAACTGCAGAAGAAAATAAAAAAGGTACGTAGCATTTAAGTATTTCATGAAAGGCATACTCTTCTGCTTGTCAAACGTTCTTGGTCGTTTCCTGAGGAGGCCTTCAGTTCATTTACCCTATTCTGAACACTCTGAATGAAATTTTTCATTGCAGTAGGATCATCACCCCTTAGTTTCATCCCACAACCTGCTCATTTAAAGAGTCTGTTATGCATGACAAATTTTTTTCTTGCATAATAGTCTTATAAATGACACATCAAATATGAAAGTTCATTCAGTGTAATCATACACACACACACACACACAAGCGCGCACAAACCCAAAGAATAGAACCACCAGTAAGGGTAACTCATAATAACAGGAATATCCCTGGTTTCCTCTTAACCTTGAGGGCCCAACACATGGAATATTCCTGGAGCCCCGTTGGTCAGAGTAAATCATAATAACGGGAAGTACCTGATTTGCTCTTTCCCTTGAGGGCCCAACCCATGGAATTTCCTGGAGCCCCATTGGCCAGAGGTAACTTTTTCACATGGCACACAAGTTTGAGAATGGGTGTGTAGCCCATGCGAAGGGTGGGGATACCCCTCTGTGATCACGCAAAACAAAAAGGGAAAAGAAGAAGGAGAAGAAAGAACAAAAAGGAGATGGGAAGGAAAGGCAAGTATTTGAAGTGCAGCCTTTATACAAGCTGGAAGTTAATGTTCATATATACATACATATATATATATATATATATATACATACATACATATATATATATATATTTGCAGTGTTGATGTTCAATTAAATTATATTTTCTAACTACATGTTAAATTATGAAAACCAAATACAAATTTTACCTCCTTTTTCTTCTTTTATTTTCTTTTTCTGTTTTGAAAGTGATTGATTGCACAGAAACAAAGAAAGAAACAAAAAATATTGCTATTGAAAATGGCTTACATTGTAGAATAGTCAAGATTGTTGAAACATCTATCTCTGTCAACCGCTTGCTCAGGATAATCATGAAGTCGTATATCAACTCACTGAAAGGCATCATCATTAGGCACTGCTTTTCTGACAGGATTGCTAGAATGTTCATAACTAAAGTGAAAACATTCTAATGAATTTTCGTAAGGATAACAACAGTTTCCATTTGCTGTGATGTGATGCCACCGCAATGTATCTGATCACAGAACGGTTATTGCAGTGATATCTTACCCCACCCCCCACCACCCACCCCCACCCCCTTCTTTTTTCCCGAAGTGGCCAATCCGGTAATATGCTGAAACCAAATATATGCTTCTGCAAATTCATGCACTTCGAAATTCCAATGAACAAAAAAAAAAAACTCTAATCCGCGACAAGTTAGTTCCACTTCTTGCAGAATCTAGTGTCCAGAATGACAAAGGTTACTAACCTTGAGCAAACTCCGAAAATGTATAAATAGGAGAGTAGAAGAGTCAAATTCCGCAAGGAAAGATTGTCTTCTTCTCGGAACTCATCCTAAATACAACAAAGAAGTAATCAGAGTAAATTTTTAAAATTGCAGCAATAAAAAAAGCCATTACCTAGTATCTTCTGGGTTCATCAAGGGTGCTATAAGGGCCAAACTGGGAATAGACGTAATTTTTAGCATTATTTGCATTATGTTGGTCACCCTAAGAAGCAATGACCCTCACCCTTGGCAACCCAATTTTTCACTACTACACCAAGCAATGCCCCCTAAAGTTGCAGTAATAACAAAGAAGGAATATACATACATGTATACATACATATATCTATATATATATATATATATATATATTTTGATAAGTTACATATATCTATATATATTAAAAAAATCTAAAGCAAAAGGATGCATACAACTAATCATATGAGCTTAAGTTACGCATATGTGTAAGATAGTAATTATCAGCAACCGATTAAATCTTAAAATCGACCACTAATAAACAATATTCACAATAGCAAAATGATCCCTTTATTTTTTTTTTTTTACTTCTATAGTGACTATATACGGACTTGACATCTAGCATTATTACACAAATATCTGCCACAAACTCGAACCGAATCCTCATGCATGGCAGCCTGATTTTTTACCACAACACCAACCAATTGAACCTAGTAAAATAATTCAAATACTGTTGAAGAATTGTGCACCTCAAAACATTTAGCAAGAGAAGCAAGAAGCTTTGCACCAAAGTCAATCCCAACCAAACAAGCCATGCCTGCAACAAAAGCTGCAAAAACAGCAGCATACCTTCACATAAAAAAATACACAATAATGTCAACTGGAACAAAACAAATGAAGAAAATAACAAAAAAACAAGATATAGAAAAATCCACCGTCTTACATTAATCTTACAAGAAAAGAATAGTGCATGAAGAAGCTATCAAAACTAGCACAGTGTTATCTCCACAAATAACAAAGAACAAGTGTTCTGATGTGGAGAGATTCTGTCATCTGCAAGGTATTATTATATGCTTTTCAGAAGTTAAGGTGGAAATTTTGCTCTGAAAAAAGATAAAGAAAAAAAAGAGAAGCAGTTTCTGTGGCCACATATAATCGATATTCCACCCTTATGCACATTGTACCAATTGGAAGTGAGGTGCCAACTTATGTGTTGTAACACATCTAATATGCTGATCCTAAAAAGAGCTTTTCAAAGGAATAAGTTGTAACACATCTAATATGCTGATCCTAAAAAGAGCTTTTCAAAGGAAACCCATTGTGTTTGGGATACTAAATCCTTCCAAACCATCTCAATCCAAAAAGGACACAGGGCAGACAACTATTAGTGAAAAACTTAACTACATATCGACAGAAGAACTTCACACCTATATTAATTATTGAGAATATTAGATGTGAGACTAGTGATTTTTCTATAAACGCGGAATTGCACCAAGGGTCTGCACTAAGTCCATATTTTTTCACAATAATATTAGATGAAATCACAAAAGACCTGCAAGAAGATATTTTGTGGTGCATGTTGTTTGCCGATGACAAAGTGCTATTGGACATTTCTAAAGAAAATTTAGTAATAAAATTAGAAAGGTGGAGAAACATGTTAGAATCAAAAGGTATAAAAACAAGGACTAAAACTAAATATATGGAATGAAAATTTAGTAAAGAATCAAATATTGATAATATAATATCACGCTTTAAAAACAAAGGATTATTCAAAGTCACAATTTTCGATACTAAGGGTGGTTATGGTGAGATATATGATGATATAATAGTATTTAAGAGCATGTTAAACAAAATGGAGACATGCTAGCAAGATCTTATGCAATAAAAGAATAACAAATAAATTAAAAGGAAAAATTGATCAAGCAGTTACTCAGCCAACTATTTTATATGGCTCAGAGTGTTGCTTTAAAAAAAGAAACATGAACAGTGTATTTATGTACCGAAAATGAGGATGTCAAGGTGGATGATAGAAGTGACTAGAAGATATGATGTTACTAATCAAAATGTGAGGGAGAAATTAGGAGTGACGCCTATTAGTGATAACAGAAAACAAACTTAGGCAGTATGGATATATCCAAAGAAGATCTATAGATGCTCCAATAGGAAGAGGAAAACTAATTTGTATGGAAGGTAAGAGGCAAAGACGGTGAATGAAGTTAACTTTGGATGAAACCAGTTAAAAAATTAAACATTACATGAGAGATGACTTGTTATAGAAAATAATGGAAAAAGAGAATTCATGTGGCTGACCATTCATATGGGATTAAGGCAAGGATGATGATGATGACAATGTATGATCAAGAATCTTCAATCACCATGAGCGGAGATGCAAAGATTCATGTTTCTTCCATAGATTGCCAGAGAGTCATCATCTAGCTCTCCAGGTTCATGACAAAACAAACTTTCCGAGATGATCCAAGTCAGAAGTCAACTGATAATCCAATTCACCAAAGAGACAGAGAGAGAGGGAGGGCGAAAAAGAAAGGAGTTCATGAAATTCTCCGGCTCTCAAGATAGAAAACCAAAACAAAAAATTTTAAGTTCTACTTACCACACTTTAAATAAATTTCCATGTTATTGATACCATTACCCAAAGCAATTCAAAGGATTATTGTTGCCAAGTAAATGTACTGGCAAAATTAACAGAAGTCCCTTCCCGAAAAAGGAAGGGATGTCCACTCAAGCACATCTTATCAAGCTGAAATTCACTTCTTCCAACTTAATCAAAGAACAAGAAGACTTTCAATTATAGAGAAAAATCAATTAGGGAAGAAACTTCCTATAAGTTGGAGCTGTTGTAATGCTATTCAGTATTCAATAAATTTGTTCCCAGTACATACTTGGCACAACAAAAAAAAAAAAAAAAAAAAAATGCAGCAAATTATATCTTTACTTGCTCAATATCTTTGGTTTATTAGAAGTGAACTTGATCAAGAGAAGGGAAAGAACAAGAGTAAAATTAAAGGGGAAAAAGGAAGGATCTCCTAACTGTTCATTGCCACGAGGACCTCCAGAACACGATCCCAAAACCTCTTCACTGACAATCTGAGAACCAACACTGCGACCAACAGACTGCAAATAGGGAAGAAGATTAGAGAGTTGAGGTTGCAAAAACAGCTAGTCTATGCATATTCATCTGCAGTCAAAATTAGATTACCCCCAAACAAGATTTCGTCAATAGCTTTCTGTCCCACAACAATACGCAAAAAAATCAGTGACATTAGGGCATCTGAATACCTACCCTAATTGTTATTTAAAATTTATAAGTGGAATACTCATCCACCACAACAACGCTAAACTTCCAAATTACTGTGAAGGTAGCATGTAGACATAGAAAGACTAAAAAAAATTAAGGAAAAAAAAAAGGCTTACACGGAAGATCGAGGATATTTCCCCTGCAATAGATTCCACATTAGATTCAGACAGCTTATTTAGAAGACCTGGCAGCAATTGAGATTTAGTAAGGACATCGAATTTCAGAATCAAAGGGACTATTATATACCCAAATTCAGCCCAAGACTCCAAATTTTCATACCTCGTACACGCCTACGAATTTGGGAGACCTCTTCTGATTCACCTCCACAACGAGATCTCAAATGAGGAGCTACATACATTGCCGTTGCCACTAGTCCAGGTGCTTTGGCAGGAACTCCATCCATTGCTGCATCAGCACCAAAAGTTTTCACTGGTTCAGATACTCCAGTGGGCGTGTCGCCTACAATCTCAACTTCTGATTCTTGCTCCAATGATTTCATCTTTTTACGCTTCTTACGTGAAGAGCTCTTCTCAAGGCTTTCCTGGGCAGCTTCTTCAGCACCTGGCTTGAGTTCATCCTCAGAAAAATCAAGAATAGATGGAATTCCTTCAAAAAATATATTGATTCCGTCATCTGCTCCCCCTAATTTACCCTCCTTCACCTTGAGTTTCTTTGCAAGCTTCCTCTCCAACTTCAAATCCTCCTCAACAGAAACAACACCTTCCTGCATGTCCATTTCAAGATATTCTTCAAAATTTGTTTTCTTTCTTTTAACCGTCTTAGATGCGGTAGAATTAGGATCTTTTAAAGAATCAAACTTGTTCTTAGATTTCTTCAGCTTTTGGGGCTTCTCAGTGCCACAATCTCTCTCATCAAAAGTTCCGATTGGCTCAGATAATCCAACCACTTGGTCACCAGCCATTTCACCTTTCAGATCTTGCCCTAATGATTCAATTTTCTTACGTTTCTCTAAACCTTTCTTCCTCTTGATGATCTTCAGCTCAGTAGAATCAGGAAATTCAGAAGAATCCAATTTAGCCTCGGAGTTCTTCAGTGAGGTAGGTTGTTCCAACCTGTAATCTGTTCCATAGTTGGGATGTGTCATCAAATCATCCTTCTCTTTTAAAATTTGAGCAAACGAATTTTGAGATTTCTTCCCTTTCTTTGACTTTGAACGTGAAGAAGCTTTCTTCAATTTGCGAGTTTGCTATAAACATTAAACAAATTTAAAGATAAATTTCATCAAATTGATATACAACAGTTTTTCAATAAAAAGAATATGAAAAAAGGAAAAGGCGTAAAAAATTGTTATACTTGATGCTGGATCCATGAATCAAACTTCTTTTTCTTCTTTGCTGACCGAGCTTCTTTTCTTTGCACTCTGCGAGATTTCTCAGCCGGCTTACCATAGGGAGCTGGATAAAAAGCCAAGAAAGTGAGATTTTCTCCTTGATTCATTAATGTCAAAGCAAATTTGAAATAGACAAACAAGTAACAAAAACAGAGATCTTACCCATGGTGACAAAACTTCAACAAAATCAACTGCCAAAAAAATAAAAGTAGCATCAGTTTGCTCTTCTGATAATTGCTTGAACAATGCTTATGTAACAATAACTCAACAACTAAAACATATATTGTTCATTCTATCAAACGAATTAAAGCTTCAGAGGACTTATTCTATACACTATCGTTTACTGTATTAAATAAACTGAAATGTGAGGGAAAAAATTAATCATGTATGTGTTTGTTTAATGTATCAAATAAATTGCAGTTTGAGAGAATAATTTACGCTGTACTCTTAGAATGAGAAATTACACTGTGAAGAAGAACCTAGAACATCAAACTCTAAGTGAAACCAGGAAAAAAATATTGATAATAAACAAGCATTCGTTCAAATTAGGAAGATAAAGACAGGTAGAGAATTATTCAACAGTCAAACCCTAGAAACCGCAGATGAAGCAAATCAAATATACAAATATATATATATATATATACATACACTCATCAGTAGGGAATTGCTACTAACCTTATTGTTACTGATTCGTTCAGTCTAACGAGTCGACAAGTCAAAAAGGAAATTCGCATCAGATTTTGATATCAGAAGTCAATCAGAGGTTAATGTGAGTGCCAAGAAGAAGAGAACTAGAGGTTTAATTGGGGTTTTTGACTGGATCGTAAAAGTAGGGTTTATAAAAATCAAAGTTAACTTGAGCCTACGTACCAAATAAAATGTTTTTCACTCGAGCCCAACCAATATTATTGAGTCTGGAAAAGTTTAAGGCCTAGCCCAATAAGAGGTTGCGTGCCCACTTCAGATTCGACTGGCTATAGTTAACTGAAGTCTAACCCATTAATGAAGCCCGATTGTTAACGATCTTTATGGAGACGAGAAAAAACCCTAATCCCTACAATTAGAGAAGAGAACCCACATGGAAAAAGAAAAGAGGTACACGCTTGGGCTCAATACTTTGAGTCTGAAACTTCCCTCAGCCTAGATTTCCTCGGACTTTTGAACCATGTGACCTAATTCTCGAGCTTTTGAATCACGTGTTTATTCATTTATCCAAAAACTCGAGTTATTAGATAGTGTTACATACTCACCCATTTATACCCAATTACTTTTTCATTCGGATTCGATGTGGGACAAATGACCCTTGTTACACCAGGCCTCTTCCTTAGTCCTTGTGCCATTCTTTTTCACCGTCTCTCTCCCTACACATACAAATATATACATAATTTATATCTATATCTACATATAATTTCACACTTCTAAACATGTCATACGTGTCCGACACTTCATGATCGTATCCATTATGATCATACTTCATGATCAAATCCTACATTATTACCATACATCAGACCGAATATAATGTAACAATTTTTTTTTTTTTAATATTTGAATGACATCATTTTTAACTTATGAAACTTTTGTATAGAATATATAAATTAATTAAAATTATATGTTTGTCCCATTCAATAGATATATAAATGAAATTTATATTTGTATTAATTGTGTGTACTCCTAATTTTTTAAAATTCATATTCGTATCCGTATTCATATCGTATAATGTCGTGTATGTATCAAACTTTCTTCCTCTATCTCTCTTTCTCTCCTCCAAGATCTGAATGGGTTGTGTTTGTTAAAAATGGGCTTTCAAGTACATTTTATAAAATTTTAATCTACAGTTTCCATATAATAAAGTGTTTTAAAATTATTGTAACTTAATTTGATTTTGATCCGAATTAACTCTATAAAGTAATAAGCCTCTCCATATATGATCAAGCTTGACTTTTTATTTCATGAGAACAATCTCATTCATAGTCGAGCTCAAGTAGCATTTGTTGAATTTACAACACCATCTACAGAAAACTCACTAAAATTTTGAAAAATTCGCCAATAATTTCAAAACAGCTGCGGGAGATAATACTTAAATTATAGAGCCTTGACCAAGAATTGTTTCGAGTACTATTCTGTGAGTATGATACATTTGTGTGTGTGTGTGAGAGAGAGAGCGAGAGAGAGAGAGAGAGAGATGTTAATGCTTATAGTATAGATTTTGATTGCTATTCTATGGTCATTAGATCAATGTAGATGTAAGGATATTGAAAATTTCAAAAACTTGCTGAACCAATCATTTGTTAATATTCAGATGAGGATTTTATTAAAGGGAAAAACAAAAAAAATTACCAGGCATTTAAGATAGAAAACCATAACAATTAGCTAAAAATAAGGTTTGGTGTGCCACATTTAGACAGAATCATGTGGCCACAGTTTCAGCTGCCAATGCATTTATACAGAGACACCCATCCAATTTGCTGTCAGGTTTTCTGGTAGCTCTTCTCTGAACAACCCATTTCTTCTGTCATCCAGAGCTGCCAGAGAACAATCCTACTCCTTAACAAACATTATAAATACATGTCCTGTAATTAAGTTTTTTGTACATTACATTTTACTACTACAATAATTCCAAAATGGCTCGCCTAAATGTTCTTGCCATCGCCCTCCTTGCTGCTCTCATTCCCATTGCCACTCTCGCCAAAGAGATCGTTGTCGGAGATGATGCAGGATGGATTACAAAATTTGATTATGTAAGTTGGGCCAAGAAACAGGACTTCCAGGTCGGAGACACTCTAGGTAACCAATTCAATCATTCCAAATGCTTCATTAATCATCCTGTGTCACGTCCTGTGTCATTACATTGCTTATGCAACAACTTCTTTATACACTAACAATCTACACGCAGCACAGGATCCCCTCCACACATGAGGGGATTCAAATTCTACCTCGTGTACCTAAAGGTCACCAGGTTAGAACATTCCACATGCTTCATTAGTCATTCTATGTTACATTATGCATCATTACATTCGTTATGCAACAACATTTTTATTTTATTTTATGTATATGTTACACTAGCAATCTACACGCAGCACAAGATCCCCTCCTATGTGGAGGGGATTCGGATTCTACGTCGTGTACCAAAAAGTCACCAGGTTAGAACGGTTCCACGTTATTGACTATATATAAAATTTGAATATTGCAGTTTTCAAGTATCCTCAGGGGGCTCATAATGTGATTAAGGTGGATGAAAATGCCTACAAGAATTGCGCTATCCCACCGGCAGGTCCGGCAAATCCGGTATTGGCTTCAGGAAAGGATGTGATTTCTTTGGATGCACCAGGAAAGAAATGGTTCCTATGTGCGATACCCGGGCATTGTGAGAAAGGTGGACAGAAGTTGGAGATTGAGGTGAAAGCAGGAGGAGGAAAGACTGCAGCAGCACCTACTGCAACACCTACAGCAGCACCTAAGTTAGCCCCAGCTCCTACCGATGCCAAGTCAGACAACAAAACAGCTGCCACTTCTCCAGCGGCCGCCACGCCCTCCGGTGACGGGGCTCCAGCTCCTGCACCCGCAAGCTCAGCAAACGGACTCAATGGCTATCAGCTACCTTTGGCAATTGTGGGGGCAATTGCAGCTCTGGCCATCTTTTAAGTGCAACTATTAGTTTATTTTTATTTCTTCAAAAATGGGATTTGATTTTCTTGGTTTGGAATGGTAAATATTTCTAAGTAATAACGCTTTGAAATATTGCTGAATCAAATGATTTTAAGAGATTTGAACAAGTGTTTTGTAGTTTGGTTTTGACTTTTTCTTTTAGTTGGAACCAGCTAGCATCGCTCATAATATTCAAAAAAAAAAAAAATTGCAATTTTAATGGCTTGGAAGGAATAATTTTCCTTCCATTTTTTTTTTATAAAACAAATTGTATAATTGAATCCGTCTATGTCAATAGATTGATATATAATGACTGTTTTCGACCTTTTCATGCCATACCTAATGGAATATTTCGATCGGCTGGAAATATTTTAATGTGAAAGGAATGCGCAACATAAAATAATTGAATCGTCTTTGCACAACAAACAATGACAGAAACATTTTGACAAACTTCAAGTACTCAATCAATATGATATAATCTCTGACCCAAATTTTTAGAATTTCACTAGAGCAAAATTGGATCACTTTTCTGAATTCTAACTTTATGAATTTAGGATTTCAAACTCCGACAGTACATAATAAAATGATATCAAATTTCAATCATGGACACATTTTAGTTAGTTTAGTAGCATCAAATTTCAATCATGCACTTTATTCAACAGAAGACTACCAAAAAAGATGGGAATTAAATAGAAGACCTAAACAAAGAGGTCTTTACATGAATTAAGAAATAAAATAAAAAAATGATCCACAACAATGCATCAAATCGGTAACATTGATTCATGAACTCTTGCCTGAGGTGTCAAACAGAGTCCTCAGACAACGCTTTTATCAGCATCTTTCACCGGACTTTGAATAATTTCAATGACTCTCTATCAAATGTTACAAGTAGACTGTCCGGAACACGATTTCGAGAAATCGCAGTTGCATCATCGAACTGGAAAAGGAAAATTCAAGGCAAGGGTTAGCTGTTCAAATATCTAGACAGGTCATTTGAACATAAATGGAAGCACATTCTCATAAATATAATAATAATCACTAATAAGGACGCAAAAAATAAAAAATTACACAATAAATGGAGTCCTGTAACTGGACTGAAGTGCAATTGAACTAAGTTATAAGAAATTGCAACCGCAAGATATAAGACATCATTATTATATAAATGATTAGAAAATGATGATTACAATCATACAGTTAATCCTCTAATTATTATTACTTAATAACGTAATAGTACTAACAGTACTAACAATTGATAATTTTTTTGGATAAACCAGCTTGGTTCTACGGTGGATGATTAAAAAAAATCTGATTATTACTTTGTTTAAACAACTCCAATTACATTATAAAACTATTGGAATGAAAATATAAGTAGAATTTCAAACACATGCCAAAAAAAAGTTCAACAATTTATTGCATGACATATGTTGCTCAATGAACCATTCAACCAATCAAATAAGCAAGCAGAATGAGTTGTCTATAAACAACATTTTATTCCATAACTAATTAATTTAAATACTTCCATGAAATGTTTTTTCATCTTTAAAGTAAAATCCAAAGGTTTAACGGGCATGTTGCTTATATACCACAATATATTTAAATATATAGAAGTTAAAATATTATAGAAAAAATATAGGTTATATCTCAAAACTTTTGATTGTCCAGAAAGGACATTAAAATGAAGCAAAACAAAATTAAATTACCACATCAAGTAGGTGCAGAGCTAACTTATAAACATATATATGTGGGTGTATATATATATCACAGAACAAGGGCAAGATAAGAGATTAAGATTGAGACTTTAATTTGAGAAACATAAAGAGAAAAGTGATCGCGTACTTGTGGGGCAGGATAGAGAGAGAGGGAAGAAAAGTGATCGCGTACTTGTGTCGCATGGGAAAATAGCGCCAGTCTCTAGAGTGTTGGAATATTGGGTTCATGATAATTTTTCAAATTAGTTGAAGTACAAACGCCAGTCTCTAGAGTGTTGGAATATTGCTTTCATGATAATTTTTCAAATTAGTTGAAGTACAAACTTTATCCATGTAATTTCATACATGAAAAAAAAAATTGATGACTTTCAAATGGGAAATTCAATATCACTGGTCATTAGCCCAGTTGAATTTACAGTACAGCTACAAAGACAGAAACACGTTTTAATACTCAAATAAAGTACTACGTCAAGCATGAAAAAACAAATAACAGAAAGTGAGAAAACATAACATTCATCAATATGTTGTGTCCATGGGACCAAAAAAAATATCAGGAATGGCAACTGTCGACAATAAATCCCGGGGCAGATGGCATTACCATTGACAACTATTAGAATAACAACAAAAGTCAAACATTTTATTTTGGAGACAAGATAGACATGAATTCACTTACATCTATGGTATAAACTACTGCTTCCACCATAAGGTGCTCCTCTTGTCTGCAAAGGAAAATTCACACACAATATTGATCAGGGGATTTCATATTAAGAAAAGGATCAATGTTATTAACACCATTGCTTATCAATGATGATCATATTTATTTTTTCAGAACATATTTGGTGTCATACATGGAAAAATGCACGTCAAAACATAAAAGATGAAAATGATTTAAAAGGTAAAAACAAAAATAATAATAATTTGGAAGGCATTTTTGAAACTAGTATTAAAAAATTCCTCGATAATGAACCATTTTCTGGAAACTCGAGAAAGTTGCTTTCCATGATTCCATGGAAATTTCCATATCTTGTCATGACTTAGCATAATGATGTGTTTTCAAAAACTTTTGTCTTGTATTATTTTAAATGACTTGAGAAAAATTGAAACAAAATTTGAAATAATAAATGAAGTAGGCACTTAACATCTGATATAGAATTTAATAATCAAATTTATACTCCGTGAATATGCTGGGTTAAATATTATCACAGCTGATGAAACCAAGATAACGTGTTTTCCCCCTTTCTGATCTTATAGCTACTTCAGATGAACGTCGAGCATAAACAAAATATTTTACTCTTGGACTCTTAACTACTTTATGAAATCGTATTATCACAACACTGGCACTACTGCATGAATGAGATGTATTGTAGCGCTGCAAATTGCCAGGTTTGAATAAGAAGAGACAAAAGCTCATGTCAATTAAATCAACCACCAGTATCTCCTTGATATAATCATCTAAAAACAAGTTTGTATGCTTCATACCTGGTAACTATTAGTATAATCACGAGTCCCATCAAGTGATCCTGCCAGCAAAAGTGAAAATTATTGCAAACAAAAATCTCATGGTCTGAAAACCACAATCAACATGACATATAATCTTACCAGAAGCATAACCAGCACCTTGTTGATGGTAATAGGGCAAAGATGTTGCACCAACTCCTTGGGACAATCCACCATAACTAAAAATATATAAAAAAAAATAAATTGAAATGAACAAAATGTACTGGGCGGATGTTAAATTGTAAGTGCTATTTATCACGAATGAGAATCAAAATTAACTTTTAATAGTACAACTAATTAGAAATACGTATCAGAACCTTAGGCTTGTAGTTGGGAAAGAACTTTCCAAGCGTGCACGAGGATACCCTCTGAGATCTGAATAAAGTGAATCATCTCCCTGCATTCGTCAATTTGAAGGTATTTCAAAAAGGCACACAAGTTAACAGAAAAGAACAATATTCAACATAAGTTGTACAGTACAGAAAATGGGCGCTTCCTCCCAGGTGATGGGTAAGGATGATCCTGATCAAGAGAACCTGCGCATGAAAGGAAAATATTAGGTGGAATCAGATACTTCACAAGCATATCCTTGTGTTGCTATAAATTAAATTGCAAAACACCTGAAAAATATGGTACAAACATGGCTATCAGTAAACACTTGAGTAGGGAACCAAAACTGTAAAAAATGCATATGTAGTTTCATAAAAAGGTTCCAATTTTATCTTTTTAAGTCAATCCTGAACCACATTTTGATTCCAGGAATATAAACTAACATTTACGGATAAACGTAATGTGACAATATTCTTGTCTGAGACTCCAAAAGATAGCTTAACAGATCTTATTCAACTAACATTACATTGGGCTTTCTTCCTATTATTCACAGCACCCAAATTTTGAACTATCTCACTTCCAGCTATTTTCTGGGAAGTAAAATACAGGTGGTTTTATTCTTATAGTGATGGCAACAGGACAGGTAAGGAAGGAGATCCTCTATCCCGACCTTGCCCTGCCAGAGTAGTATGCTGCCCTGTCCCATATCCATGACAAGCTTTCGTTTTTCGTCCCATCCCAGAACCCAGGAGTAATACTCAGTTTCCATGACAAGCTTTCGTTTTGCCAGTGACGTTAACAACCTGCAGCAACAGAGCTGGTAGTGCTACTATAAAGAGAGAGTGGCATAAGAGGAGATGGGAAAAAGTAAACCCAATCTCATCTCCATTTATAGGAATGAGGACAGGGTGGCCATATCCAAGTTCATCCCAATGAGGGGGGAGGGGAAATTGCATCTGGAACCTGTGTCGGACGCAGCTGAGGGATTGTGAGAACAAAAGGCAGGACGAGCCAGGTATCAATTGGGTGATAAAACCCCAGGAACAAAAATTGAAGGCTAATAGTTTTCAATAGAGTAACTATGGAGGCCATGTCCCTACGAGCTTAAATAAAAGATCTTCAAGATCTCTAAACAATTTAATAATATATATATATATATACACACACGCAAGTATATTTACCTTTTACAATCTAATGCATGAGAAGGTGAACATATCTAATACCCAAGGGTCACCTTCTGTTGCATTGCAGTATGGCCAGAGATTGTTGGGATTTGATGATTGGGTTGTTTGGGGTTCCCTGGGTTATGCCCTGTTCCTCTAGAGGGTTGATTGAGGCTTGGAGAGGTGTCTCTGTTGGGGCACTCATCCGGGATGCTTGGCAGGCTACCCCTCTCTGTGTTTGGTGGTGCATTTGGCTCGGGAGGAATCGAAGATACTTCGATGGCAAGGAGAAACCCGTTTCTATGCTTAAGTTTTCTATTATTTCTACTCTCTTTTGTTGGGTCTCAGGGAGAGATTATCGTTCTGTTGAGGAGATTATTATGTTTTTGGCCTCTTTGAAGGCTTGAGGCTCTCTTTGGTTTTTTCTTCTTGTATCCTTGGGTTTCGCTCCCCTTTGAGCGCTTTTTTATAAAATTCTTACTTATCAAAAAAAAAAAAAAAAACCCAAGGGTCTCAAAGGGGACATAGAGGACGGGCAAATGAAGTTCACTTATTCAATTGACTATTTTTTAAATGTTGCACAAGTTCTACCATACCAAAATGTTCAACAATAACAGCTCATAACATGTGTGATGCATTTGAAAAATAATTCTCACTCCGTTTTGAAATGCATTTCATACTTTTGTTGTTTCAGTTGGAATGTAATGTACAGGTACCACTTTGTGTAAAACATTCAGCATGACAGTAATGGGAAATTAAAGCAATGAAAAATAAAGTTAAACAAAAGAAAAATGAGAAAGAGGACTTAATAATTAATCAAATCCTGAGGGAAGAAGGGAAAGATGAGTGGAGCACAGAGGAGCCAATCAAAGTTTATATCGGTGGTTGCTGGAAGAATCCATTGGCTAAAACTTTGAGGCAGGAAGAAGACCAGAATTATATATAGAGAGAGAGGAACAGTTCTTATGAATATGATTATGCATTGAAAAAGATTTCTGTTCTTTTATTTAGCAATGCAAGATGTTTACTGTAATTGCCAAACATACAAAGAAGATGAATAGATAAATGTGTATGTTGTATAAGTTCTCCTAATGCATCCCAAAACACCACAAAAAATACAAAAAGTTCACAAAATATCCTAAAATAACAGCCAAAATAAAATAAAAGGCTTTGCATACCATTTTCTGGGGAGAAAAGAAATGTCTGTTCGAAATTAAATGGATTTAATGATCTTTTGAAGTCCCATTATTGGCAAATTCTCCATGTGTCTATCAATAGTAAGAAAAGACATAGCAGCTCTACAGGGTGACCTGAATATGTCACCTAAACAATTTTTATTTTAGGAAAAGATGAAAGAAATCTAATTATTAATGCACTAATGCAGAAAAGTAGTTTAATGAAAGTTACGGCAAAAGGACAAAAGCATGAAACAGCATGGGCTGAATGAGAAAGGCATGATTCCCTTCTATCAACAGAACATTTTATTCTGCATCAAGAGGTAGCTGGAGCAGACCAATCCATTGTAACCATCCAAAAGTAGCTACCACAGGGTTGGTTAAGTTACTGATTTAGTGTCAATTTTGTTCTTTTCTATTTTATTTTATTTTATTTTTTTTAAAAAAAAATTCTAAAAAATTGCTTAGTCAATTAAGCATGTGTCTCAAATCCACTATATGTTTAGAACAGTACAAATTCACAATAATAAATATATGACATTACCAACGGGCCAGTAGCCTAGCGGTATCAGCCTCTTACTTCCCAAAGGGAGGTCAAGGATTCAAGTCTCAGCAGAGACAAGTGTGTGTGAGTACTAACTAGGAAAAAAAATATATATATATAACATTTAATCAGGCACATATTAACCCCATGGTGCTGACAATAACAGTTCTCTGTCATTAAATGCTTTAGCATTTCACTCAGATGTAGTTTTGTTTTCTTCAATTACAAAAGATTGAATAAATGAAGTCGAACCGGTGAAGTAATCAAAACAAAAATTTGCGTTTACACCTCATAATAAGATACAAATACAAAATTACAGAAGTCTTTCAAAGATCTTATATATAACAAGGGAAACAAAGTTCGGACAGTAACATATTACCTATGCCTAAACTTGTTCGTGACTGCGTCCATGATGCTTGTTCCCTCAAGAGTTGTACAAGTTCGGCAGTTGTAGAAGACCTTTTATCAATTCCAACATTCTCGTAACCACTACTGTACGATTTTCCTTTGTTTCTGGGTTCATGTGGCCTTGTGACAGCTGAAACAAGAATTGATCATATACGACAAAAATGTTACTAAACAATATCACATTATCATATAATACACTGAGTGATCTAAAACACAGTTTCCATGTTTTGGATGCGCCTTGTAAAACACAGTTGGTTGGGGGTAACGTATTTTCTGGTGACCTGGTAAAAAATATAATAATCACAAGAAAAAGAAACAGAAACTCACATTGGGCTACCTTTAACTTCACTTTGGAAGATTCCTTACTAATAGGATTTGAGACTGGTTTGATTTCCTTGCCCTTTGGTAGTGGTTTCGCAAGCGATACCTTCACATTCACCTAGACAATCACAGTTATACAAATCCATTATAGGAAAAGCAACCAAGTAAATGAATTAAGAACATTATACAGAAACAATGCAGAACCTTGGAACCATCATCATTAAATGACTCACGACGGAATGCCTCAATACATGCAAGAGCAGCTTCACGCGTTGTATAATTAATAAATGCAAAGTCTTTTCTCTTAGATGAACCTAGATTTCGAGCAAGAGCAACATTTTCAATCTCACCAAACTTTTTGAAATAGTTTCTCACGTTCTCTTCAGTCCACGAGGAAGGTATATATTCAGCATAAACCGATTTCACCTGGATGAAGGCAAGATAAATGAACCACTTATCAACAATGTTGAGTGAGATGTCCCCCAAAAAAATTACCCGAACACCAACACCACACCCCACCCCCACCCACCCACCCAAAAAGAAAAAAAAAATTACAATCAATACAATATATATATATATATATTTATATATATATATATATATATATATATATATATATATATATTCTAATAAAAAGAAGATCACAACTAACATATTCTAACAAAGATCCGAATTACAGCCTAAACCACTGTCAACTGCTATCAAAAATTAAATCAAGCTATAAAAATTAAATCATCCATCAAACATAACACAGAACTGGACAGACCTTAAGCATTTCTTCTTCATCTGGCTCCTTCAAGGGTTCAGCCCAAGCAACTTTTATTTTCTGATGCTTCCCAAAGACGTCCTTTTTTTGGAGTTTCTTGTAAGCATTTTGAGCATCTTTACAAGTTTCAAGTTCAAGAAATGCATATCCACGATTACACCCAATCTTATTAGGATCATCCATAACTGTAACTTTATCTATTTTCTCAATCCCAATTTCCTGCAGCAGCTTAAGAACCTGTGCAGACATAAATCTTCTTTTTAGACAAATCATCCAAACGGGGAGTTGCTGAAAACCAACATAAAACATAAAAGCTTACATCTTCACTCTTCCAATGCTTGACAATATTACCAAGAAATATTGTGTCATTGCCCTCAACAAGCGATGTGCGACACTGCTTTCCACAAATCTGGGTTGTAGTTTAAAAGCAAAATAAAAAAAAGGAAAAGGAACAGAAAGAAATAAAAGAGCTGTTAGGAGAATGATAATAAAGCTAATATTCTGCCTTTCCCAGTTAGTATATGACAATTTTAGGCCGAGCAACATAATTAGCATATCTGGTCCAACACTCCAACTTCGACAATAAATTCTGTGAAAACAATAAATAATAGTAATATAGTAACAATAACAAACAATGATGACAATAATTATAATAGTTCCAACAATCAAACATAATGAATATTAATATTTAGGGGTGGCAATTTGCCCCATCCCGGCAGGTTTCCGCCCCTAATTGGACAGTATGGTATGCCCCGTTTAGGGGTAGGGGTAGGGGCGGGTGTGGTATTATATGTTTTAACCCAACTTGGGGTGGGGGCGGATATATACTTAAACCCATCCCGCCCCGCAATGATTATATAAAATATTGTTATTATTTTAATAATTTAATAACCTTACCCTTCTAATAAATTACAAAAAGTACCCCATATATATACATAAGATACATCTATTAGGGCTCCATCATAACCCACGGCCTCTCCTCGTGATTCTCTCATCACTCCTCACATCAGCCCTCAGCCCTCAGCCCTCAACCCCACTCCGCCGTGATCTCCGATGATCAAGAGGCCCGCCATTTTCGACCTCTAAGAGCCGGCGACCTCCAACAACCGGTGTTCTCTCTCTATGGTAAACTCCCTCTCTCTCTCTCTCTCTCTCCCCACCCCCCCCCCCCCCCTTATTTCTCTCTTTCTCTGTTTTTTTATATATATATATATATATATATATTATTTAATATATCTGTTTCTCTCCTTTTATTTCTCTCTCTCTTTGTCGAGATTAGTACCATCTGTGGATGGATGTATATAGATTAGAGCATTGAGCACCATTTTATTTATTTATTTATTTTTCTGTGATAAGTATTGAGCACCTTGTGTGGTTGTGGGCTTGTTATAGAGAGTATACATTATTACCGGGATGGGGCTGGGATGAAAGAAGTTGTAGGGACCCGCCCCGTTGCCATCCCTAATAATATGATAGATACATATTGTTTAAAATGACGACAAAATGGATAGCATAAGGACATTAAACAAGAGAATAGACATTTTGCCAGCACAATGTAGGATTGAATCCAGGATTGCCAACCACAAAAGAATACATTATCTAAAAAAATAGATATCAGTGTGGCTGCTAAAAGTAGTAGGAAGAGATATGTAAGAGCTGAGGATCAATACGACAGCATTCAACAATTTTTTATAGTTAAAAAAAGTAAATAAAGCATCAAAACGTAATAAAGATGAAAAAGACCACTTTATTTCAAACCCATGTCATCATTTCCATTTTTATATCATTTTACATCTTAATATTAGAAGATACTTGTCCACAAATTCTATTATATGAGAAGTCCAACGAGGAAAAAGGATGCAAATTTGTATGGAAACCCATAAGATGTAAATGCTAGTCTCAGAAAACTCTACTTAAGATGTGAATGCTATTCTCAGAAAACTCAGTAGAGGTTCTTGTAACTTGCTGAAAGAAAAATAACACGTGAAAGCATTTATATTTGTGAACCTTAGACTCCATATTACAATGTAATATGTACCAGTCCATCCCTCCAAACAGCCAAAGTTCAAAGAATGCCTCACTTCTTATACAATTGTGAGATGTATTCCAATAGAGTAATTAAATTAATACTCATTTAAATGATATCCAATCCATTCAATAGTGTAATTAAATTAATATGCATTTAAATGATATCCTATCTTTGAAATTGTAAATCATACCATAATGGTGACTCAAAAGACAGGTTGACATTTTTTCAAATTGAAGTTATTAAAAAATGATTTTAAAAAGTTGAATATAATTGGTGAGATGGCGTGTAATATAAAAGAATAAAAAAAGATAATTCATGTGGCTAGCCCCATCCATATGGGATTAAGGCAAGGAGGATGAGGATGACGATGCTGATGATACAAAAATAGAAGGTGTATATATATATATATAGAAATATAAAAATATAATGTGAAAGTGTGACATATAATATTATAGAACACTTTGTATGTAATCATATCATCTAATGGGCCAAAAACCTGCCATTTATAATACTAGGCCCTTCGAACTTATCAAAAGTTTCATTAATCTTCTCACTCTTTTTCCATAAAGTGACCCTAGTCTCAAGAAGGGAAGTTTTAAATCGTTGCCCTACCAATTAATTTCGTCATCCTAGTGAGCATACGGTTTTTAATAAGATTTAAAGCCAAACTTTTGGCTGAAGAAGAATCTACAAGTATTTTGAATACCCAGTTATTTCTTCCTTTTTATCTCTTCCAAAAAAAATTTGTTCCATTTTTTCAAGATCTTGCTTTCTGTTGCCAATTTGACATATCCATCTGTTCTTCCTATTTTGCACCATTTTGATATACATGAAAATAACTCGCTTAATCACCATAAACTCCATTGTTCTTTTTGTGACGTTTCAGTTTTGATGGAAAATATAGACTAAACCTCTCCTTGACAAAGGATATCCCATTGCCACCTTCTCCAATAATAAGGGTTCCAAACCTATCTTACGAATAATAAGAAAGGGGCAGGTTTTAGTCCATCTGTCTTCTTTAATGAATAAGATTCAAGAGCTTAACTGAACCTTCCTTCTACGCTTACGAAGACAGGCAAATCCAAGACCTTTATGTACAATTGTATATGATAGCATAGGGGACACTTCCTTGAAGAAAACCATAATCCCGTCTACATTGAAGTAGATTAAGCAGTTCAGGCTAGTGAAATCCGCTATCTACCATTGGCCTTTGTGAAAGCTTCTCTTTAATATGTTTGATCCTTTTCCAAGCCTTAGTCTTCACCGTTATTATGGATCCTCCAATCCTATAGTTTGATACACTACTCTAAGACCATCAGTCAGATTTGGTTATTGCTACACAGCCTACACCCTCTCTAGACAAATGATTTTATTCAACATCTACTTTTCTAAAATACTTATAATAAAAATAAAAATAAAAAAAACACACACACACACATCTACTTTTCTAAAATAAAACTTTATAACGGTTTCTCATATTTTTAAAAAATGAAAAACATTCCCGAGGGTTTCAATTACTATGTTCCATCTGGATAATACCACACAAACACACATTAACGTAATTACACATTAAAAGCATTGTAGAATAACCATTCTTACCATCATCAACACAAATAAAATGATTCGATGTGGGATTTTCATTTATCAATCATCTTATAGCAAAAATAAAAATAAAAAATCTACTAAATATGATACTCACCTCAAAGGCCAACCAGGAAACCTCTCTAAACTACTTGATGCTGTGTTTTGTACGCATGACGGAAATGAAATAAAAATAAAATGCAGAATGGAGTGGAAGGAATGGGAAAGATGAAAGGAATGGAACAGGAATGATGCAGGAACAGAATGGACATTCCCATAGCACTTTTTGATTTCAAAAAGGTAAAAGGAGGCACCAGATATACACTATATTCATTCTAAGTACAATTAATCAATGCATAAGAAAGCCAAGATTATTACCTCAACTTTGGGATATTTTGCCAAAGCCTTCTTAGCATCAGCTGCTGAAGCAAAACGCACAAATGCAAACCCCTTATTCTTCCCTGTTTTACTATTCATCACTAATCTCACCTCCACAATAGCACCAACCTCTTCAAAAATTTTCCTGACGTCTTCCTCCTTTGAATCCTTGTCCAAACCGCCAATGAAAATCTCAGTTTTCCGCTTCCTTCGCCGCTCCAATGCCTCCATTTCCCCGCTCAAAACTACATCAACCATCCTAACTTCTTCCTTCAAACCGCTAACTTCACAGTTCTCCACCTCTTCCTCACCACCTCTAGAATTTACATTTTCAGTTTCACATTCGTCACTCTGATCTGGGATTGAACTCTCATCCTCTAACTGAGTTTCAGTTACAGAAAGAGTCTTTTCACTTTGATTGTTCTTAGCTGCTACAGAATCTGGAGCTTCAGATAAATTTTCAGTCAAAGAAACATCAAGGTCTCCTTCACAAGCCTCTGGCTTCTCCAGAATGGAAACATGAGTATTTGCATTTTCAACCTCCATTGAAACGGAATCATTAAGGTTAGTGTTCAAATTTTCTGCCTCTGGCTTCTCTGGAATGGAAACATGAGTATCTGCGTTTTCAACCTCCATTGAAACGGAATCATTAAGGTTAGTGTTAGAATTTTCAGCCTCGACCAAAACAGTGACATTAGATTCGGAATTCCCAACTTTCTTTGAAACAGAAGTACTAGAATCAGCATTGTGATTTTTGATTTCCATTGAAACTGACTCTAAAGGTTTCGGGTTTTCAACTTCCGTCCCACCCAAAACAATAGGGTTAGGGTTTTCACCATCTTTGGCTGTTCCTGCTTTCTCTTCCGTTTCTCCATTCACCATCTTTTGCACCCTTTTGGGCACCTTTTTCTTCACCAACTTCTTTACAATTCTCACAGTCTTCTTCACCACAGTTTTCCCTCCCGTCTTCGACACAGCTTTAATCGCAGCTTCTTGACCACTTCCATCAACATTCTGAGGCACAACGGCTGTATTCGAGGCAATTTCAGGCGATAGCGACTCCTTCGCATCTAGGGTTTCACGGCTTTTGACAGTAGTAGTGTTCTCGGATAAAGTTTCAGATGGTGCGGTTTCGTGTTCAACAAAAGTAGGGTTTGTCACATTAATATTCTCATCAATTGGTGCTGCTTTGCGTTCTGTTGTGAAAGTAGTTCCTTGGGTGGATGGTTCTGCAGAAAAAATGATTTCTTGGGTGGATTTAGAAGCGGTTATAGCAGGGGATTCTTCAGTTTCAATGGCGGCTTCTGAGGGTTTTACAATCGGAACTTCAGTAAAATCTTCACCGGAATTGGGGATAATTTTGGGAGAGGTTTTCGGGGTGGTTTCAATTGTAGGGGAAGAGGATGGTTTTGAGTTGGTGGTTGTGGAAGATGGCGTTTCTTGGGAGTCGGCGGCAGATTTGGCGGAAGAACTAGGGTTGGATTTTCTGACGGATTTTCTGACGGGGGTCCTAGTGATACGTCTTGGAGGCATATTTTCTCTCTAATTGGTTCTCTCCGTCGTTAACGGTGGTCGGAGAATAGAGAAGAAACACGCAATGCAACGTCGGAAAAAAATTGGGTACCGGACTAATATAACGCACCCGACTAATATATAATTACCGAATTGGTACTACAAATCTACAATATACAGCAGTCGGTATCTCGAATACCCAATACACATTCTTCTTCCTGATACAAACAATTTATAACAAGACTTTCTGTGGATTACTTACCTAATTGGTAGTACTGCATGGTCTGTATCTGACCTTTTTTCCTAGGGACTTTTACGTATAACTGGTCGCAGCAAAACTGAATTACCAAATCATTGATGTAGTTTGCATATTTACTAAAACATGAACCAAAAGTGAAGATTTTCATTGTGAACTTTTTTATAAGCTAAATTATATTTTTACTCTTTATTTTATGCACAACTTACCTAGAGAACAACTGTTAGAAATTCTAGAATTTTGTCAAATAGTACTAAAAAACTGTTATATTTCACTATAAATCGGTAATACAACACTTAACCTTCGTCGAAGAATAGAAGAATTTAGATCTATAATTATTCTTATACAGAATATTTTAAAAACTAGACGACAAAGATTTTAATTAGGTTTATGAGTAGAATATAATTTAATAACTTAGATAGCTCTATAAAACGACTTGGAGAAAATCTAGATTATATTAAAAACTAAATATACCAGAATTCTAGTCCACATAATCTAGATAACAAAATAATATTAGTCTCAATTAAAGACATAAATAGTGATATTAAAAATATTTTAGAAAATCAAAAAATAATTATGGACTATTTAAAATTTTTGAAAACAGATATCCAAATATTATTACAATAGTTTTATGAGTACTAGTAATCCTAATTATCTAGTAGCTTTAGCCGACCTAAAATCGACAAAGATCCCGTAGGATTTACAAGTTTTAAGACCGACATACAATCAACTAATATAAATATGAAACAAAACAACTTTTTAATCCAGTTATTACTTCAGTTATCTGAAAAAGTTAACAAACTTGAAGAAAAACTAGAAGTAATACAAGAAAGTATTCCCAGAGAATCTTCTAAAGAATTATTTGAATTATCAAATAAAATAAAAGATTTAAACTTATCAACTAATTCATTCTCGACTAAAACTACCAAGCGGGTAAATCTTTTACAATCTCATAGAGAATGGCCATTGTTATTAGAAAAGCCAAAGAAATAATGAGGGTAGAAGATCTATATGATAATGAACATGATGTTCAAAAATATATCGAAAAAAGAATGAAGAAAGTATCTAATAAAATTAATATTTATTCTAATAATTTATTAAATTTTCAAAGCAAGATATACAATCATTTTAGCCAACGAAGGATAAGCATAGTAAATAACCAAGTAATTTTAGATCTTATAACCCCAGAGGCTTGTCAGGAGCTGGAAAAAAGTAATTTAGAGCTTATGCATTTAGGTGTAATAATGATCGGAATAGTAGGATTAAATAGATCAGAAGTAGGAATCAGAGCACTCGCATATATTTATGATGATCGATGGAATAACCATCAACAAGCACAAATAGCTAGCGCTGAAATAGATCTAGCAGCCAACGCAACCATTGTAGGATGTATTCCTAATTTTACGATGACCACTAGAGAATTTAGTAAACATATAAAAATAGCTATATCCACAAAAGGGTAGAATATGACAGGACAGTATGAGAACTTATTAATTAGTACTTTATTTATGGAAAAACAGTTAATCAATATAATTTAAAATTCAAAACTCAATTTAGTGAAATAATTAAACCTTTTAGTAGCAAATATGTCCAGATGATAGAGGCTAGAAAAGTAAGTAGTATAACCCACGAATGAACTAAATGAAACAACCAAAAAGGTTCCTGAAAACAATATGATATATGTAAAAAATAGTGGAAAACTAGTATAAGGTTTAGTAACAATAAAAGACAAGATAATTTAACAGATGACATCGAAGAAGAATTCTTAACTACTTTAGTAGAAATAAAATCTCCCGAGGAAATAAATGTCGATGAAATTTTAGATAAAATAATGTATGATTTTGACAATTTAGAAGCAGAAGACTTACAAGAACAGTACCCAGAACCTAAATGCCAACTTATAGAAAGTATTTACCTACGACAAGAAAATAACGATGATATTAACAAAAATTTATTAAACGTAGGATTTAAATCCTTTTATACAATATATGAGTTAAACACATTAAAAAAAGAATTGAATGTAATAGAACATAGAGAAGGAAAAGAACCAGAAGAATCAACCTCTCATGCTCAACCTACAGAATCAGTGGACCAATAAATGCATTCCGCTAGTAATACCAATATAAATGACGACTATAGTACTGGACAAAGATTACAACCCTCACAAGAAACGTATGTAGAAAATAGAAATATACCAGATACGTCTACCTGGATACCAAATTGTATAAAGTATGAAAACATTCCAGCACATGACACAGGAACTATTTTAGACATATCAAGACACGATCCACAAGATTAGGCAAAAGTAATTGAAAACTAGGAACAAGACTATATTAGAACATGTATTCTAACCAAATTTGATAATAGAACACAAGCCTTAACTTATTGCGAAACCCTACTTAGAGGAACAATCTATGACTGGTGGCAATCTTACAAAATTAGTTATGCTAATGATTATGCCATCTTAAAGGATATTTTTACAATTCAGATGTTTACTGGCTTAGTAAAAAGAGTTTTAATAAGAGAAGATAAACTATTGGAAGAAACCCAAGTAAAGCAAAACGAAGCTTTACGTAATTTAGAATTATTGTAGATTTGTGACTTTAGATATATAAAAGACTATACAAATAAGTTTTTCGAATATTTTGCCGCCACAGGAAAAACCGGAGACAGAACGTTACTAGATAGATATCTTCAGAAATTACCAGGAAGTATAGGAACTAAAATATGGGAAAAGTGGTTAGAAAATCCCAGAAGAGAAAGGTTAGCCATAAGAGATAAAGTAAATCATGTTTATAATATATTAAAAGCATAATGTAAACTACGAAAGGAGTCTAAACAGATTAAAAAACAATTCTATTTTACATGTAGACAATTCGACTTTCCGCCACAATACGGTTGCATGCCCCAAAAACCTATAAACAAAACAAACCTAGGAAATATAATTTGCGAAAAAGTAAAACATATCGTAATAAAAAAACTTATGTTAAAAATAACCCCAGACCTTTTAAGAAACGTCCTTGGTATAAAAAACAAAAAATAAACAAAGATAAGAAGGATAGTAAAGATACTAAAGATGGAAAAATTAACACTCTACCCACAAGAGAAAGAAGTTGTAAATGTTTTATTTGTGAAGATCCAGGTCATATAAGATCAAATTGTCCCTATAGATATTAACAAAACCCTATTAAAAGAATTCAAGAAAAAATCAATATCCTCGAAGATATTGAAGAACATATAAAAGAACTATATGAATTAGAAAGTATTTATGACTCAGACAATGATAATGAAAGCATATATAGCATCAAAAGCATAGATAATGAATTTGATCACGATAAAGATCTTGAACAAGGGCTTCATTCTATGGAATATTTCGTCTACACTATAAGCAATTCATCATGTCATTATGATTCAGTTAAATTTTATTTTTCATCTTACAACTGTAAACAATGTAACTCCTCTATTAAAGAAGGTCATTACTGTAGAGACCATTGTAAAACTTTGTTATGTAATAACTGTTATATAACTATGAATGTAAGCGAGAAGATACATTAGTTAAATCTATAAATTCAATACATAAACCCTCTAGTTTAATCCAATTCCCGGTAACCTTAGAATTTTAAAAAAAAAATTAGTTCAAACCTCAGCTATGTCAGATACTGGAGCATCCAAAAGCATAATTAAAAAACATTTAGTACCAGAAGAAGCCTTGGTAAAGTTAAACTATAATGTTAATATAAGCCAGTATAATAATGAGAAACTCTTAATAACTCATTGTGTTCAAAACATTCCTATACTAATGAATAATGGAAAGTTTGTTTTACCCCAAACTTATGTAGTTAATAATATTCCTAGTACTTATGATTTTATTTTAGGATTGAATTTTATAAACTCATTCACTTGAGGATTCATGTATACCCATACGAGTTTACAATTCTTTAAGAAAGAAACGTTTATTCCATCCAACCCCCCTTGAATTCCTCAGAAAGAAAAATGAACTATTACTTATGTCAATACTTTACCTATGACAGAAGAAACTACAGAAAACTTATTTGATGTAACCGAATTTTTAGAAGATGTTTCTGAAGCATTAATATTTCTTAGCCAACTTGATGAATTAAAGAATTTCCTTAATAATAAAGCTATACTAAAAAAATCCTAAATTAAATAACTACTGAGATTTTAGGAGAAGATCCCCAGAAATACTGGTATAAAAATAAAATCGAAGCAAAATTGAATATAATAAATCATTTCATAACTATAAAAACTCAAGATAATCCTCATACCCTTGACAATCAAGAAGAGTTTCAAAAACAAATCAAAGAACTTCTATTACTAAAGATAATACGAAAAAGTAATAGTAGACATCGGAGTCTAGCTTTTATGGTACGAAATCATGCCGAGATAAAAGAAAAAAAGCTTGTATGGTTATAAATTATAAGAGATTAAATGGTAATACTTACAATGATAGCGATAAAATTCTTAATAAAGATGTTTTAATAAATCGAATACAAGATATAAAATGGTTCTCTAAATTTGACTGCAAATTAGGATTTTGACAAATCCGTATGGCTGACGAATCTATCGAATGGACTGCATTCACATGTCCTGAAGGACATTATGAATGGTTTGTTATGCCTTTTAGATTAAAGAATACGCCACAAGAGTTCCAACAAAAAATGGATACCATATTTAATAAACATTCAAAATTTTGTTATGTTTACATAGATGATATTTTAGTCTTCAGTCAAACTAAAGAAGAACATAGAAAATATCTTGAAATTATATTAAATGAATTTATAACTCAAGGACTCATTATGAGTAGTAAAAATATGATACCTGAAAAACAAGATATCGAATTTTAAGGCTTGTATATGAAAGAAGGAAAAGTATAATTATAATCACATATTGTGCAAAAGATTTTAGATTTTCCTGATAAATTAGAAGAAACTAAGTTATTACAAGCATTTTTAGGATTATTAAATTATGGTCGCAATTTTATTCCAAAATTAGGACAATTAGTAGGACCATTTTATTCTAAATTAGGAAAAAATGGTCAAAAATATTTTAATACTCAATATATAGAATTAGTTAAGAAAATTAAATCTTTAGTCACTCAGTTAGAACCCTTACAACTCCCACTTGAAAATAGTTATAAAATAATTCAAACAGATCCATCAGCACAAGGATGTGCATGTTTACTTCTTCAAAGACCTACAAAAGAATATTCTTGAGATGAAGAACAAATATGTCGCCATGCTAGTGGAACCTTTAATAAAGCACAATCTACTTTACCATCAGCAGATCTAGAAATTTTAGGAGTCACAAACTCTATTGAAAAATTTCAGATATCCCTTGATAAAGAATTTCTTATAAGAACAAATTGTGATAACATAGTTAAATTCGCAAACAAAGCAAATCAACAGAGGATGTCTGCAAAAATATGGATTTCCTTTATTGACTGTATTACTGGAAAAAGGTTTTAAACCCATATTTGAGCATGTTAAAGGAAAAGATAATTACTTAACAGATATTCTATCTCGGTTACTAATTGATTGTTTATATATATAGAGGAATGGAAAAGAGTAGCAACAACAGCTATAGCCTTATACGAGGCACTTTAAATCCTCTTTTAATTATCCAAAACCCAGCTCAACAGTTCCGCGTTAGACATAATCTTTTTCCAGACTAAAAACTTATTTTAGATAATATTTGGTTTTCTCGAAATAATCCCAATAGAACCTTAGTTAGAAATCTAAACACTTTAAGTGAATATTTTATAACTTATAACAAAGCATATCATACTCTTCAGCAAGAGCATGAGACGCTTATATCTTATTTCAAAAAGTTAAATTTAGCATATCAAAATACGACAGCAAACCCCACAGCTGAACTAAACTTTTATGAGCAAAGGACTAATGAAGATGAAAATTTTCAGAAAGTTTAATTTCTGCAAGTACAAACCAAGTATACCAATTTATTACCCATTTTCTCTCCAACTTACAGAAAAATCCTAAGACAACAAGTCGAGCTCTTCCCTGAAGACATCAAAGAACTTATTCTTGAAGAAGCTAAGTCTGATGGTTTCAAAGAATGGATTGATATCCAGAACTACCTCAAAAACAACAGTCCACCCAATGGAACCCGATACCATTATTATTTCCCACGATTTATACAAACAGACACCTACATACTTACCATAATCCTGTTAGAAATAGACCTTGTACATTATTTTCCTATTGATATTATCAGAAAAACCCGTTTCTCAACAAGAACCACCAGATGCTACGTAAGTAAACTCTTAGAATTAGGAATGATTCATAGCATTATCATACCCAAAGACATGCCTTTAGAAGTTTTAGAAGTTTTTAACTTTCTTGATCGATTAAACTAAGTTATTATTTTCAAACAAAAACAAACCCAAAATTTCATGCCAGAAAGTCCAATTCTCCTTCAAATCTACAGCACTCCTCCAGAATGAGTAAAAAATGGAGCTGTAATTCTCGGACAACATAAAATTTACATTCATTCTGATCCAACCGAAGTCAAGGTTCTGACAAGACATATCGATTTTGTAATAACTTTTGTAATAATATCGACCCAGCTACCTTTAACCATTTGATGTACTATAAAGCTTATCGACAGCTTAACCTAAGCTATAACCCAAGTTTTAGACTTTTCGACCATAATGTAAATATGGAAATTTTCATCAAAGCCAGAATTCCCATGTCATCCGATCTCCTCCAGAGATTAAGATATCTCCAGAAATTGAAGAAATAATAAATGAAGAAAATATGTTGATTGAGCAGTACGAATTAGCCTACAGAGATGAAGAAACAGGCTCACCAGACATCTCACCAGATAGTGATACCGACAGAAATTTGTCCAAAATGGCAGAAGTCTAAAAGAGCATCCAAAGAAAAAACAAAGTCTCCATCAGTGTACAGACTCTTCAATAGTATCAAGACAAAAAGTAGATTCGCAACAGTATCCAAAAGCAGTTAAGATCCACCGAAAGAAGATTCCAAAGACAAAAGCAAACAGTTTAAAGATAAGGATGTCCCTCAATTAATCAATGAACCTTATCTCCAAAGCATCTTACATCTCAGCCATCCATGTCGCATCTACAATCTCAAGTGTTGATTTACATCTCAGATTTCTCTATAAAATGAGGCCTTCAGCTCAAGAGAAGATCATCGAGTTTAGAACAATCAAGTCTAGTACCATCGAGCACTCTAGCTTTCAACCATAGTTTCCAGTGTGTTTTCCTTTGTGATTTCTTTCAGTGTGTTTCCTTTTGTAAAATATTGTGTGAGAGTGTATCCATGTATAAACAGTGTGTATCCATGTATATATTTCCCATGAAATAAATCATCCAATTTGCTCTTGTTCAAAAATCCATTTTCCTTATTTAGTATTTTCACAAAAGACTTCTGTCGATAAAAAGATCAAATATACAGTTTTTATTTAGCCAGACCATGTAGATCCTAGATTTTTTTTGAATCCAACCAGTACAAGCAGCCTTAGTTTTAATTTATTAATTTCTTCTGTGAGTTAACTCGAACTGTTGGCTTGTTGGCCTGTTCTTGCCAGTATTCAGGCGTTTTTACAAGGCGTTATCAGGTTCGATAGTCATTTCTGTGATTTATTTGTTAATTTTATCTCTATATTATTTGCATGCTTTTATCCGGTTGGCTTGAATTTAATTTTGGTATCAGAGCCAATACTATTTCGTTAAATTTAATTTATATATAAGATCTTTTGTCTAAAGAAGTCTCTAAGTCCATATTAATTTACTGTAAAAAATTTAAAAGTTAAGAAAAATATTAAATAGTTTGTTCAAGTATCTTTCCATATGTTTATTTTATGTTTTAAAGCTTTTATGATATAATAACATATTGTATTAGGTTATTATAATAACATAAATTATTGTGTGGTCCAAAGTAGAAAATCAGCGCATTTTATAGATATAATTGTGTAGTCATTTCATTTTTAAGAAAAAGTTTGCGTGGTCCCCATTTTATTGATAAATCAAGACTTTGACCTCATTGTATTGATTTGGGTCTTAAGCCCATCTATTGGTAAAAATCCCTTTTTCGTAATTGGTACCACACATGCTGTATCTGATAACTCTACCTAATTTGGAAAATGCTAAATTCAAAAACTAAGCTTGCACAGTGTAAATAATTTATAGAGTTGCAAGCACATAGTTTAGATGGTTTTAAGGTTAGAGAAGTGAGGATTAAAGTCAGATTAATTGCAGAGGTGTAAGTTTTTGCTAAATAAAAAAATAAAAAATCTCTATTTTGTAAAATAAATTTCAAATTTTAACACTAAAATTGACAACAGAGTAATAAATTAATACATAAATCTTTATTTCAATAAATACTGTCCAACAAGGACTCTTTCTGATAAGAAAGGATACTTTCTCATCTTTGGTAGCTACCATAAATATTAGGATTGATTAAAAAAAAAAAAAAAAAACCCCTTGATATCTATATCATTTTTAATTTGTTGATCACTTGCAAATTGCTATATGCTTAAGTCACAAAGCAGTAATAGTGAGATCATGTCATCTCAACATAAATATATATATATATATATATATATATATATCGTAATTACATAAGAGGACCTTGTAAAAGATAATGTTAAAATTGAAGTATTTTAGCAATAAACAAACTTAGCTATTGCCAAATAATTTTATTAGGTGTACACCCACCATCTATTATAAAGAACATATAATTCAAATTTATATCAATAATTACATATTGAGAAATTGGAGTTTAATGCCACCCACAGGCACTAAACAAGATTGATGATACTCAACTTGAAGGCACGCAGTATTTATACACAAAATAAGCATTAAGAACAGACCCCATAGCCACCACCATTGAAAGGCCCATTGCCATTTGTGCAAACCTCTTCAATCTCAAAGCTGAAAATTGTGGCTGAAACTCATTGTTTGTAACATTTTTAGAGGATTCGATCTTCTTAATGGCTTCAGTTATGGCAGGTTTATTAGTGACTTGATCTTGACTAGTCTTTGGTTTTGAATCTTGATTAACTTTGGCGGGTTGAGCTTCTTTGGTGACCGAAGTAGCGTATTTGGGCATTGAAATGTAAAGAATGCCTCCCATGAACTTTGCATGAATCTCATTTGAATTACAGTCCGTTGGAATTTTGAATTCCCTGTAGAAACGACTCCGTTTCATTGCACCGGTGGGACGCTCTCCCGATATCTTTAGGAATCCATGGTTACTAATTTGTACTTTCAGCTCATCCCTTTTGAATTCTGCAAAACTAAGAAAAACCATCACTATCGAATTTGAATTTCATGATTCTGTTATTCATTTACTTTTATTTTTTTTAAAAATTAACAGTTGGAAATCAACCTCTCTCTCTATCTATAATATTTATATATACCAAAGTTCTTGTAACAAAGTAAAAGTACTATACATGGCTAGGGAGGGAGACAGAATTTATTCCAGAAGGCGTATTAACACATGATAAAATAAATTCCTGAGAGCACTTTAACGGAAAAAAAGAAGAAAAAAAATCAAAAGTGAAATTTCAGAAGTGTATTTCATAAAATTAATTGAAAGCATCACAAGAAAATGACAATGCATGATAAATAGTGTGAAATTCCACGGACTAGTCTCACCCAAAGGATGATAACACCACTATATATATATATATATTGTAAGAATATCATTTTGTATAATGCATACTAGCTAGGGATCATATAAGGGACGTATATAGTACCAGGGAGATGGACCGAAAGAGTTTCGCTACCTTCCTCGCGGCGCCAAGTGCAGAAAGGTTCAAAATCATCGTAAGAGGGCATGGGGACGGCTCCAGTACTCTTGGTTTCCATTACAGGCTTGCTTAATTTGCTTTTTCTATAGGGGTGTGATAAAGATGTTTGTGATGTGCTAGACTTAAAAAGGAAAATGAAATGCTCATCTCTTATATATGTCTTTTATACACAAGGGAATATATGCATAGTATGATAGGGTGTCTAAAGGTTTCTTTTAGGTTTCCTCATGAGATAGAATTATTCTGTTTTTGTTATACAGGGTTATGAGTTGCTTTGTGTCTTTGGCAATTGATTCTTACTTATGTGTGGATGACCTCCTAGTCCTGAATGAACAAAGGTTCCTTGTTTGATCAATGCTTTTCTTTTTGAGCTTTGGAATTGTTAAGGTTTTTTTATGACATTACTCGATAACTCACTATCAAATTTTTTTTTTTTTTTTTTTTTTCCTTTCTTTTTTTGAAAGCTGAAGCAAACATGCTCGTTGACATCATGTCTCTAACAGGTTTTGAACTCTCAAACCTCCTCTTTAAAAAAAGACATCACACCAACCGGTCCCCTGATACCTCACCATTAACAAATTGCCACCATGTGAGTCTGAAGAAGTTTCACAATTTGGGCTAAAGGCTAAAGCCAAATTTGTCATTTTAAAAGCAACTTTTTGCTTTTATAGAAAAAGTGCTAGCAGGGAATCTAATTATTCATTAAATTTTCACCAACATATTGGCAATTAAGGTAAGAATGAGTCATCATTTGGTGTGAAAGTTGTCACACTTGCAATATAATGTATGCCATTTTTTTTTTTTTTTTGTGATTCATTGGACTGTCCTATGAATCACTTGTTCAAAATAGGTTATCCGATATAATTAAATGATATTAATCGAGTAAATTTATTTTGGTTCCCATAATTACACAAAACTACATATTGGTGGTTAATAATAAATATGCACAAGAAGAAAAACAGATAATCAGAATCTTTTGAAACAACTCTGTTTCCAAAACACTATTGAAACAACTCTGTTTTATAAAACACAATTTGGAGCAAATTATATATCATGAAGAAACAGTTGTTCCTGCTCTCGTGGCCAAAGCAACAAGAAAATCTGTGTAGTCCCCTGATGAAATGCTTTCACATATTGAATCTTTCAATTCCATCCCATATTTCTTCTTGAAGACCCCTTGAATCTCATCCATGTCAACCTCAGCCCTGCTCACCATCACTCGGGCCAAACCGCCATTATCTGCTGTTATGCCCTTTATACTTGCATACAATGTCTTCAATTAATCATATTTCAAAGGTTAATTAGGTTTACTCTTTAGAATAAGAAGGATAACAAATGGAAATAATTTCAATTGTGGCTTGAAACATTAAACATTTTTCTTTGGATGAAGTTCAAACATGTAGTATTGATAGTCTAGCAGTCCAAACATTAGAGAAATGGTATGATTTTTAAACTTTAAGGTGGCCTAAAAAATCCTATGGAATATGTAAAAAATCAGAAGAGGTCATTACCTTTGCCAAGTATTTTGGTGAATTGTATATGCATTTCACTACTGCTTTCAATGCATCTTCAAATTCCCCATAGTTCCCATTTTTTAGTGACTGCAAAATAGATTGTGTTGATCAAATGGACCTATTATTTCAATCCCAGTAAGTGCAGACTTGGAAATAGACTTATATATATATATATATACTGATATGCATTATAGGTTTGAGAAAACTCTGAAGCCTTACCTGACTATAATCATGTCCATAGATATGCTTATAGCTAAGAAATGTGAGCTTGAGTTGTGGAATGCTCCTTTTACTGAGTAATTCTAGCACAACAGCTTCGTCTATCGCCCCAGCTCTTCCCTCCCCTGTTTGGTAGAGCCTTCTTGCGTCGTACTTGGCGATGCAGTGGCTAACTTCTGCGTGGTGGGCACTATGTGATGCAGCCATTGCCACCAGTATCTGTCACACCAACCCATCTCTCTTCATAACTGTATGTGTGTTCCATAAAATCAAACATGTATGCATATTATATATATATATATATATATATATTAAAATTTCTACATTTTTTTTTTCAATACCCAAAAATCTTTAATTAGTCATGTAATGCATATGTATGCTTGGCTAACTTACCCTTTGGAATGGGTGAGGAGGCTCAATGCTGATGATATCTTGATCCAACTGCCTCTTAAATCTTGTGTGGTAAGCTTGTTTGATGAGAAGAACATGACTTGATTTTCGACACGCCAAAATTTCTACTAGAGCCTTGTAGTTGATGTCACTCTGCTCAAGAGCATCCCTAGCCACTACCGCGTCGCGCTCAATTGGATCAAGCATCCACATGGACATGGCTGCAAATATCTTGGATGAAAATCCAGACCGATCACTACTTTGGCTGCTCATTTGTGCCTCCTTGAACCTATTAATAAGGTCTTCCCCATACATTGCCATGTATGTCTTTCGAATTTCTCTACGTTCAGGTTGATTTCGGCTAGCCAGAGCTCTAACCAGATGGCTTAGCCTTCCCCATGAATCATGAATCTCCTTGCAGTCACTCTCACAATTACCATTGCTTGATGAAGCCTGGTTCTTGGTGGCCATTTGAGGAGAGCATTAGTGGTGTGGTGCACAAAATGTATGAGGACCAATGATATATGTGTATGTACTATGTGTGTGTATATATATATATATATAGGCAGCAAGAATTTGGGGACCATGGAAAAGGTTGAGCTTTTGCTGCCAGAGAAGGATGGTTGGTGGTGGAATCCCATGTGTGAGAAAAAGTAAAAAGCAGACACTTTTCTGAGAAGTGAGAAGCAGAGTGATGTGGAAGGGGTTTGTAGTATTATACAAGTGGCAGGAGATGTTTTGTCTTGTAGTGAGGGGTTCATTGGTTTCCTTGTAGACCATGAGTATGAATTGTGCTGTGTCCTAGAGGCATACTTTTTTCAGGACACATTCCCATTCCCTTATAAACCTTTATTTATGCACAACTACTCTCTCTAGATGTTACATGTGTTCCTTGCAAAAAGAAAAAAGATATATTTATGAATTATGGTGTAGTTCTCTGTATTTTTCTAAGGCTGTGGCTATGGTCAAATCATCTTTCTCAGACTAATTTCCACACCAACCATGATGATACTAACTCTTAGTCAAGTCTTTGAACATTTGATGAGTTCTAACTTCTAAGCCTATAATAATAGGATGGGTTGTGCGTGGATCCCACTCTCTTGAATCCAAATGTTGTAAAATCAACAAATTAAGAAAACGATCTTTAAATCGATTTTTTTTAATCTATTTATTACATTAAAGGGATGGAAATCCTATCGGTTAGATAAATAGGGTTAAATAATATTATTTAAAATACTTAGATACGGACAATGTTCTCTTATTAATGAAGAATAATTATTTTAAATCATTTAAGAATAATCTCGAGTTTATGAATGAGAGTATTATACAGTCGGCTTTCTTGAGATATCTAATTTTTTATTTTTTGGGAGGTAAAGCCTTGGTTTCATACTTGGTTCCACCATTTGGATGGAAATAGCATGTTCCTTCAATTATCAATGATAATTGGAATACCTTTCCTAATCAATCAGCAATATTCATTACAAAGATTGGCTCTCCAACCTTTTACTCTAAGGTCCTGCAATCAAAGTTGATTTCAGAGTCATTATCAAATGCAGTATGTTTGGAATCAAATATCTTTGGAAATTATATTTCAAACTAGTAAAAGACGAATGAATTAAGAGTTTAAGCTACTAAAAAGTGGATAAAGTTTGGTAAATTACAAAGTTTATTTGAAAAAAAAAATTATAATAATTTTTCATGAAATTTCAGACTACTATTTATTTTGTCATTTTCAAATCCCTTGGAATACAATCCCCACAATCTGCAGTTGAATCCCAATCACATGTCTCCAATAAAAAAACAAAGTTGAAGTTGTACAGCATAGATCATTTAACTGTATGAAATTATCACTAGGCTAGGTTGGTCTTCACTCTTCAGAGTTTGGAGATAAGTCTCCTTCAATTCAAGTCTTTTTTTAGCTATAGAACTCCTTTTATTTTGAACTTAAAAATATAAAACTGTTTTGGTGTAGGGAGAATCTTATGTCACAAAGAAAACATACCATATAAAATGGATCAGATTATTTGTGCAGTGCACAGTGTGGTTGGACCTGTCTTTTTGCTTCAAATTTTGCATTAAATGTGTTATCAAATTTGAGGATTGTTGTGACTTTTCATTTTCAATTACTCTCTCTCCCGCTTAAAATAGTTGTTCATTTTAAAAATTGTAACTCACAATTTTAATAATTCATTAGCTAAAATTAGGTTGTATTGTACTTAACAATAAAATACTGAGAGGTTAAAATGCTCCACTAGACTATATACACACTAATGCTAGGGGTCAAACGTTGGTTATCTCCATTTGTTTGGTAAAATTTTTTTCTCATAAATATATATATATATATATATATATATATATATATATATATATATATATATTGTGTTCGGTAAAGGTTTTGGGTCGAATTCTTCAGGCGGGCATGTAAAATAACTTGTCAAAAATTGATGTGTAAGTTACTTTCATTAGAGGCATGTAAAATAATTTGTCTAAAATTGATGTGTAAGTTACTTTCATTAGATTTTCATAATTTTTTTTCTTAGTAAATATTTTACGACAATCAAATACCAAATAAAAAAATATTTTACATCCAAACAAACAGAGTCTTAACTCAAAAAAATTAAACCGGTGGAAGGTTTTGTCTATCCCCTGTACCTAAAATTCACTCTATTTTTTATCTAATGTGTGACGTAACTTAAGCCCCTAGCAATTACATGGATCAACTAATTTAGGTAGGACTGGTTGAACTGAGGTTCAATTTGTGTTTAACTACATTGAACTGGAGGATTCACTAGTTGATGGAGGTTATTATTTTTAGTGTTAGCAGATTGGAAGATTATTGAAGGAAAATTAAAAAAAGGAAAGACAAACACCAAGATTTTATCTATACATGTCAGGAACAAATTTTGATTAGAAGGGAATAAGAAAGAAGATCATGCCCTAATGTTGAGATAATGTACCTTGTCACACGCTAATCATTTAATTTGGTTGTGAAATATGGTATTATTGGTACATAGTATATACTTTTTGTACACAGAAGCAAAGGAATTTACAAGAAAATGTGCAAGAAGACTGAGAGACAAGCAGACAACATCCTCCTAAAGTCCAACTAAGGTCCTTATCGGGCGTACTCAAACTTCAATACACCTCACTACTTGCTTGACCAAGAAAGGTATCATTCTCACTCCAAGTTTTGGTCTCTGCCCTGTTTTCCTTCCATTTTTACCCTTGTCCATCTACATTTTCGTCCCATTATTTGTCTTTAATTGTTCGACCTTTCTGCCAAAAATAAATAATAAAAAATTGCCCGAGTTAGGAGAAAGGGGGTGAAGTGAAAACTTAATTGTTTGCTTGGTTAATAATTTTAAAATTAATTATGAAAAATTCAGAAAATAGAGGATAGTTTTTAGAAAATTAAACTAAATAAATTTTTTTTATTTTTTTTTAATTTTTAATTTTTCTAGTTTTATGTTTCAGTTTTCTGAAAATAGAAAATTATTTCTCTAGTTATAAACCAAGTAAGACCTAAGATTGTAAGGCGACCCAGGGGCGGAGCTCGAGGGGGCACATGCCCCTCCAGGCCTGGCCCCGCCTATTATAAAATATAGTGATTTTTATTTTAATTTGTATATTTATAAGGAAAATTTCTATATAATGCCCCCCTAAAATTTTAAATTTCTAAAATTGTCTTTTAAAATTTTCTTTCCTTTTTCTTTTGCACTTAATATTCATTTGATTTCCTTTAAAAAAAAAGTTAAATTTTCCTTCTTTACTCAAACTCTAATTTTTTTTTTTTTCCTTTCAAATTTCTCATTTTAAAAAATGATGTATATAGTATTTAATTCTTTTTTTTTTTTTTTTTTTTTTGTTCTTCTTATTTAAATTATAATTTTTTTTATTCACACCACGCCCCCTCTAAATTAAAATCCTGGTTTCGCCCCTGGCAAGACCCATTCATAAAGGCTGCAACTCGGGAGGTTGAAGGTACTTAAACACAACTTATGATATGAATTGTTTAACTTTAATTCTACTTTTAATCCAAATTACTCAATCCGACCCTAACCTAATTATTTTTTAACTTGGTTTGCTACCCTTATTGAGATTTCGGGTAAAAAAGTTATGTTAATTTGGGTTACTCATATGACCAATCACTACACTAAAAATTTAATATGATCTTTAATTAGTTTTAGATTAATTTACTCCAAAACACAACAAGTTTAAAAAAAGTTATTGCAAATTTTTAATAAATTACAAACAAATTCTTACAAAATATAATTTCCAAAGTGTTCATACAATAAATTAAGATTTAAAGAAAATAAGTTGAAAAAGAAAAAAAAAGGTGATGATAATTTAAATATTATATATAATATATTTTGAATATAAATATATATAAATAATATTACAATTCGGGTTTGGGTTGACCCAGTTGCTAGCACTTTAATTCAATTCTAATTAAGTTGAGGTTAATTTTCAACCCAAACACGACCCTAATTATAAAAGTAATTGCTTAGGCCCATAAAAAAATTGTACTGACTCGAATTGGGTACTGGTTACGCACCCAAGTTGCACTCCTAAACAAGAGGAATAAATGATGAAATAAATGTGTCACACATTGTGTAAATAAAAAAGAAGAAGACATGAACACGTTTTTAAAGGGTTGAAGAAACACTAATTAAAAATAAAATAAGAACAAATTTCTGTAAACCCCCAATACTATCAAAAAGTGATCAAAAAACCCTAACCAGTTTTTAAAACCCCCAATAATATAATAAAGTTATCATTTTACCCCAACTCTATCAATTGGGCGTTAAGGGTATATAAAATGACTAAATTACCCTTATTATATTCCCTTTTATTTAAAAAATTAAAAAAATCATATTTTTGAAATTACAATACTATCTTTTAGGTCAAAACGACCACGTTTAGTGCCAATATTATCCTTTAGGACAAATTATTGTATGAACCATTATCACCTTCACTGGAGTCTTCCCCTATTGTCACCAACACCGATCTCTGTTCAACGCTGATCATTGGCTTCGTAGTCTAGCTCCGCCATCACCAAATTCCAAAATCGATGATGTGAATCTTCATCGCTCTATAGGTGGCTTCGAAGATTGCTTGGTTTGCCGTCAAATGGGAGAATTTAGAGTATGGTGAACTGGAACGGGGAAGGAATCTGCGATTACCTGAAAGGGCTCGCCGGCGATGGTGACTGTGACTTGGAGTGGTGCTGCCTCATATAATAATTTATCATCCTTTAGGGCAAAAATCTGTATATTTTTGCTCCGGCGCCAAATATCCCAAAGTCCCCACCACTCTCGTCGTGTTCAGCACCTCCCCTTGCCTATACAACTTCGCTAGACCAAAATCTCCCAATCGACCTCTCATGTCAGGCCCCAACAAAATGTTGCTCGACTTAATGTCTCTGTGAATCACCACTTGGTCCCAACCATGGTGGAGATGGTTCAAGCCCTTTGTAACGTCGGCGAGGATTTTTCTCCGATCATCCCAACCCAAAAGCGTCTTGGGTTTGTCGAATATCCATTGATTCAGGCTACCATTCGGCATATAATCGTACACAAGTATCAATTCGTTGCCCTTTTGACACCAACCTCGCATTTGAACCAAGTTCTTGTGTTGAAGACAACCCATACTCGAAATCTCCGCTATGAATTCTCACAAACCCTGCTTCGAATCGTGGTTCACGTACTTCATGGTGACGACTGTGTTGTTGGGTAGTGTAGCTTTGTATATTTTGCCGAACCCACCAGTCCCGAGAAGCTCATCTTTGGAGAAACCATTGGTGGCCTCACTGAGCTCTTCGTATGAATATCTGTGCGGCTAGTATTTGAGCTCCCAATCTTCAATCTCATCCTCTTCTTCTTTCGTAGTCTTTCGCCAAAATCAATAAAACCCAGATAAACAAACAATGAATACAACAGATGCAATCGTAATTCCGGTAATAGCTCCGGGAGAGAGCGAAGAGGATGATGATTGAAATTTAAAAACCGATAAAGTCGTAGCGAAGTTAACTTTGGTAAAACGTGAAGTTAACTTTGGTGGGTTTTTACTATTACATAGTTGGGGGAATTTTCGGTATAACAGATTTAAATACACATCACTTGTTTGGCACATGTGATAGCAGGGGTATTTTCGTCACAAAAGTTAAATTGTCAAAGCAATCGTTAACCACGCGCTGGGTTAACGGCCCCAATTAACAGAGTTGGGGTAAAATAATAACTTTATTATATTACTGGAGGTTTTAAAAATTGATTGGGGTTTTATGATTACTTTTTGATAGTATTAGGGGTTTACAAAAATTTGCCCATAAAATAAAACAAACAGGTTAAGTTTGATTATGTACAAATGTTTCTGCTACATTAAAAAAAATATATGTAGTCATAAACTCATAATTGAGAGTAATGCCAAACTAACTTGAATTAACAAAGAAAGACATGCTTAATTTTACAATTAATTTTAATTTCATTGATACATGAGACGAAAAATGGGTTCTCACGTTGTTTAATCTTATTTTCGATCGAACATAGACAACTCATCCAAAGTTCCAAACGGAGCACAACCTTATTTTCACCGCCTCACAAGGGCAAATTGGACATCTAACACATTATCAGATTAAGCAGGACTCTTCATTAATAATTATCGAAATGAAAATATTGGAGAAACCGGGGGTATTTATGAACTAATACATTCTCCTGCTCACATTCTCCTCCTCAGCTCCAAGTTGTCTCTTCTCTTCTTTTAAAATCCCTTTCCACCTGTAAGTTGTAACACCTCCTCCTTAGTATATTACAAAACTACCAACCGATATATAGATATAGAGAGAGAAGTGAGTAGATAGAGAGAGAGAGAGAGCTTTCGCTGAAATATTTCCGTTGTTTGATAATGCAGGTCAGTTTGTCAAGGAGTCAATGCCCTACTTTTGTAATTTTGGTCTGAGATCTGCGTTTCATTACTATGCTATGTTTGATGTTTGAACTTGTTCTTTTTCTTTTGATTTCAATTTAATTTTTCAGACAAGAACAGTTCAAGTAGGGAATGTTTCAGATCTAGCCAGTGAAAGAGAGGTTCAAGAATTTTTCTCGTTTTGTGGAGATATAGAACACATCGAGATCTGCCGGTTTGTTCTTTTTCAACCTTTTATATCATATATATATATAGACACGCCCATATGTATTGAATTCAACGGTCTTTTGCTGAATGCGCCTTTGATTTGTTTTTTGGATCTCTGTTTCTAGTTTAGTTTTTTTGTACTGAATTTAGGTTGTTATGTTAAATATTGGGTGCAGTGATGCAGGACAATCGAAGACCGCATTCGTGACATTCAAAGATTCAAAAGCGCTAGAAATCGCGTTATTGTTATCGGTAACTCCATCAACTCTTGCTTAATGCATTTATTGTTTTCTAATTTGTTGCTTTGGCAAATATTGAAAGCACCCGTTGTTTCACATTGATAAACTACATACTTGTATTTTCATCTGAAATTGATTCATCTTAGGGAAATTAAAAATTTCTCATTATTAAATAAAGTCCAAAAAACTCAGTTAATACTAATCATAATAGGGCCACTTTGGCGGCTACCAAACACGTAAATATTTTCTCAAGTTTCCTTTCTCAAAAGTACAAACTCCGAACGCAATACCCAAATACAAAAGGCTTTTGCACGTGGCGGCTTGAATCAAACAAATAAGAAACCCTTTACTGATGAATTTAGCTATAAAATAATCCTTAGTCAAAGATTGATATAAGCTCTATTATAGTGGGTGCGCTGAAATCAAACAAATCTATATGTAAAATTGATGCAAGCCAAAGTATAATGGCCAAATCACAAAGAAAGTAAATATATTTTAAAATATAAATATCTCACTTTAGTGGAAAATCATGAGTCCCAAACCTAAGCTTTGATACCATATGTAAATTAATTTGTGTAAATGTTTTAGTTTTGGATGAATGATAACTGTAATAGTCTCGACAAAGACATTTTTGTTGGACGTTTATTTATACTTCTCATTTATAGACCATGTTAAGTAGGTTACTAATGTTGTAGTTCAACACATGGAAGGGATTATGTCGTTTAATGACGTACAACCGCCATGACTTGCATTAGTAGTTTATTTATTATGGTATTTATGATTACCAAATGAAGGAGATGATCAATTTAATGTATCGTGCACATAATGCTTATTTTATTAAACCACACAGGAGGTTATCATGTGGTCTAAGCAGGAGAATGTAGGATTTTTTAAGGCTAACGTGTATTGAACACTTAATATACTTCTATTAAGACGTTGTTTAGTGGATAGAAATTAGATTGATATTCTCATTGGTTAATAAGAGAAGTAGTTTCTTCCTCTTCTTATCCTACTTTGATGGAGTTATGGTTGTAAAGGTGATTGTACTACTGTTAGTTGTTTCTCAGGAAATAAAGCATTAAACAAAATTAACCACACATCAAAGAAATAGGAACAACACATTTTGTAGCAAGCATTAGTTTTGATATTGGGATGTCAAGATACAATTTAATGCTTATTTGTCTTTTGATGAAGAATTTAATGTAGTGGGTTTGATAGTGATGTATATATGTAAGATGAGTGAATACCAAGTATAGAAGTTTAGTGTCAGACTGCCAGTGCTGAAAAATCTCTGTACTTCATTGGGGAGTTGCTGGAGACATAGTATGGGAACGGATGGTTAGGTTCTCTTGTTTCCTTTTGTTCTTTCAGCATACATCCTTTCTAGAAAACTGCTGCTGCTGCAATGTCAAAATATCACAAATACTGTTCTGGAATGATGGATGGCAGGAGCTTCAGGTCTAGGTTATTCATTTTATTCCCTTATGTGGGATTAAACATTAGTGAAGACAAGGGTAGTATGGTCCATCAAAACGTCAAGGATATCTGACTGATGAATTCAGATAATTATGTGCAAGGTGATGATATCAATATAAACATAAAGGGAGGTGATTTCCATACTCCACTTTTCGACAATTGCACTCCACTTTTTGTTATTGTCCCTACTGTCGTAAATATGAGAATCAAACATTTATGAGCTTATGGACATTTTAGTCCTTTTCTTTAAGAAAAAGACAAAAAGTGGAGTGCATTTGTTGAAAAGTGGAGTGCGAATATTGTCTCCTATAAGAAATCTTACCCAAAAAAAAGGAAAAAAGAAAAAGAAAAAAAAGAAATGGAAGGAACTACACGTGGGACATTTTTTTAAATCGCAGAATTTGAAGTAGGGATGATATCTGCAATTTCTTTCCCTGGTCTCTCTCTCTCTCTTCCCCCAATAATTTTATGCAAATTTCTTCTAAAAGGCTGAGAATTTGTAAAATGCTACCCTAGCTAAAATGCTGAGACCATAATATTGACTGTCTTTCTGATGGTAATTGAGCCACGTTCATTGTTTTTAAAAGCAATTTAATTTAAATTAATTAATATTTTGTTGTAGGGGGAGGGGCTCTTCGAATAGTTTAGGACAATTGTATGGTTGACTGTTATTCTTGAAGAAGTGTGTACTAATTCAAAATTGTGTTTTCTAAATTGTTTGGGCTTATTGTTTATTTTTAGCATAGTTTAATCTGAAAAGGGCATCATGTGGTTGGTTAATTTCTGTATTTTATGTAAGTGGACATGTGGAATCTTCTGCTCTCAAGAGTGAAACTAGTATATTTTTGTTTGCATTTTGCAGGGAGCAACAATAGCAGACCAGATTGTCAGTATAACTCCTGCTGAAAACTATGTACCAAAAGCAGAGATTCGGGTAACTAAATTCACAATTTCTCCAGTCAATTTTCCAATTCCTGTGATCAAAATTTATATTCTTAAGTGAAATTAATGCAGGAAGTAAGGATGGTGGATAATGCCATGAGCATGACTCCTGAAAATGTTTCACCAAATGCTGAGGTAATATAGTGCACCGATAGGCATTTCACTTAATCTCTAGCAATATTGCACTATTACAATATTTGTCACGTAATTCCAAGTATTCCTGGGTTGACTTTAATAGGAATCAGGGTTACCTCATGTGGCAAAGGATGTCCTGTGCTGCTTACGCAACACATTACATCGGTTACGCAACACAATACATCGGTTACGCAACATACGATTTAAAATTGTTGCGTGATCTAAGGTAATTGTTGCATAAGCGATTTGAAGTTGTTGCGTAACGAATTTAAGTTGTTGCGGTGGCACAAGACATCCTGTGCCACAGGAGAGGATCCAGGTTCCTTTAAGAGACTGCCTAGACAAAGGAAAACCTGTCGAACAATTGTGTCGATTTGTTGGGTGCTTCAAGTATGTGGCTTGTTGGAGTCTACACTTCACGAAAGCTCTGTTATGGGCTAAACTATTGATCATTTGATGGATTGTGACTGATTTCTGATCAAGGCACATGGAGATATCACAACATTAGCCCCACTCCCCTTTATGATATGACAGCCGCGATCAATGCCTATAGTGACCTTTGACCTTTGATGGCACCTCTCAAAAATTTCCTATATATATCTATTTATATATTTTTTGGGTAAGCTTTTTCTATATATTCTTCAAAAATGGTCTAGTCTGTTGGCACTTAAGTAAATGATTCTTACAATGATCTATGATTAAACTCAATTTCATGATCTGTTTATTCTAGCAGGGCAGCACTGGTTCTCCTAGCAATGGAAGAGTGTATGTTAGTAAAGCACAAGACGTTGTTTCAAATATGCTGGCAAAAGGTTCGGCTATTGGACAAGATGCTGTGAACAAGGCTAAAGCATTTGATGAGAAGCATCAGTTGACAGCCAATGCTTCTGCCAGAGTCATCTCCTTTGACAGGAGAGTTGGGCTTACAGAGAAATTAACAGTTGGGATTTCAGTGGTGAATGAGAAAATGAAGTCTGTGGATCAAAGGCTTCAAATGTCAGATAAAACAATGGCTGCATTAATGGCAGCAGAGAGGAAACTAAACAACACAGGATCAGCTGTCAAATCAAGCAGGTATGAGAAATCCCCCCTGTAACAATTCCATGTTTTTTTGTCTGGTTGCATGTTCATGCTATTATCTATATAGCATCTAGTTCATTGCATCTCACTTACTGAAGCAACTGCTCATCACAATTATACTGTTGCTCAATACAACATTTATAACAAGAGTTGGTTGTCTCTGAAAGACCTGAGAAATATTTCGTGTTTGTTTGTACTTACGACATGAACCCAGTGTTGCTGGCACCTTGATTGAAACAAAGGCTTTAGGCAGAAGTTTTCCAATGAACTTACCAATCTGTCTGTCACATTTGACATCATGTATTACATTTCTCTGATAGTTAATTTGGGCCTAAGAATTGTAATTGTAGGGAGACGTGCTTTGCATACGGGAGATATGTTATGTAGGCTTATGATAATTGTTGTTGCCTGACTTTATTATTCCTTTAAAATAAATAGGTTTTTAGACTCGAGAAACAGTTTGTTATATTTATTATCACCTTCATTGTATCAATGATAAGTTACTGTCTATTTAACAACAATTGTAGTATCAAGTGTGGCAGTTGGATTAATTGTTATTCGAGGAAGCCACGCATACTAATAATATATCTATTTCGGTTTTATAATGATTATAGAGAATACTCTACTACCCTACACAAAAGTGAATGAGAATTGCAGAAATTCATGTCTTCACTCAACAATCAACATATGATTCATCGGAAGAGTAGAGAAAATAAGAGAAATGGAGTGATTAGAGGAGAAAACAAATTTCTCTGGGCTTATGAACTTGATTTTTGACTTTTGGTTTTTGCAGTTTTCTCTTTGATTATTCTCTAAAAATGGATGTGATGGATCCTAAGTATGCCTTGCTTTGTCATCTATCTAGGTCCACTTTTGTTCTTAACTTGTTTTGGCAAATAAGCAGAGCATGATGGTGAATTGTATCACTAAAATCCATATAATTTTGGACATCAAGATCATGATAATACTGCTAACAAAAACAATTGGCATTTTTGGAACTGGGCAGGTATGTGACTGCAGGAACAGCTTGGCTCAATGGTGCTTTCAGTAAAGTGGCCAAGGCCGGGCAGGTTGCAGGTACAAAAACTAGAGAGAAATGGAGTATGGCTGTATCAAATTTGACTGCCAAGGTTGGTTTTTCTTTCTGATCTATGGTAATTTCAATTTTTTGCCTTCTCTTATAATTGAAGATCCATGTACTAAAAAAATAAAAAATAAAATGAAAAATGAAAGAAGGAAACTAGAGAGAGAGAGAGAGAGAAGAAGGTGCAAGTATTGTTATGATCTTCACTACACTTGGGCACATCACTCCCTCAAAATGCGAGCCATTTTCATTTTATGTTAGTCTAATTGTGTCAGAAGATCTAAGTTGCCTGCTGAGTCTCCGTTGGATGGTATACGAATTTGTCATAGTTTTAACACTGAAAAATCAGTTGCCACTGGTTGCAATCTTTAGGGAAAATAAATTTATCGGGTAGAACTGTATAAAATGCAAGCCAAAATGTTGCTTCCTACTTTCCCTTTCATTCCATTTCAAATTGAAAAACATTGGCTGCTTTACCTAGAGTACATCCCATCAATTGCTTGTTTTCTGAATTACATCCCACTAATTCTTTATGTTTTGAATGGAGGCGCAAAAAGATATTAGTAACAGAACAATGCTTACACACAGTATTTGCTTATAGTATTCGAAGCCTATATACCATGTGAAGTCGAAATGCTTATAGCCTACCAATAGCATTAGGTACCACTAACTTTGTTGTGTTATGAAGATCCATTAAGTGTGCTGCGTGCTAGTTATTAGATCAAAATTGTAATATGAGGCCAATATATCAATGCTTCTTGCTCTCTCTATGGGCAACCCCTAAATTCAAGCTACCAGAGTTGTGATGCTACTGTTCTCATGAATGCAGGATTCTCCGATTTCTGCATAAGACCAGGAAGTTGGTTGGTTTCCGTTTGAGGGATGTATTCTAATATTCAAAATGAAGCCTGTGGGATCTGGGATTGGAAAAATTTGTGTAACGTTCCCTATATCTCCCCTTTTGACTTTTGTTTTCTATTGTAAGTCGTGTCATTCAATTCATAAGTTTATTATATTTTTGTTTGATTTCGAGGGTAGTGTGCCTATGGGTTCTGTCATTTTTCAGTGTAAGACTGGTTTTGCATTATAAAGAAATTGAAACTGTGATGGATAAGTTTCATATTTGGCCCTTGTTCAACCCCTCAGTTAGAGAAAATTATACATAATACCTGAATGATTCACATGGCTTTTGTATTCCTGGATTTTGATGTTCCATAATGAGCCATAAATAATATGATGGTTATTATCATCTGGTTGAATATTTGTAATTGAATTGGTGGATATTATAGTTATTTTCATAGTTAATGTGTGAAATGATGCAACGAATATTTGGGAAATGTTCTGAGAAAAGACGATGTAATTCTAAAATAGGTGTCAAATATGTGGAACAAAGAAACTATAAGGAATGAATGGAAAAGGCAGCAAATTCAAACTGTAAGTATTCTGAGAAGGCAGCAAATTCAAGCATTGATTGTATATTTGCATGGTATCAGAGTTGCATCATCCCGGTCAACCATAACTCCAAACGGAAGTGAATGTGTTAGTTTTATTCAATTTTTTTACTTGCCTGTAGAGTTGTGATTGACTGAACCGGACCATGTAATCTACACTAAAATTGCGGTTAATATGAACGCCCGCGGTGTCTTATATTTATCAGAGTATTCTAATACATCAGAGGAGGTTGCCAGGTTTGAAATCTCACAGCCTCTGAATGGGGTTCGTTTTTTATTAATTTTTATATAGTTGTGTTTGTGAAAGAAGCCAAAAATGTGACTTGTTTGCTGTTGCGTTCAATAATGTGGAATTTTATTATGATCGACTTTAAAAGTACACGTTGTGTGCATGTGTAGCCAAACTGTTCGTACCAAACCTTCTAACTGCATCGATGGCTTTGAATGAGAATAAATACATATACCGTTCATGCCCCTTCTTTGGCCATTTATTTGACCATCTCCAAGATTTGATACGAAGGATGAAATTTGTTATGGAACAGAAGAGAGGAAGAGGGAGAGGATAAGAATGCCATGCCATTCAAAATTATCTAGCTAATTTTTTTTTTTTTCCTCTCATTTTATTTTCTTTTGGATTGAAACAAAACGAATTAACAAGGATGACTCATTTCTCTATCCTATTCTCTAGTGTATCTCCAATCTCTCAGAACGTGATGATGAAACGGACATGATACCATCATCTAACGGTATTTACAATTATGTCACTAGAAAGGATTGCAAAGTGATGCACATTATGGTCAAAACATCTTCCTATCTCTCTATATTTTTAGAAAGAATAATCTGTTAAAAAAAAAAAAAACAAAGAAACGAAAAAAAGAAAAGTTTGAAGCAGTTAAAAATAAGCCAGTGGGCTGATCGTCTATGTAATCAACATATGTGGTATGACTTCAAAAATAAATAACGGTCAATTTATGTAATTAAATCATTTCTAGTCCCTCCAGTATATTGTCTTGAATGTCTCACAACTCACGAGTCATATTTCGAAATTTATGACCAATCTAACTATTAAATCAATTTAATACGATTGAAAACGAATATAATATATATAATAATAAATAACACCTAAAAGCCTTTCAATCCTATCAAATTTATGACCAATCTACCTATTAAATCACTTTAGTATCAGGGCTCTTTTCAGCCGTCATTATGGTTTTGTCTACTACTATTTCCACAATTACATTATGCCAAAAAAAAACAAAAAATCAAAGCATACTAATTTTAATTAATTTGTGGAGCGGTTCTGACTGTGGCTTGTAACGCTGTGTTTGGAATGGGAAAATTGGATTTGGTAAGGGATTTTAGATGTTTGGAACTCATGGGATTTTAAAAGATTTGGAATTTCATGGGAAATCTTATACCTTAAAAATCCTAGAAAAATCGGAAGGATTTGAGAGGATTTGAAAATTGATTGTATTATGTTTTTTAACTTATCAAATTACCCTTCATATTAGTTTTTTTTTTTTTTTCCTTAGAACATGTGTATCACGCACTATTTAAATCAAGAGTGCGGTTCGAAAACGAGATTTTAATGACCTATTTCCAAAATCTCTGCTGCTAACGTCGCTATGTGTTCTATACCAGTCTTTCACTAAATTGAATACCTGATGAAATAGTACACAATTATTTTTCTTCAAATTCTATTTTTTATGAAATTCAGTTTATTCCAATCATAAAAATAAAATTTTATTTTAATTAAAATTCAAGTCCTTTTCCAATACCAATTTCAAATCCCAAAAAAATTTGGTTCAAAAAACGAATTTAATAAGATAGAAAAAAAAAAAAATCACAGCATACTAATTTTAATTAATTCGTGGAAAGGTTCTGACTTGTGGCTTGTACTTATGTTCATTGAGGTTTAGAATAATCATTGCTTACGTGTCCTTCTCTCATTGGTGTGTGCCGCTTCTAAGATTCATTTTTGTACACTGTCAAGACTTCTTCAAACGAAAAGTCCATGATGATGTAAACAGTTCACATGTTCTGATCAACTTGACCTGCATGTCAACACACTCTAACATCAACACCGTTCACGTGTACGTAAATGATACAGATTTAAAAGACGAGTTTGCCCTCAAGCGTACATCAAATACTTATGGGCATAACAATAATTTTAGACTTGATTCTATCGACCGACACGTCCAAGTTTGACGGTTCGCAAGAACCAATGAGAGCGTCGAAAACGAAGGCGGAAATCCACGTGGCAATATCAGTTTTCAGACGCGTGTCGATCGAAAAAAAGACCGAACAAGAAACACCGGCACAAACGTAGCCAGAATCCGAAGGCAGCTCAACGTTAGGACCCAACTCTCGCGTACGTCAATTCCTATACAGGTCAAGGGCATTTCTGTCAAAACAAAATATTTTAATTCCCATATTGCCCCTTGAAGCTGGAGGAGTTGGGGGTATCAGAAACTCCTCCTCCTTTATGCTTGGCCTGGGTGGGTATATTCTGCGGTTTGATTCTCTCTCTTAAACAGTGTTTACCACAACGTAACGTAATAAAGAAAGAACAGATAGACAGAGAAAGAGAGAGAGAGAGACTCCTATGGGCCCTCAATCTAAGGTGATGTTCATCTTCTCACATTCGCTTCTTGGGTTTTCTTGATTTCTTCTCTATTAGTTGTCATTTTGACTTTGGAATTGTTCAATTCAGTTTTTGGGTACTCGGTGTTTCTCATTACATGTAATTATCAATTATTCTTTTGTTTAAAAATTTTGACTATTTAAAGATGGGTAGTGTGTGTTTTTAGGCCACCATTTTTAGGTGGTTTGGTGTCTTGGTAGACTCTGTGTATTTAGGGCTTTCTTGGGTTTGATTTTGTCTGATAGGTACGATCTATTTCCATGTGATTTGATCAAGTTGTTGGGTTTTGTTATTGGTATAAAGATATTCTCTTCTGTAACCTGTCATTTTGATGCATAAAGATTCTCTTTTTTGACCCATCATTTTGCATGCTAATTTTTATTTTTATTTTTATTGTTTTTGTCTAATGTGACAGTTGGAGAAGCTGGGAGATAGCTTCCAATGTCAGTTGTGGGTTTTTATGTTTTTGATGTTTGATTCGACTGATTGGAGAGTCGTTCAAAAATAACAAAATTGGGTCATAGGATTTATTTGAACTGAAATTTGTGCATGTTGGACAATGCGTCATGCGATTTATTTGAAGCGAAATTTGTGAATTGGGTTGTTGGATTTACATGAAGTGAAATTATGATATTCAATCTGAGATCCAAATTAATTAATTTTTTTTCCTTGGGTATCTTTGTAGATTAAATCAATCACTATTGGGTCAACTACGGATTCTTTTGCATTTTTATTTTTATTTTTATTTTGTTTGGTAGATAATTCTTTTGCTCTTTAGTTATTTCATATTTGTTTGCTTTTCTCTCTTTGACAGAAATTGCATTGTAGTTTATTATAATTAGTTCTTTTACTCAACATTTCCTTTTTGATAGAAGGATAAGTAATAAATACTAATAATAGTTTTACCCTTACAATGTTGCATAGTCATTGTTATATTGCTGAAGCTGCATTTTCTCTCTGATTGTGTGTATTATATGTGCACTAAATGCATGTATTTTTTTTTGCGTTTGTGTGTGTTTGCACGTGTACAAGTTTAGTGAATTTCTTAAATTCATATTATTTATGCCACCTTTCAATCACTGATCTTTTAGAATTCCGTTATACACTAGAAATCCTATATCTAATTATTCTCTGTTGTTCAGAAAATGCTTTGTGATGTAAATCCCATTGCTTTTTTAAAAATTGATGGATATTTTACCAATAATTAGAGTTAAAGGTATTTTGGGCTATTGATGTTACTTGTTATTGTAAACTTAGCACCAGATATAATATATCATTGCGTGTGTTTGTACAAATTTTTTTTTATTTTTTTATTGAGGCAATAAGTATTACTCACAGAAGACTTGCAATTGCAGGTGTTGATTCCTGTGTTTATTAGAGATTCTTCTGTGCCCTATGATCTGTAATGGGAGTTTGTGAATGGCTACTTCAACTCGTTTGTGTTTATGATAAAAGTGGTGATGATGATGTTGGCATAAGGGTTGACAATGGCTATCTCTTAATGTTTTGATGCCTGAACTGAAGGATCTGCTAACATGGAATAGACTAAATTGACCTTTTCAAGTGCCATATTAGTTGCAGTGCTATCTGTCTTTCACTAAATTCTCAGCAGGATTTTAAGGAATATGGCTACTTACATTATGTTGTGAAAGCATGTCTGTTTGTAGCTGTTAGGAGTAAGTGATATTTATCAGAAGGAAAATATATATATATATATATATATATATATATATATATATATAAATGTATAAATATATATTAGGAATAAGTGGTGGGAGTATTAAGTACAAATTGTGAAAGGGAATATTTATCATCAACGAAGAGTGCACTATTTTTTTCTTTGGTAAGTAGAATAATACTACTCTGAAGTCTCTGATGGAAGAAGCTTTGCTTCAAAGCCAAAAGAAAACTCGCAAAGTTTTACTGGGTGGGTCTCAGAAAGATCTGTGGCTTGTTGTGCGAGAGGGCTCTGTGGCCGATGTAGAATTGGCTTTGGCATCACTGAAGAAGAGTGGGGGTAACATAAATTCAAGGAACACATTTGGCCTCACGCCTCTTCATATTGCAACATGGAGAAATCACATACCCATTGTTAAGAGGCTACTTGCGGCTGGTGCAGACTCTAACGCAAGGGTGTGTTAACATTCTGATCCTTTTTTATACTCCAATGTCTTTTATGTATATATATGATTGCATTCTGAAGTATTTCTTTGATTATGTTTATCATCATTTTCAAATTCTATTGTTACTTTTTTGTCTGTACTGCTGCCAAAGTTATCGGGATTAAAAGCTTTGCGCAAATAATGGCAAAGGTTAGGTTTTTATCTATTTCATTCCTCTCACCACGCTGGATTAATGGTACTGACATTGAGTAATGGCATTCTCGTCTATTTTGGTTAAACTAGGTTCATTCGCTGAATGCCAATTTCTTGCTTTTTTTATTCAAGAATAATCCTGTTTTATTAATTATTTAATTTATTGTTGAGTTTTTGAACTATTTTGCTTTGAATTTGATGGCTTAAAGAGAACCCTATATTTGAATGAAAACAAAATGTTAATAATCCATACATTTTTTTAAAAAAAATTTCGAAATTGGCTAGAAAATGTTCCAAGTCAGAGAAATTTCAACTGAAATCTTGGTTAACTTGTTAAGGAACTGGGGCTGCTAGTTTTCATGGGAAGCAGAGACATTAAATGTCTCTGCAATTTAAAAAGTGAACCAAAATTATTTCTGTGCCTTTGCTAGTAAAGCCATACCACAGAAGGCAACTAATCCCTTAACAAATTGTATTTCTGTTCCTTTGCTAGGTATGTTTATATTGCTTCTGAGTCTGCTTTCAGGAATTTTCTATATTAGACTGCTACTTTGAAACCGAATCTCATGGCTTTGACATCAGATGTTTCTTAACTTGCTGTTAGTTTGTGATAAAAAAAAAAAAAAAAAAAAATTGTACTATTTTAATAGATTCTCAAACTAACTTAGAATCAACAAAATCAACAAACTAACAAATTGTTTCTTAACTTGCAAGATGGTATGCTCCTCAATGTTAATATATGATACAATATATCCTAGTGCTTATTTGGTTGGTCTCCTTAGAATCTCCTAATGGCAAGTGGTTCCCTGTTTCTGCTGACTGCTTCCAGACTCATCCTTTATGCTACTGAGCTTTTGGCTCTGTATGATTGCAACTTACAATTGTGTGGCACTTTAAAATTAAAGTGGATCAAAACATTTGTGGCTGCTACATGTGGAAGTTCATCTTAATCATTTGGTGTATACTGCTTAAATTTTATGCTTCTATTATTCCCATGATTTTAAAGTAAAGATAAGAATATTGCGGGATAATACCCTCTTAATTAATCGGAATTATGGCATTAAAAAATGGCTATGCAAGGGGCAAGGAATTGAAATAGTTATAAACATAGTCATTTGCACTATTACAGGTTTTTATGTGTAAACATTCACTTATAGGTTCTGTGCTGGCTGTCCGATTAATGCAACCCTTTGTTCTGCAGGTTAGATATTGGATGTTACCAAAGAAAAATTTAAAGTCATTAGACTATAAATTCAACACTGACAAAGTTTTGTGCCTGCATAAGTAATACGGAAAATGTACACATCGAAATACATCGAAATATTTGCACAAGCATAGCGGAAGGGGAACCTGAAAGAAAGATAACCTTTAATCTATTAAAAGTTGATTTCAGGCAAAAATATTGAGATCACAGGACATATGTTGATTTTTGCGATGACAGAGATCACTACAGATTTTGAGCGATAATGGAATTCTTCCATCCAGGTTTAGTATGTTGGGACTAGGTTTAGTTGCTCTTTGACTAACCATCATTTTCTTTTTCAGGATGGTGAATCAGGATGGAGTAGCCTTCACAGGGCTCTACATTTTGGTCATCTTGCAGTGGCAAGTATTCTTCTTCAATCTGGTGCTTCTATCACATTGGAGGACTCTAAATTCCGAACACCCATCGATCTACTTTCTGGGCCTGTGTTGCAGGTGGTAGGAAATGCAGATAATTCAGGTATAAGGCTATGTTGCAGTTTATGATTTCTTTATAAGGGCCATATGTTTGTTGCAAATCAAAGGTAACTGTCTTTAGCAAAAATGGTTTTTTTTTTTTTTTTTTTTTTTTTTTTGTGTGTGTGTGTGTGTGTGTGTGTGTGTGTGTGTGTGTCTGTTCTACAGCGACTGAGGTGTTTAGTTGGGGAAGTGGTGTGAACTATCAACTTGGAACTGGAAACGCCCACATTCAGAAGTTACCATGCAAGGTTGATTCACTTCATGGATCATTTATCAAATTGATTTCTGCTGCAAAATTCCATAGTGTAGCAGTCAGTGCTTGTGGAAAAGTCTACACTTGGGGATTTGGAAGGGGGGGCCGCCTTGGGCACCCTGATTTCGATATTCACAGGTAAATGTAATTTCATTAAGCCATTTGTGCAAAAAGATTTTAGCTTCAATAGGAATTTGAAAGCAAGATTTTCTTTTGGTTTAACATTCAACCAATTTTTGGTTTTTGACATAAACTGTGGTTGGTATACAGTCTTTTACATTTATATATTGAAAATGTTCCGCCAAATTTTATTATGTCAACTTCATAAATTTCTTTTGTTGAAAATGAATAAAACCTTTTATACACACTCGTTCACAGAGAGAGAGAGAGAGAGAGAGAGAGAGAGAGAGAGAGAGAGAGAGAGAGAGAGAGAGGAGGGAGAGATTCAAATTACAACCTTTTATATATTGAAAATGTTCCACCAAATTTTATTATTCATTAATTCCTTTTGTTGAAAATGAATAAAACCTTTTATACACACTCGTTCACAGAGAGAGAGAGAGAGAGAGAGAGAGAGAGAGAGAGAGAGATTCAAAGTACAATTTCATTACAATGTGTTAATGTCTAAAAATAATAAATAGGGACGGAGGGAGGGAGGGATTCAAAGAGAGAGAGATTCAAATTACAATTTCATTACAATTTGTTAATGTCTAAAAATAATAAGCACTCATTTCATAGGTACAAACTCCATTGTACATAATTGGAGAAGTTCAATTCAGGGTTAGAAATATTAACCTATAACATCCTGTTACTAAAAAATTTCCAATTTATAGATGTTTGTGTTTTTGTTGAAGAACTTGTACGCCATAAATCAATTGCTTTTTATGACATTGTTTGCAGTGGTCAAGCTGCAGTTATCATTCCACGACAGGTGACTTCTGGGTTAGGGGCTCGCCGAGTGAAGGCAATTGCAGCAGCTAAACATCATACAGTTGTTGCAACAGAGAGCGGGGAAGTGTTTACTTGGGGTTCTAATAGAGGTAAAAGTCTTTGGGTCTTTAATGTCATGCAGTAAATGTTGAAATTTCATTTTGTTGTTATTGGGATGTCCACTTTATACGGTTGTAGAATTTAGAACTCCGGAATCACTCACATAGAACTCCAGAATTGATCACATATTTCTTCTTGATTAGATGAAAAGAAATACATCATTCTACACCCAGTTAGTTTTACATTTCAGGTCAATATGAAAATGACACGAGGGATATACGAGCTTTATCCTGTCAGTCAATATTCTGCCAGTATCTATATGATTCCTGAAGTATTTAACTTTTTCCTATGACATTATATTGCAGAGGGTCAACTTGGCTACACTTCTGTGGACACCCAACCTACGCCACGGAGAGTGAGTTCCCTGAGGTCAAAAATAGTTGCTGTTTCTGCTGCTAACAAGCACACTGCTGTAGTTTCAGAGTGCGGTGAGGTTTTTACATGGGGCTGCAATAAAGAGGGTCAACTTGGTTATGGCACCTCTAACTCAGCTTCAAATTACACTCCAAGAGCGGTTGAATACTTGAAAGGCAAAGTTTTTGTTAGAGTTGCAACAGCAAAATATCACACAATCGTTTTAGGAACTGATGGAGAGGTATACTCAAGGCAGATTTATGGTTCTTACTACTAGCACTGATACCACTGCTGCTGCTATTGACTAGCTAACCCTGCTCGGCTCTGATGACTGGCAGGTATTAACTTGGGGTCACAGACTTGTCACTCCAAGACGTGTAGTAATCTCAAGGAACATAAAAAAAAGTGGGAGCACTCCACTGAAGTTCCACCGTAAAGAACGGCTACATGTGGTTGCTATAGCTGCAGGGATGGTGCATAGCATGGCTCTTACAGATGATGGTGCACTATTTTATTGGGTTTCCTCTGATCCTGATCTTCACTGCCAACAGGTTTTGACTGAATTATGTTCATTTATAGATTCATAATATTTTCCCATTGAAACAAGTAAATGGCAATTCTGTTTTTGTTTTTATTTAAGCTATATTCGCTGTGTGGAAGTAGCATGGTGAGTGTTTCTGCTGGGAAGTACTGGACTGCTACAGTAACATCTACAGGTGATGTTTATACGTGGGATGGGAAGAAAAGAAAGCATGAGCCACCCACTGTGACTCGGTTACATGGCGTAAAGAGGGCTACTTCAGTATCAGTTGGAGAAACACATCTATTGGTTATTAATTCTCTCTATCATCCTATCTATCCTCCTAATGTTGTCAATAATTCTCAGAAACTGAACCAAAAGGTTAGAAATGAATTAGATGAGTTAAATGAAGATTTTATGTTTAACGATATGGAGTCCGACAAAATTTTATCTGCTGTACAAAACGATGATGTTGGCAACAGGCCAATACCAAGTTTAAAAAACCTTTGTGAGAAAGTGGCAGCTGAATGTTTGGTGGAACCACGAAATGCTATACAACTACTTGAAATTGCAGATTCACTGGGAGCAGATGATCTTAGGAAACATTGTGAGGTATTTTTCTGATGACCTGTCTCATTTTCCCTAGTGTATGTGCATTTTCTTTTGAGAATTTTTAGAACACTATGCTGTTATTTAATGCTGCCTATACAAACACTGGCTTGTTAATTGACTCCTTTGTGTCACAAGTCACAAAATTCTTAGGAGTCCCAAGTTGGCGCAACTTTTTTGCTTCTTGTTGTTTGTGCGTCTTTATCTTTTTTGTTAGAAGACCATAATGTTTTTTACTTATGGAAAGGGAAAAAAAAATACACAAATTACATATTAACTAACTAGTACATGCTCTACTGGTTCAGTTGTTGTGGGGTCAAGTAATACAACCTATGTTTAAGTTTCCGCAATGACATTCTTACATGTAGTCATGTATGACTCCTCACTCAACAAGCACCCAGACACACAAACTATGTGTAAAGATAGTAGAAACACAAATCAGAAAAGAAATTGTATTTATGCCTGAACTTTGGCAACTTGTTGCACAACATAGTTCAGTTAGGTTTTAAACTTTGCTTTTATAGTTGACAACAGCTTTTAAGTCATCGTGGTGGAGAATGGATACTACCTGGCTTACTATATATTAATATATTTATTTTGGTAACACTTGTTTTATTTTATTTGATAAAATGATGTGTTTGTAATATAAAGTGTTCAATATGGGCACTTAAGTTGTTTTGAGGTAATAATATAACAAAATGAACAAAATATGGTTAAGTTGAATAGCTAGATAGGCTTGCTAGGTGCATGTCCAACCAGATATGTGGCACATATCCATAGCCCAAACTTGTGTCTCTGACATAGACATTTCATGCATTTAGAAGAGTCCATGTAATATAGTCTAAATATCATTAGATGTATAGATATTTGTACAAATTAGTGTTATGTTGCTCATGAATTATGAATTAACAAATATTGGAACTTTTGTCTATGCGAGTGCTTGTACCTATGGAACTTGTCTCCTAAAGAAATATTCAAGTAGTATACTAAAAATATAAAATGCATAATAGCGAACAAAATTGCCAATTTCATACGGTTTTAATTTGAGACTAGTTGCATGGTTTCACTTCCGGTTAGCTGGCCCTATTCTTGTTAGTATGAACAAAATCAACAATTAAGTGTACTTTATTGTACCTGAGTATACCTTTTCAATAAAAGTCACAATTTCCATATCACCTTCTGTATCTGTATTACTTTTGTTGCCATGTTCCTTGGTTATCTGTTGAAAAGGTACACTGATACATTCTGTCCTATGGATCATAAATTATTGTAATTGGATCGATTTTGGCATAATGGATTCTTTTTGCATATGTATTGCAATGTTATTGTTTGTTTGTCATCTCTATGCTGTTCTAGATTGCAACATTATTCTCCGAAGCTACTGATGGAAGCTGTATCAAAAACTTTCTGCAGGATATCGCTATTCGCAACCTTGATTATATTCTCTCTGTCTCAGCTCATGCTATTGGTAGCACCTCACTTGATGTTCTAGCTAATCTTGAGAAATTGTTTGATTTGAGGTCATCTGAACCCTGGAGTTACCGTCGGCTTCCAACCCCAACAGCTACTGTTCCCGTAATTATTAACAGTGAAGAAGAGGATGGGGAGAGTGAATGTTTTAGGACTCGTGACAGCAGTAACAAAAAACAAACCTCTAAGAAAGAAAGAGACCAGAAGATAGATTACTTCCTAAAACCCAATGATGAAGTGGATCAAGAAATTTGTAAAGAAGTCCGTGCTTTAAGGAAAAAATTGCAACAGATTGAAACGCTTGAAGACAAGCAGTCCAAGGGTTATCCTCTCGATGACCAGCAGATTGCAAAGCTTCAGACAAGGTCATCTCTGGAGAGCTCACTAGTTGAGCTCGGCATTCCGATTGAGACAATGAATGCAAAAACATATTCAGTTTTATCAGACGGAAAAGGAAGTAAAAAGGCGGAGGTATCAAGAAAACAGAGGAGAAAGAGCAGACGAAAGGTAGGACAGCTGGAAGCAGATTCTGGCAATTATGGGACTGGAGTAGAACCCAACCCCGTCAAGGGTTTCTTAAATGCCGAAATCTCTCAAGTAAAGCAAAAGGTGAGGTTTCTAAGCTTCCACTCTTATTTTATGTAGAGAGTACTCAGTAGTGTTCCTGTGTGTGTGTGTGTATATATATATATATATGTATGTTTGTATGTATGTATTTCAAGAGTTATCTCTATTTAACAAGATTAAAAAGAATATTCATTAATGGGACTTTTGCTCAATGTAGGATCTAAAATTTTGATTGTAGTGTTGTAGAAAGGAATAGGAGCGTTGAGTGAAATTATCATTTGGGAATAGCCAAACCAGATAATTATTTAAAAAAAAAAAATGGAATAAGTAGGAGATTTTGAACCTACATGCTGATGTCTTTTGTTGACTAAGCTATGCGACTGAATCATGAACGTGCCCTGAAATTGTCTACTCAGCATCATGGTGTTTTAAGCATCTGTTTATAGATGGTGATTGACTTGTTCGAAATTGGAGCGAGAGGTGTAGAAACATTGCAGTCCCTTTTCGAGTTGTAGCATATTGAATGTCAAACATTTTGCTTGACCTTAATGTTTGGCTCATTTCAGAATATGACATGACAGCTACCAGCTTCATATTTTAATCTTCACATTATTGCATCTTGAAGTTACGATTGTTTGAATTGAATGCTGCAAGCTAGCGAAATTATAGAAAGATCAATGAAAGAAAATTGATAGTATTTTTACTCGTCATTCATTTGTGTCGGTTGATAGGATGACAACGCAGAGTTTGAAGGAACTGCGGGCAACCAAGTCATGGAAGAGTCTCCGTTCTGCATTAAGATGAACCTTTCGGACATTCCACGAAGTAGTAGTCCGTCACCAAAAGCATCTAAGAAGAAAAATAAGAAAGGTGGGCTTTCTATGTTCTTGAGTGGCGCCCTTGATGACATTCCTAAAGATGCTGCTCCCCCACCAACAGTGCCTAAAAATGAGGGGCCTGCTTGGGGTGGTGCCAAAGTTTCAAAGGGATCTACCTCTCTCCGTGAGATACAGGATGAGCAGCAAAAAACCAAAGGGAATCATCCCATTAGGAGCAAAGACCAGGTTGAAGATCCTTCTGACGGCAAAAATGGAGGAAAATTTCGACTGAGTTCAATTTTGCCTTCCAATCCTATACCTGTGGTTTCAACTCATACATCACAGGTGTCCGATGGAGAGAGAAGCACACCTCCTTGGACTGCTTCCGGGACCCCACCGTTTCATTCTCGTCCATCGTTTAGGGACATTCAATTGCAACAGGTAAGGGATCTCTCTCTCTCACTTCTCTGTGTGCGCCTCTCTTTTGGGAATCAATTTCAAATATAAATGTGTTTGAAAAAATGGTTTAAAATTCATATTAATAGGCTATAACTAACATGTAATACCTGTTTGAGGCACTGTTTGGAAACATGTCTTAATTCTTTTAAAAAACAAAAAAGTTGCAAAAGACACAGTGGTCCATGAAAATTCTAGCACACAATTAGATAAGAATAAAAATAGAATAAGGGGCAATTGTGGATGTTTGTGCTCGTCTTACCTACCAATAAAATAAATTAAGGAAAGTCTGGAATAATACGAAAACAGAGTTGCTTTAGGTGGAAGCTCAAGTTCAAACGATGGGGCTACTGCTGCTTCTACACCACGTACTGTCAGACCACAATGCCACTATGTCCTCTTGTTTCATACTAGGGACGTCTTGTAAAATGCCATCCAAATGGGTCCTTGACTCCTTATTTTATAAAGGACAAGACTTGTCTACTCACCGGTGAGTACATCATTCGTACTGACCACTGATGTGGTCCAATCACAAATGACAAATAATCTGTAATTACAAAATCAAGAAAATGATAAATAAGGAAATTAGAGAGGGTGAATGAATTTATTTCCAAAAAAAAATTATTATTCTTATTTATTACTTTTCTGATTTTGTAATTACGGATTAATTGTGCATGTGTGATTGGACCACATGAGCTACTCACCGGTGAATAGGCAAGTCTTTTCCTTGTATAAATATCTCCTTTGTCTCTTTGGGTTGCTGTATCAATTGTCAACTTAATGTTTATCCGCTCATTACTCTGCAATTGAGTTGTCTTTCTGTTGCCTAACCTGAACTGAATTTTTGAAATATTTGGACTCAAGTGACTGCCTTTTTTTTTTTTTTTTGGTTTCCTCATTCATCTACTAATAAATTTGTGGGTTCTGTTTGCATTTGTCAAAGCAGGGAAAACATCATCAAAATCTTTCCCATAGCCCGAAGACTAGAACAACTGGATTCTCAGTTGCTACTGGTCAGGGCTCACCGTCAGATCCTAGTGGTCCAAACCGCTGGTTCAAACCGGAGATCAATGCACCCTCATCAATCCATTCTATTCAGATTGAGGAGAGGGCTATAAAGGACCTCAAACGTTTTTACAGCAGTGTTAAAATTGTAAAAAACACCTCTTGAAGGGTTAGAGACTTGACTTTTTTCGTCTTCTTTCCGTGTCCTTCATTGATTTATTTATTTATTTTTCGTGGTGCACTGCTGTAATTGACTGTATAGATGATCTTACTGTACAGTCTTCTTTTATTTTTCCTTTTTCAAAGAAAATGTTTTTAAGGTAGTCGTCTTCATTTTCTTTCCTTCGGTTCATATTTCGAGATGGCCTTGGGGAGGTTTGACGAGGCAACCTTACTTCCATATGAGGAAAGGCTTTTTCCTGTTTCGAGGCAGTGGACCTTCAGGATTTGATGATTGATGATTTTACTCCAAATACAAAAAATTACTTTTACATAAAGTCCCTTTTCCACCTAAATACAACAACGTGGACTTTTTCTTTTGGACCTAGTTTGCTGTATATTAATTCTATCTATTGTATGCTTGTGGTCTAATTCATGGTATGCCATTTTTTAGTGTTTTTGTGCGTGTGTGTGTCTGTTTTTGAGTGGAGAGGAAGGAAAGAGGAGACGAAGGGAGAGAGTTTTCATTAGGAAGTAATGTCTGAGAAGCGCCTTTCTGCCGGAACCACTTGGTCTTCCCACTTACGAGTGGTCAAGGAGGGAAACAAGTCTCTTTCCCGTCTTTTCTTTTAGGGAAAAAAACATTTTTCTTTTAATATTTATGACGAGTATAATGGTAATGAATGAGTCATGTGTTTTTGTGTGTCTATATATATATATATATATTTATTTATGTTATGCAATTAACGATTTTTTTTATTATAAATATTTATGGGGAAGGGTCTTGGTGCAAAACTAAGGTTGTTTCATTTTCACTTGATCATGGAAATATTCATCAGTAAAAAAAATCTACTTTTTACAGTATTTTTAATATAATTAACTATTTTTATTAACAAATCTATTACTCTAATTTTCACACTATTTGATCTTGTAATTCTGATTCAAACTCACTTCATATTTGGTATTCAAACTCATATGAAATAGCTTCAATATTTACACTTGAAAGGAAGTTTGAAAACCTATAATTTTGTGAGAATTTCCAACTGCTTCCTTAAAACTGTATCACTAGGTGAAACCTAGCGCTTTGATACTAAGCTTGAAATGTAGAATTAGAAATAAGCTTGTAGAATTAGAATGACTTTTCAAACTTTAGCATCTGAATATATTTTTTAAAAGTAATGTGGCCTGTATTAAGGCCAGACATATAATACATCAACATTCTATTAGTGTGTAATTAAGCAAAAGGTTGGGAGACCAAAAAGAATCAAATTATGTAAGTTCCCAATAAGAGAGAAAGTGGGTGGGACACATCCAAGACTAATTGCCAAACACACAGTGACACAGAGTCATGGATCTTCCAACCCTTTGGGCCAAAAAGAAGGGACAATTTTGGTCAAAAAATCACGTGAACAATGATATCCCATTTCGTTCCCCTTTCTTTGCCACTGAGAGCAAGGGGGTCCCTGTTTGATATATGAGAAGAAGTGTGAAGTGAGACGGAAAAGAAGGATTGGAAATGTAGTGGGGTCATTTGAGGGAAGTTCAAGAAAGTAAAAGTTGAAAAGAATAACTTTGATGTGAAATCCCCATGAAGAACAGGAATTTTTGTTTGGAATCACAATTATTTGAAGCTAATGATGTGATTCTATAACATGTCTAGGTCTCTTTGTATTTACATGACCAAGCAATGGTCATGTGCTTTATTTTGGTGAAATCAAGCTAATGATACATTTTTTTTTATTAAATATACTTGTTAAATTACCGTTGATTAAAAGAAAATACTAAGTCAAAAATAAATGAAATGAAAGAACAATAACAATATTATCGATGAACACTAACTTGGATGATATAAGTTCTCCTTTTAAAGAGGAGGTTGAGTGTTCGAACTCCAGCAAAGACAAAATATAAGAGAAAAAGATTACTTGTATTAATTATTACACAGAATCAACTATAAAATGTATTTTGAAATGCTTATAATAACATTTGGTCTACTAGATGTCCAATTGGATTGCATGTTATGGTGATTCCTTTTTCTTTCTGAAGTTGAATTGATAAGGATAGTAATTTGATGGAGCCAAATACATCCCTTACCATCATGTAGGGAAGATCCATGTCTTAGTTTACAATAAACCTATTTCATGTATTTGGATTTGAATGGTGGCAAAAGTAGATACATGGATATGAATGGAGACTATTGATATGAGATACATGGATGATTATTGATGTGATCTTATCACAATCTTTTATCTTCTATATAGAAATGTTGAATATTATTGAATGTAGGAAACAGAGAAGTGATTGAAAGGTATACAAAGAGGGATGAAAGAGTAATATTTAGGAAAAGGGAAGTGTCATTTCATTTTGGTTAGTTGGTTGTACCAAAAAAAAAAAAAAAAAAAAAGAAAGAAAGTAAAAGAGTGAACCTATCTATTGTTTGGTAAAAGGAAAATAAATAGGAGAATTTGAATATTACTCAAGTGGTACAATAGTGTTTCACAGATTTCAATAAATGAGAATAATAACATTCTTTCATTCTTGACAAGAAACATTTTTTTTTAAATTTCCTCTCATAATTTTAATGGAAGTAAATTAGTGTATTTTAAATCTCACATCCATTTTTTTGTTACACGTGATGAAGTGAAATAATATTGTAAGTATTACCTTCCCTTTTAAGAATAGAGTTCTTAATTCATACCATCTGGATTAATGTTTATATGTAATCTTGATGTTTAGAGTCATGTAACTAAGTTTGGGTGGACCATTTAATATTCTGAAATCTTTTAATGCATAAAACACAGTTAGTGACTGCCAAATTATGGAGAAAGATATATAAAACCTGGATGCTCCTCCAAATTCAAAGTTAAGTAGAAAAAATGATGATTACTCTATATTTAATATATATGGGGATTCCTATAGCTAATAGGTTATATATTTTACTAAAGTTTGGTGTGGTAGGAATTTTTTGTATCTATTATCTATATATGCACAGACTATCACACACACACAGAGTATTGGTGCTGAGATCATGCTTTGGTCTGTGGGCAATGACACTTCACCTAGTTGTTATAGCTTTTCTTATATATATTCCTACTTTAATTAGATATTTATATATATATAGATAGATATATAATGGATGGACTTGACTTGATCGAGGAATGAGCAGGCCATGTATGTCCACTGATCCCATAGCCCCATGCCATGGCCCCCTTGGTCCTCGTTATATTCAGTGCTCTTTTTCCTGAGAAAACCTGTAAAAGTCTCACAACTATCTTCTCTCTCTTGTTAAAGCTTGAGAACAAGACAACTTCATCACTCCAAAATCCACCAGCTTTTCATTATTTTATGCACAAATGACCTGTCCATCATGTGGCTGTCCACATGTACTAGTCTTTATAATTTGTTAATTATATATGTCTCTCTCTAAATCTCTCCACTATTTGAGATATCATTTGGTGGGTACTGTAACATGAAGATTAGGAACTTGAGTGCTTGCAGCCTTGTGGTTTTTGATTGTTGAATCATGAGAGAGAGAGAGAGAGAGAGAGAGATTGTAGCTTGAAGAAGAAGGAAAAGGGGGTGTCTGGAATGAAGTTTGATCCAAGATCCTTCCATATATTTTCTCAATTTGATGCTTAATTATGGATCTGTGAAATAATATTCATGAAATGATCTCGGACCAGGCTTCATTCCTCACACCACCCTTTCCTGCAGAGAGAGACACACACACACATATAGTTAAGTTCTCATCATCATGATTAAATTATACTTCTGTCAAATTATATACTATGACTGTATAAGTATATATATATATCAAGAAAACAAGTAAGCTATAATCTTGATTAACATGTATATATAGAGTTTGTTTTGATCTTTCTTTAGCAATCTAACTTTTGGTGTCGTGATCTTATATAAGTCTATATGTGGTAGGATATCAATCCTAAACCCTATATAGAAATCTTCTACTTATAGCTAGCTATCATCCTTTTTTTCATTATATAAAAATACATAATTGCTGCTCACTTAGGCTTTTCATTCTTATAATTAATGGTCTCTCAGCTTTAATTTGGAGGATACAAGGTTTGAGTTACATATATATATATACTTTCTAGCCGAACTGTATGGACAAGGTAAGTCCCCATTCTCATCAAATTGTAGTTTGTGAACATCTTGTAACAAAGAAACAGTTAGGTAGATTCTTACCATCTTGATCAATCTTTATATATATATAGATCACAACTCTCTCTCTCTCTATATGTGTGTGTATTGATAATATATATATATATATATATTTATATTTATATTTATATGAGGACTAATAGACCCTAGAAGGGTGTGTTTTATGTATATATATGTGTGTGTGTATTGATGATATATATATATTTGAGGGCTATAAGCTACATAGACCCTAGAAGGATGTGTTTTATGTATATATTATGCATTATATCGATTTGGTTGCATATCTTTTTTCTTTTCATCTATCTTTCCTCATCTCTTCCTCTTTCTCTTCTTCAGCTAGTAATTACTGTTCCATTGTTTCTAATTGCCTCTTTTATGATATGCATTTGATTTTTTTCTTTTTTTCTTTTTTTGGTTAATGCAACTGATTCTATATATCTTTCAATCTTTATCCACTCTCAATAATTAATACTAATATCTTCCTTGATTTATGAATGGCAGTGGAATATCATTATCAAGAATAACCTCCTAGAATTAATCACATGTAGGTTTGATCTAATTAATTACTTGACTCCACAAATTAAACCACAAAAATGGCAGAAATTAATTTAATCAGTTGTGTGTGTGTGAGAGAGAGATGCAAGGTTACGTTTTTTCATTTACTTATGATTTTTCCGCCCCTCCAATGGTGAAAACATATATACGTACAGGACAGACCATCTACTTGTTTAATTAGAAGATTTGCAGTACTGGGCGTTACATTTTTTTTTTTTTTCTACCAATATATGTCACTATATATGCATTTAGTTCTGCAACATTTTTATGCATAAGAGTTGGTGTCTTTTAGTCCATGACCATTTGTATCATCAAGTATCTCTCTCTCTCTCTCACACACACACACACATATATATGGTTAAGAATCCCCATCAATTATCTATCTATCATCGATCTAATCATCCCACAACATACCATGATATTGTTCTATATG